CTGAATCCCTCCAGTGGAATTATAAACCCCCAGGAAGGACATCTGAATCCCTCCAGTGGAATGTAAATCACCCTGCGTAAAGTTTTAAATTGTAAAAAGCATTTTTTGAAACCCCTCCAGTGAAAATAAAATCCCTCCGGTGGTCTCCAGTAGAATCGAAATCTTACTACGAACTTCTTTGAGTCGATTTGATGATTAATTTATTGTAAGAGTTAATATATTTTCAGAAGTACCAGTCCATTTAACATCTTACGTCTGACTTTGTAATGGATCTTGGAAAGGAATTGAGTCTTCGCCTTAAACTCAAATTTGTCAAATCCCCATATTGTTGCAATATAATAGTGTAAACCTTTGAAATTTCAAATTGAGATAATTTGATATAACAGAATTCATACTTCTCTGGTCTGCGAAACATTGGGTTGCGAAGATAAAGGGATTAGAAAATCAGATTTTATGGTAAAGACTTCCTTTTGAACAAATCCTTTTATTCCAGTGTTCCTGGGGTGGGTGGGGATCACTAACTCCCCCCCCCCCCCACCACCAGTGTTTTCATGCTTAACATATGTTAATAAAAATTTGTAATTATAGTTCAGTGGAATTTTCTAGAATCATTTCGCAAAGGGGGGGGGGGATTTTCTAGAATTATCAAGACAGTTTTGGGGATGGCGGTGGGGTGGGGGGGATTTTCTAGAATTATCTAGACAGTTTGGGGGATGGTGGTAGGGGGGGGGGTGGATTTCCTAGAATTTTTAAGACATTTTGGGGGATGGCTGTGGGGGGGGGAGATTTTCTAGAATAATCAAGACAATTTGGGCAATGGTGCAGGAGGGGTGGGGTTGCACTTAGGGAGACGAACCTACGGAAAATTTTCACACATATTTACTATTTCCGGTTACCCCCCCCCCCCCTCTTGAAAGGGGCCCCTTGGCTTTTCCCAGAGCCTCTACGTCGTAGTCCAACAGTGCATGGAAAATTTACGAAGTAGATGAATAAACTTATAAATGATAAGAGATCAAATAATTAAGTTTAGAAATAGGGTGTGTCGATAAACATGGGCATTAAGTTAGTGACGACTTAACGTTCATCTTTATAGATAGTAAACATTGGAGGCTAATTTTTTTTTTTTTTTGATCGGTCGAATCAGTTTAGCCGTTTTGACGTTTATTGGATACAAACAGACAAACAGACTGACACCCAGACAAGCAAAGTATATAGATAGATGTATATCTAGATTTACAGAGTTACCTACGAAGGATTAGACTTCAGAGACGACTGTACATAATTTAGACTGTCTATTTCCTTATATTTAGGATTCTCTGCAACTATAAACTGGATTCTTTTGTTGCCATGTCAATAAATAGACAATTAAAGGACAATATTCAAGACAAAAGACTTAATTTAATCATGTAATCGTCATATATCATGAGTTTCAGGTCGTCTTTACAGTCTCATCCTTTGAGGGTAACCGTGTATTTATTAATTATTTGATAATAATTGATTTATTCTTAATTAGTATGTATGATAATACTATAAAATAACATATAAAATAAATAATCGTTTAATTGCTTTTATACTTTTTGTGTATGATGTCATGGATATAAAAAACAAATCTTAAATATTAATAATGTTTGATATATTCTGTTGAGAGGAATAAATTATTGATTTATTTAGTATAGGTATATTATTTGTTGTTAGAAACAGAAAATGGCAATTTTAGTTCTTTACTTTTGCCAATGATAACTTTTTATGCAAAAGGATTTTCAAAGGGTTGATATAAAAGGCCGGAAAATTGGAAACCATAAAAGTTAAATACAGAATTACTATATAAAACTTATCTTACAGGGTGTCCCACGAAGCATGACAGTTGGTAAATAGTTTAGAATGTCTTCTTCCATAATTTGTTTAATTGTTTAATGTAAGTAAGTAAAGTAAAAAAATATTTATTTATGAAATATAACAAAAGCATACAAAATAAAGTGTTTCAGGAGAAAATATTTAAAAACCTCTATTATTTCCTCCCAATTCTAAATACCAAAGACAACATTAAAAATATCATATAGAAGTCATGTTATCGAAAAATTAATTTCAAAGTAAAATATATTAGAGCAAAAGATTTTTTAAACGAAATAAACTGCATAAAGCCTTTACTATCTAATACAGTGTATGGCAGACGACATTAAAAACTATTCACCAACCGTCTTATGTTTCCGGGGACACCCTGTATCTCATCTTAATTCTGAATTTCAATAATTGATAGTTTATATAAAATTCTAAAAAAGCAAAAAACTCTCTTATTTAAGGGTTCATTTAATTATTTTCTTAACTCTTTGAAATCCTAGGAAAGAGGGAATAATAAGATTAAATTAACCTCTACTGGATAAAAAATTATCTTCTAATTTTTGGATTGAAATAACAAATGTCAAATAAGTAAATAATTTGTAAAAACGGGATGATACAATGTAGAATATAAAAAGTTTATCAAATGGAAAGCATTATTGAAAAGAAAGATGAAACAATGATAAACATATGGAATTTACACAAATAATAGAATTAACAATAAAAAAGGGTAATGAAACAATATAACACTATATTTGTTTTGAATCAGAAATAAAATTAGTAGATTTTGAAAATCAAAAATCAAAATAAGTAATTGTAATGAAGATTAAAATTTTATGATAAAGAATTATTTCATTTTAAAGAAAACCCCTTGAAATCCATTGATTTCACTACATTGAAAAATTTAAACAAAATGCCCAAAGTTGGTAGATTAAAGTCGAAACATGCACTGGGTTTAGTGCAGTGAACAATAAAATGGAGAAAGTCAAGGCCAAAAATAATTTTAAAATAAATGATTGATGGAAATTTTGTATACCCCCAAAATGTAAACTTGTAATGGCTGGTTTTCAGAGCTATAATATTGTGCATAAATTATTAATAAGATTTAGAATTTGACGTTTAAAAATATTAAGCGTAAAATTGCATGATTGCAACTTTTATAAGTCTGCAAATACTCAAATAATTGCTCTTATGAAATGATAATTAATATAACTTATTTAAAAAAAGATATAAATAAATACCTCAAATGTAAGATCCAACAAGTCTTTCCTCCTGTTGATAACTTCCGGCGGCAGCTGACGATTTATGTCATAAAGATCGTCGGCAACGGCTGCTTTATATGATCGCTTGGACCGGTCGGTCACGATGACCGAGGCCGGACGACCGTTCCAAATACGCCGTGTTTGTAATTGTTCAGGAGCGAAAATCCGCGAAATCAAAATTGCTTTTTTTGCCATTAAACCTCGGGGTAACGAAGGTTAAGAATCCGTACGGGTTGCTTTCTCCGGGTACTCTGTTATACTGAACTGAACTTCAGTTCTGAACTGTACTCCAAGTCTACTCTTCAAAAATACACTCCTCCCGCCTCCGGCTCCGTTCTTGATTATAACTGCACCCCTCCCCCTCAGCAAAATCCGGTACGTGACGTTACAGATCTCCGTTACTTGAAGGTTACAGGCGGTCGGAGCCAGGAGGGGGGGAGGAGCAAAGGGGGAGCTATGTGGGGAGGCGGAGTGAGTAAGGCTTTGAGGCTTCAGATGTTCAGGAATGATCAGGGCTTTCTCTACTAAATACAGGGATAATACAAATTAAATCATTTTAATTCTAAAAGTTCTGATTTTCTTGAACATCGTGTTTTTAGAATTCTAATTATTTTGACCAAGAGGGGGGATTTCATATTTATCTCTGATTTCAATCTGGATTTTTCCAGAATTTTCGACACAGACATAATTTTTACTTTTTAGCTGAGTTTTGTAAACGTTGCATTTCTATAACATATATTTTTGATGACAGCTGTGCAATTTCTTGCATTCATAGCTTTTGATTTATTTTAAACCTTGAATTTTTGTTATAAATTGCACATGCATGACCTTGCAAATTCTGTGTTTGAGAAGCCCAGATAAAAAACACCACTTTGAAGAAATCAAATATGCTTGAATTTATAATCTCAAATATTTCCAATATCTTGAGTGAAAGAATAAGTTTTAGAACAGCTAAATCCACGATAAACCATTTTTTAGTTGCTTATCTAACTAAAATTATTTAATCTTGGGCACACATTTGAATGTCGTCTTTTATTAGTTCTCCCGCCGTAAATTTGAAAGTGTTTAATATTCCGCGGCAAACAGGTAGTCAGCATCACGCATGCTCTCCCACCATTTCTCCCCAGCATGTCGGCAACAGGGAATTCTAAACGTAATGGCGGCCATTCCCGGCTTTTTTCAACGGTCAAACACGAAAATTCGTTAAACTTATTATTTTAAATGTGATCTCAATCTGATTAAGATATCAAATTAATTATAAAACTGGTGGAAGAATAAGTTTTTAGTTACCAATTCGATTATACTTCGGTAATATTACTTTTTAAAGTGAAATATTTAGGCCACGTTTTAACACTTATTTCACACTTTTTTAGATGTATTGAACGACAAAATGTCCGGTTTTCCCGAAGCTGGATCCCCAAAGTCCCGCTCAACGTGGCTGCTAAAGCAATTTTCATCCGCGGTATGAATTCCAATTCTGTTAAAAAATAATTTCTCTTCTTGGACATTATCACAATGTTTTACATCTTTATTATCAAGCTTATAACAGTTTTATTATGGTTAATTGTCTAGAGAACGATCTTTGGATCCCCCNGTCTAATTCTTAGATATTATAAAATGATAATAATAATTTTGCTGTAAAATAAGTGGTCATGTGCAAAATTGAAAGGGGGGGGGGTTCAAAAATCGTTCTCTATGACACCCATTATTATGTAGAGCATGGTTTAGATTTGTTCTGGATTAGGGAAAATTAAAAGTACCAGCATTTATGTTCGATCGTATTTAGGTTCTCGGGTTATCTGGATATTAACATATCATGAGGGGTGGAAGGTGAAATTCCGGTCAATTGGTAACCATTCCGGACAACGGAAACGGTTACATCTTTGAACGGTGTGGGGTGTGGCATGTACGGTTGAAGGGGTTCGGGATGAGAACGGCCATTAGGATAGGGGGGGAGGATTTTTACCAGAATTATGGTGAAAAATTTATTTTATTAATCTTAAGGATAGTTATGAGGAAACCTGGCCTGATCTTCTTGTTGATCGGAGACCGCTACCAGAGCGAAGGTGTGTAATGATAATAACTGAATGAAAATTATTTAAAGCCTTCATTTTCTCTGTGGCATATAATATAAAGCATTTATTTTGTCGGGGTGTAATTTTGCGAAATTGGAAATGATAAGGGATTAAATTTATTGGAAAGCGATAAATAAACCTAAATAACTTTCATATATGTCAGTGTAACTTCAAGTTCAAGGGAAGTGGTTCAACTAAAATAGAGTTTATCTACTATTCATTAAATTTGGCAGTCCCAGAATTTGAAGTTTTTTGAGTTTACATTATTATGTTTTTAGGGGTTGGAACAAGACTGATCCTGTGGCGGCGGTAGAGAGAAGCAATCTTGTAACTATTAGGTAACTTCATAGTTCCCTTATATCGTCCAAAATCATTGTTGTAAACCATCGTTCTGTACTTCTGACGTTAATGTCTGTCATCCAAAATCCCTTTTGTGCCCTGAAAAAAAATTTGTTCTTATAGTCAGCTTGTGATCAAGAACCTTGTGGATTCAAGCCTCAAGAGAGGAAGACAGGTATAAATATTATCAATTAAATATTATATAAGGAGAGAAGGATAGGGGTTCAATAGAGTAGATTTTTCTTTGGAGAGAGAGATGTGGGAGGGGTCCTTAGAGAATACTCTCTCTATACTTATTACATATAAGTTGACAAATGAAATCTCGTATTACAGGTTGAAACGGGAGATATTCTACCACTACACCAGTTTTTCATCATATTAGAACTCGTGTTCAAGCATGGGTTCAAATCTGGTAATTTTATATTAATTTTTTCCCCAGCTATGTCGCAAAAGATTAAGATTATATTTTGAAGAAGCTCTAAGAAAATCAAACATAAATATGTCCCAAATTTGATTATTTGGCAGAAAACAAATTGTTCCCCTCAGTCGGTGTGCATGTTTGAACGTAGCTAAATATATTTGGGTTTTATTGGCTCAACTTGAGAAAATGATTTTGACTTTTGAGGGAAAATCTTGCAAATGGGTAAAAAGAATAATATAGGATGACAAAATTGCCCGTTGATATCCAGTTTTTCATTGATATCCCCCCTCTCCGGTAAACTTATTTAACAAAAATTCATTTTTTTCCCAATCTTGGATATCTTCAATAAATTCCTCTTTCTTTCAGCAATTTACTTAATCTCAGTAAGTTATATAATTGTAAGGTAGACGGTTGATGCTGGGAGGGAAGGATCTTTGGGATTTGTTACAACAGGTATTTAATCGAATCTTAGAAAGTCCCGGGAAATAAAAACTTTGGAATAGAAGTCCGAATTTTCTCAAGTCCTTGGAAAAAATGTCGCTGGAAATAAAGTCCTGTGTTTTTAATTCCCTAGTCTTCTTTTCCTTAAATAGTATGGTGGCTGCCAAGAAAGTCACAGGAAATAAAATCACAAGAAATTAAGTCCTCATGAAAATATATCAGAAGAAAGTAAAACAAAAAAAAATCCTAAATCTTGTGAAAATGAGGTAAAGTCTAAGACGTTTTCATATAAAAAACTTGTACTTGGAATATAGCCATCTGGTTTTTTAAAAAAAAATATCAATTGCCACCTTTTTTGCATGGTAGTAAACATCTTTTGTTCCCAATCATTTTATACTAAAATAAGACTTTTTTCCGGGGACATTTTTGTATAAATTCGTGCTGGAGCCAGTCTCGAATTGGTAAGAATTTATTTCCGGAGATCCTTAAGACTGTTTTTCGCTACCGCTAATAAAGTTATGAATGCATAGTTTTATTTTTTAGGTTCCTCGATTTGACCCTTCAGCTGAGGATATTGTTGCAAGTGCGCGTGAATTGCCTCACATCAAAACAAATGCTGGCCGTTCACGTGTCTGGTTCAGACTAGCGCTTATGCAGAAAAAATTGGCGGATTATTTCAAGGTATGGAAACTTTTTCTTTTTAGGATCTTTTCGAATACCCCTCCCCCTCCTGGGATGCAAATTTTGGCCCCCTGTAGTATATCAGTTTTCCTCCTGACGTTATGTATTTTTTAGTGTTTTATTCGCTTAATTGGGAGAAAAAAATGGTTTTTAGAAGGGAAATGTATGAATATTTTCGTTAAACGTGTCCTATAGTATATAAAAACTTGCCTTTTGTTGTCAATTTTTTTAATTTTCCTCCCCAAAATTATTAGAAATCTTCCCCTCCCCCCTCTTCAAACACTTTCATATTTATTCATTAATTTTTCTCTCCTCAAAATCCAGTTAAATTCAGCATTTCAAATATGAGGATATAATACTTGAATGAATGTTCGACCAATTCCAAGTTTGTATCCCATTCACTTCTGATTTTTTAGTAATAACTAACTGGAGTACCCGGGGCTGCCTGTGGAATTTAAAAAATCTTGAAAAAATTAAAAATTTTAAAGCCTATTTTAACTCCGGGGTACCCATGGGTTCCCTAAAATTATTTCAACCCATTCGGTCAGCTTTATCATATAGATTAAGCTAATACTTTTCTCGAATAATTTAGGTATTATTGGATCACAAAGATGATCTTCTTGTTGAATATTACTACCCGGAGTCCATGCTGTTCTCTGAGGAGGCAACTCTCCTTCAAGGTTTGCTGGTTAGCCTCAACATTGTCGACTTCAATATCATCGTTAAAGTAAGCTTTTTACCATAAATGTAGATACAGAGTGAGTTTTTAAAATGAATTTAACAAAAAGGGCCCCCCCTCCTCCCGAAAATCACAGCTTTTTCCCTTCAGGAAGGGGAGGCTTTCTCTTGTCCCCCCCCCCCCTCTGTTTATGCCTTTGTAGCACTGAAAAATGTTAAACAGAGACAAGAGATAATTTTTTGATCCAAATAGGGTTGAGCTCAACAATTAATCTTAATTCAACTAAAATCGAATTTTTAACTTGGTTAGAATTATATTTTCTGGGGGAAATGAGCTATGGGATTAAAAACTACTACTGAAAAGGACAGAGGGCAAATGAAATAAGTGCTAGGACTAGGCATTCGTGCCAAAGAACAAAAATATCTATAGTTCCGTTCCGTGATAAGATTAGGACCAAGAACATTGACAAGTGATTTGGACTAGCTTTAAGTCCAGAAAGCACAATTCGAGTAATTCTAATAATATTTCAAGGACGAGGAATTGGATTCTCAGGAAACTGTTATAGATCTCTCAATGTATCTGAGGTAGGAAGCTTGATGATTTCAAAGGGACTGTAAGCATAATTTATAGTGACCCTCCATGCAAAGTGAAAGATAGCCATAGCCGATTTACAACGATACCCTTGTTATCTTAATGATACCTTTGTTTTTCTGACTTATAGGTTTGTATTTGCGAGTTTTTCCTGATGACAATTAACGAGAAATGCCAAAGTCAGTTTCGCAGGGAAACTGCGAATGAAAACTCATGCTTGATCAAATAAAAGCTTTCATCAAGGTACCGTTGTAAATTGGGTATTGCCAATGTTCTCTGCATGGAGGGTCACTTAAAATCACACTTACAGTCCTTTATTAAAAGGGTTAGCATAAAAAAATATAGAAATTTTTATTTATTTATTTTTAAATGGTACAATAACGTTTAGTTCGTAGCATAGAACACCCCCTATGTATTGAGAAATTGTCAACATCAATGTAAGAGGGAGGGGGATATAAAGCTTAACGTCAACATTTGACAAAACTTTTTCTTCAACTCTGAACGTTCTGTATTTTTTAGACGGAAAGAAGATATTGGACGCTTAAACTCTCAGGCATCACGGATTTATTGTGTTACCTTTGTGTTGTTATTGTGTTGTTATTTAAAACCGGTTTCAGATGAGTCCGCTCAATGCGACCTAGTCAATTATTATTGATCTCAACTAGTCGAGCCTTAGTCCGAAAAATGGCGGGTGACGCTGTACAATGCCATAAAAGCAGATTTTCCGTAAACGAGAATGGATGGTCAGTGGTCACTGAGGGGAAGGCCGAGGTATGCGATCAAAATTGAAAGAATTAATATATACTAGGCTTTTAGGGCGCTTCGCGCCTATCCTATTTAAATTGTGAACATGTTCTTTTTGTTTACATTTTAAAACAAAGAAAATAATTTGCGGATTTAAAAAAAAAATCGCGGATTTTCAAGAATTTTATTTTTTTTACAAAATTAAAATACCTTTAAAACACATTTTTTAAATTTTATCATTCATAAACCTTCCCTGGGGTCACGTGATGTCCCACAAAAAATTTGGGCCCGATCGGTTCAGCCGTTTTGACGTTTATTGGATACAAACAGACGCCCAAACAGAAAGACAAGCCAAATTTATATATAGATAACGAACCGCTGAAAAGTCGACATTTTGATTTTTAGTTTATACAATTCCAATGAGGAAGTTTGATAACAGAATAAAAAAGCAGGTTTTCTTGATTTCTAAAAATTAGATATATTTAGCCCTTTCAAAACCCCTCTCTAATATGTCTTCTTTGTCATCAAACTGAGATTTTATTAGACCTGGCGAAAAGTAAGACTAGTTTAATTAGAAAAAAGAAAGATTTTGATCGTTGTTGGTTAGATCCTGTTCCCGAGTGAGAAAGATGTATTCTATAACCCTGTCCAGGAGTTCAACAGAGATCTAACAATAGCTGTTATCAACCAGGTTAGTTATATACACTTATTATTGCCCCAGGGAAAACAATATTTACCCGGTTCATACCGTCCTTGATACCGACGAAATAATAAAATATATTTTTAATTCTGTTATTTAATAATTTTTAGGCCGCTAAACCTGTTCTTGAGAAACGAGAAGTTACCCCGGTTCTTGGAGAGGTTCATGAGAATGGCCTGACAGTTTTAGAGGTAAAATATATTTGCAACTTAACCAGCTAACGGTTTCCTACTCCAAGATAACTTTTTAAACTCTGAATGTCAATTTTACTGATCATACGATTCAGACATTATCTCAAGTTAACTAAGAATCCTAGTACGTTTCCTTAACGCGATTCCGTTAAAATTTTATGCATAAAGCTTTAAATTAAATTTTAAGAATATTACCAAAAAAGACGATAAGTTCATGCAATTTTGTTGCAGGCACTTGCGGCGAGTGGATTACGATCGGTGAGATTTGCGCGCGAAATCCCTGGATTGAAAAACGTGATTGCAAACGATTGGTCTAAACAAGCAGTTGAGAGTATTCAACGCAATGTTGAACATAATCATGTGCAGCACATCGTTACTCCAAGGTAAGATTTTTCTTGTTACCCATGGTAAGTTAACATCTTGTTACCCATGGTAAGTTAACATCTTGTTACCCATGGTAAGTTAACATCTTGTTACCCATGGTAAGTTAACATATCGTTACCTCATGGTAAGTTAACATTGTTACTGTCATAACTTAAACAAAGAACCCATAACATAAAGTACATAAACATATAACACAACATACATAACATAAAACACATAACATACAAAACATAACATACAAAACATAAAACACATAACATACAACATAACACAACACACAACATACTGAACATAAATCACATAACAGTATAACATATAACACATACCAAAATCTAAAACACAAAATATATATATAACATATACATAACAAATTATTGCAACTCTCGACGTAAAAATAACACATCAATACCCGCGGTAAGATGTAACGGTTAAATTATATATTGGCAAGAAACAAGTGTGCTCAAGAATTAAAGGGACAGACCGGCTATGTAAGGTAGTTAAACCGAGTATGCAGTGTCTTGAATAAACTCTTAAGGATTCATTTGAGACATGTAAAATGTTTTCACGATCTATGATTACTGAGTGCAAAGTCGACGTTCAAAATCATAAATTTTGGTGGGTACGTTTTCAGAATCGGTTTTTTAAATTATTAAATAAATACAACGAAAAATATAGTAAAAATTCGAAAGTAAACTAATTTGATGTATTGGAACATATTTCTCAAAAGAAATAAGTTTCAAATGTATCCTAAATTAAACATGACCACAACACTGCTTACTCAGTTAAACTACCATCTGAAGAAAGGAGATAAAAAACACTGATCTGCATTATTTTTTTAGTTTCTTTTTGATTTTTGTTTGCATTTATGTTTTCTCTCTTGTATTTAATAGTAAGGTACGAAAAGTACTTTCAAAGTCAAATTTTTCTGTCAAGATTGCTGCTCAATACTAAATTGTATGTCTTTCATAACGAAGCTGTCGATATTAAAGATCTCAAATTTTATGTATTCCTGAGCAAGTAGAGAGTATATAGCGAAAATTCATTTTATGAAAATATTTACGTTGTTTTTTCTTAATAAAGTTTGAAGATGAAAAGTTTAACTTCCATACATAGCCGGTCTATCCCTTTAAGTTTAATCAGTTAATGGATAACTTAGTGATTTTATGATCAAAAATCTCACGCAATAAATGCGAAATGAAGCATTGCATCATAATCTCATCCATGTTTGAACTTTGCTGACAGTGACATCTTAGATTTGTTATGTTGTATATCTTATCTATATATCCTCCTGTCTTCCTATCGATCCGTTTGTTTTCAATCAAATTCAAAACGGCTGAATCGATCAGGGTCAAATTTTGTGATGGGCCTCACAGAACCCCACGGAAGGTTTATAAATGATCATAATTACGAAAGGTTGTCTTCAAAATATTTTGATTTTTGTATAATTTTGTAAATCCCAGGGGGCGGAAACGTCATTTGTGTGTGTCTGCACCAAAAGAGTGTGTGTGTAAGGAATACCGAACCGAAGGCGTGTTCAAGAGAATCTCTGTACTTGTTCAGTCGAGGAGAGTACATTTGTTTATTGTTAATTGTTTTACTTAAAAATAAGTTTAATATAAATGTAATATATTATTTACATATATAAGTCAACACTATAAAGCCAAATTTTCATGCAAAGAATATAATTTGAAAGTTTAACAATTGACTAGTCGTTTTTCAAGTTTGATTATAATTGACGACATTGTTCTGCAATTTCCTTGACTGTAGTCATGTTGTGCGTCTGTACCAAAAGAGTGTGTGTAAAGAATAACGAACTCGTCTGCAACGCAGTGCGACTGGCTTTCTCATGCCAGACCATTTCCTTTCCCTTTATTCCTATTCCCTGGTAAATCCACGATAACAATATTGTAAATCCGCAAAGTTAATTATTATGGTTTATTGAAGGAGAAATTCTGAAAGGTTCAGCAACATTAAAAGTTGAAATAGAAGATTGGCAAGAAGCGCCTGGATTTTTTATTGTTTTATTGCATAAATATTTTAGAAATGGAGATGCTGCGATGGCTATGTACGAACATAAGAAAATTTCAAATAGGTAGGACGAACATTAAATTTTCGACATATTCCCTAGAAGAAAAAAAATAAAAAATTGATGTTCTGAAACAAAAATCTGAGCTGAATACTTTAGAATGAGATATCCTTAATCCCGATTACTTATTCTGAGTTTCCGATGGACACACTTGATTTTCTATTTAAACCGTTCTTTCTTGGATACAGTAGAGAAAAATCAAAAACCCTCCCGTTTCTGTATATAATCTTAAATGCGCGCAAAATTTCAAATTTAACGGCTTCGTTTACGCGACTCTAATTGGTTGAATTTTATACACTTTTCAGGATACAAGTCCAAGATTAGGTTAGTCTTGATATTAAGAAAAAGAGAGGCTCAAGTATTAATCTCGATATCCACCATTCTAAAGTTTTCAGCTCTGAACAGTTGACAAAATTACTTTCCATGTCAAGTCCACAGTTGTACGTTTTAGGCTCAAATTGACAAGAACTGCATTTTTCCCGTCTACTTACTCTAATACAAAAGAATTATAACAATGGAAAGGAAGGGGGGGGGGAGTTAAAACATACAACACCGAAAATTGTTGTATTTAAAAATGTCAACTAAGAAAGTGTGTATAGGATTGATGTAATTGATCTTGACCCTTATGGCAGTCCAACTCCTTTTCTAGACTCGGCTCTACAGAGCGTTGCAGATGGAGGTTAGTCGAGTTTATGCCAATGCTGATTCTTTTTCGATATTTCACTGACATTAATTTTATCTCAATCGTTTTTCTCACAGTAACGTTTATAGAGATATCATAATTTAAAGTAATTTGTTTTGGAAAAGAAAACTTGAATAGCCATTCTCGTTTTTCTTGGATCAGGCAAATATTTTATGCAACTTAGTTAATGGAAGGTCATCTTTATTTACTTCTGTACTATTTATTTACGTCTGTAATCTTGAATTATGACTGATCTTTATTTACGCCTGTAATCTTTATTTCCATGAACGTCTGCAATCTTTATTTATGACTAATCTTTATTTACGTCTGCAATCTTTATTTATGACTTATCTTATTTACGTCTGCAATCTTTATTCATGGCTAATCTTTATTTACGCCTGTAATCTTTATTTACGTCTGTAATCTTTATTTACGCTTTGTGTTTATTTACGTCTGCAATCTTTATTTATGACTAATCTTTATTTACATCTGTACTCTTTCAAGTTTCAATTTCTTATTAAAGTTCTAGCATAGATAATTTAATCACATTGACTCTTGATCAGTCAACCATTTTATGGTTGCCGGCTTTAGAATTTCCACTTCGTAAATGGAAGGCCACATGAAATAAAACACTCACTTTAAAGGGACTGTAAACGTAATTTCAAGTGACGCTTACATGCAAAGATGACCATTCCCAATTTGCAACGATATACTTGAAACCCTAACATGATCGAAAATGTGGAAGATAATCACGTTTTTTTACTCAACTAGTTTGATTCTGTTTATTTCTCCAGTCTTTCTGATAAGAAAGAGATGTGCAAGACACTTTTGCAGAGAAACCACAAATGAAAATAACTAGTTTAAAGAACTAACATATGGAGTTCTAATTCATACCTGATCAGACAAAGCTTTAAAGGGTACCGTTGTACGTCGGGCGTTGCGATCTTTTCATTGAGGGGTCACTTGAAATTACGCTTTCAGTCCCTTTAAGTTAAAATTTTTCATTTTAAGTTTTGTTTTCTAGGCTTATTATGCGTTACCGCAACTGACATGGCAGTCCTCTGTGGCAACACTCCTGAAACTTGTTACACTAAATACGGAGCTATTTCTTTAAAAACAAAATCATGCCACGAGTTTGCTGTTAGGAACGCANCCCTAAATATTAGCGTATTATGCTGGTTATTTTTTCAACCCTTAATCGTACTGTTGAAAATTTACCTTTTGTTATTTTCTCCAACTCTGCAAATAAAACCCCTAAAGCATACGCAACTTCTGGGAAATAAAGGATTTTCCGAGGGTGTAGTAATATTGCCATAACCTGTGATTACAATTTTCTTATCAAAATCCCCCGATAAGATCATAAAGTTCTTGAACGGTGTCCTTAAAAGTTTTGTCGTTAACTACAGGATCTTGCTACAGTGCCTGGAGGCGCATGCTACTCGATATGGACGGTATATTCAACCTCTTCTCTCCCTTAGTATCGACTTCTACGCCAGGGTCTTCGTCAGGGTTAGTTCAGTTTTTTTTTTACCTGAGCAGAACGGTCACGTTATTTTTTTTAATGGCCCTCCATTGAAAGATTGGCAGTTCAAATGTGACCATAATTTTGTTTTTGAAAACTTCATATTAAATGGTTTTCTCTACTAAAGTGACATGCACATTTTTTGCTTTAAACCAAAGAGAAATAATCAGAATTAAACAGAAGAACGACGTTATATTTACTGAACATTTAAGTTTTAAGGGTATCATTGTGAATCGGACATTTTTAATAATGAAGGCTTGCATGAAAATACTACGACATTTATTTTCTTAATTATTCTTTCACNTCTTCAAATATTATTTTTTCCCCCGATACTAAAAATGAGATTCAAGCAAAAATGACTTTTATAGGGGCTAATAATAAGGGCATGTGATAATTTGAGGTGGGGTCACTATTAAATTTAAAACACAACCCTCAGCTGGATCCATTTAATTTTATTGCGTCGGTTTGAAGAACGACTTAATGCACATTTCTGAAAAATTTTGCTAATTTGTTCACTTACGATACGCTTGGTTAAAATTAATGGAATATTGTACTTAAACTGGCAAAGTTTTAACCCACTTTTCCTCTAAAATTTATTATTTTCACATTAATTGCTTCACTTTGAAATCGGTATTGCTACTGCTATATCCTTAAAAATTGAAACTAAACCTGCAGAAACTTCTCGATCGGTATTGATGACTTAAAATTTACTGGGATGTATATATTTACCTTAAAAATCAACCCCCCCCCCCTTCTGAAAACACTTATTTCTCCCCTTTAAGTTACCTCTTTTCTTTAAATCAAAAATTTTTGTTTTCCCCCAAAACTCACTTATTCTTTATGCAGGCGGGAATATGTCTCAACACTGGAATTATTGATGGTTTTTTTTACTTTGACAACAACTGAGAATATATTCTTTTTATGATATTTTAACCAATGAAGGATGATGTGTATGCTACTGAGAAGCGTATGAAAGGAATGTTGTCTGTGGCGCTGGAAGAATTACAGGTAAGATTTTACAATTTTCAAAGTATCCTTTTATATAGCTGCCTCCGAATTTTTAAAAATATTTTTTTGTTAGGATTATTTTCTCAAAAAATCATCACCCCCCTCTCCCCTCCCCAGAAGTATGTTTATTATTTTTTTTTCGCTGAATTTGGGAAAATGAATGAATATTTGGGTAAAAAGTATCAAAAAAGAAAAAGAAAAAAGGTTTCCCCTCCCTCCCCCCTGTAAATATCTAAAATCATTCCGGCTGCCAAAAAACATCCCTCTTTTCTTTTATTCGATTGGTCGGACGTAAAATATGTTGGACTAAATCAGTGTGGTTTGAAGAACTAAGCAAAATTTTACGCCTTTTAAAGTTTATTTTTATTTATATTTAGGATGTTCCCCTGTACTACGAGATCCCACGGTTAACTAACATTGTGAAGCAGAGTCAAGAGAAACTAACCATGTACACTTCAGCTCTCCTTAACTCAGGGTTTCAGTTCAGTCTTAGGTAAATACTCAATTTACAATTATTAGCAATTATCGATTCACTACTAGAAAGCATTACCTCCTTTTACGCAAGTTTTCCATCATGTTACAAAGTAAGAAAACTTTCTTACATTTTTTATAGAGTAAGATTAAGTTTTGGGAAAAATTAAATAAAATGTAGACAAATTAAAGTTCTCTGATATTATTAAGTGAATAAAATTTTTAAAGAAACTTTTTTGTTCAGTCATGCGAACAGGCACGGTTTAAAAACTAATGCTCCTCTATCGTTCTTGTGGGATATGTTGCGAAGTATATCTCTGAAAAACAACCTGGACCCTTTGAAGAACTTGCATCCTGACAGTCCTGGATACAAGATCATGTCCAAACCTCCGTCTGTCAAGGATATTTCGTTCGAACCCCATCCTCAGGCTAATCCGCCGTCGAGAGAAATCCACTTGACTCGGTTCCAAATCAACCCTGAGTCGAACTGGGGTCCTAAAGCAAGGTCAAGGACGAGTTTGATCCCGGAGAAGTCGGTTAAGCAGACCAGGAATCAGGGGAAACACAAGAACTCTGGCTCCAAGGATGCGGACGCGAAGAAACCTAAATGTGATAATGAATTGGTTACAGACGGGGATACGTGATATCAAATTCTTGCGACCCGAGCAAGACTTGAAAATCTTTCGAGCTAATCCCGCCATTTTTTTCTTTTTAAGATTTTTACCGTTGGAAATGTTTCAGAGTTTAATTATGTTGTACACGTGCTCAATGTTGTTTGTTTTTGTCCTTGTATCTTGTTTACAAACACAAAATCCGGGTCGGACAGGAGGAGGAAGAGGATGTGGGGTCCTCAGACCTTCAGACTATTATTGATCAGAAGAGTTATATTGAAGAGCTGAACAGAAACCTGACGGTCAACATTACAAACCTACAGGTAGTTCACCTTCTGAAAACACTTATTTCTCCCCTTTAAGTTACCTCTGATTTAGAGTGCAATTTTTTAGGGTATAATTGCTTAAACGGAGAAAATAACTAAATTTATCATACCCTCAGATCTTTAATTCTTAAAAATATGCATCCCTGCTTTTAAAAGTTGATGAGTTGTCAAAATATTGGATGAAAGAAAATATAAATATTAAGGTTTACAGTGGACAAGCTAAAACGAAGGAGAGTACCAGTAAGCTGGGATATGTTTACCAATGTACTGGTTGTGAAATGATGGAGTTCCAGCGTCTAGGCCGGGTAACTCCACACGAGAATGGGAAAAATTTAAAATATACATTGCCTGGGGGTCCCCCGGTGGGACAGAAGTGTGAACACTGCGAGTCTGGGTTTCATATGGGAGGACCTATCTGGTTGGATCCAATTCATGATCAGCTATTTGTAGCTCAGCTTCTTCAGTCAATACAGGTTAGCAGGACGGGGGCATATGAATGTAGAGTCGGAAACTTAATACATGAGTATCGTAATGAAACCCAGTATCGGAATCCCGGTTCCGTGAATGAGGTCAGCATTTTTGTAGATACCAATATTTTTTTGAAGAAATATTATTTCATATGGTTTCTTAACACTTGTTTTTTTTCTGATTTTCAAATTAAAATTTAAAATCTACGCAAATGCTTAGATCTTAAAAAGGGAACTCGGGAGTTTCGTTCAACGATACTCTCTTAAATTTGTGATACGATACATCCCCACCGGGTGGGGGGGGGGGGNTTGATTCGAGTCTTGATTTTAATTGATGTACGTTAATTTTGAAAAATAAGAATTTGCTACTAGAAATAATTAAAATCCAAATTTTATTTGTTGCGAAAGCTACATTTACTGTAGTTTCAACTAAAATTATGATTTTTTACTAGGGTGTGTGACAGCTGTTATCTGCTACTTTTAGAAAGACAGTCAAAGATGTAAAGAACGGGACAATCATTTTATCCTATCTACCATCTATAAAAATTCAAGGATATTCTATTAAATGTTTAAAACTCGATATGTTTAATAAACGTGAGATGAACATCGCCCCCCCCCCCCTCTCTCTAAACTAGTATCGCGCTATTTCAGCCCCTATTCCCCTTAATCCTATCTCCCCGAGGCCCCTTTTATCCTTCTTTCCCCCTTCAGAGTATTATTGATCAGAAGAGTTATATTGAAGAGCTGTACAGAAACCTGACGGTCAACATTACAAACCTACAGGTAGTTCAACTACAACAAGAGGCATGAAAATGATCTAAAAATGGGGGGGGGGGGTAAAAAAAAGTGTTCAAGTTTAAATAAAAACGGTGAACATGGAGAGTTTTTGACGTCCTAATGCAAATTTTTTATAAACTATTGATTTTTGAATGCACAATATATAACTACAATTAATTACTTAACATTATTGTTTTGGCTTATTAACCGGAATTTTTTAAGTAATAAATCTCAGAATTAGATTTGATTAATCTCTTTATTTGAATTTCCTAGGCTAAAGTCGAGAGGATGACTACCAAGAATATGCTGATGAATGAAGACCTCAGCATTAGCAAAAGAAAACTCAAGGTATGAGATGCGGCTTTAAACATTTTTTTGTCTTGAAATTCTCCCCCTCCTCCTGTTAATCTAAATATCGTTGCTTCACAATTTTAATAACGAAGGCTGGTGCGTAGTCAGGAATTTGTCAAAGGGAGGCAAAAAAAAATTTTGTTTGGGGGGGGGGCAGCAGTTGGCACCAATTGAGGCCCAAAAAAAACTCTGTAAATCATAAAATTTACTAATCCAGGAGAGGGGGTGGGGCTGAGCCTCTGAATGAAAGGATAATCCTCCAATATGGTTGATTATTTGAATAATTTTAACGCGTTTAGGAAGCAGAGAAAGAGAACTTGAATTTACTAGAGCAACTGAAGCAAGCAGCTTCTGATACGGAAAGGTAAGCATCAAGATTTCATGAATTATTTCATTTCGATGAAATCAACAGATGGGTCAATCTGCTAAACATTCCAGAGATGATTTCAAGGATTTGCGAAGATTAGAAGATAAAAGTTTTAAATACTTTCCAAGAAGAAATTTTGCGCCAATATATTTTTTACAATATAACATTTTAAATTATAAAAGATTTATTTGTATTTATGAATATCAATGAATTATGATGTTTCTATGGAAATATTATGTTTTTAATTATTTTAATTTTTTCAATTTTATTTCTTAAATTCTTGTTTCTCCAGGCATCAGCATAGGGAAATGGAGCTGGCCGTCAACGCGTTGGAACCCACTGCCGAGTCCGAGTTGGAGTCAAAGCTTCGAGTTGAAGGACAAAAGATCAAGCAGGTATGCGCTATGCATTAATCTCATATTTCACTACTGGGCTTGGGATCCCAGCTGCGCCTGGAGATTTTTTAAAATTTTGATGATTCCCCAATGATCCAATCAAAATTTTTGGCATGGGGGTTCATCAATTATGGTCGGACAAGTAAAGGAAAAAAGACTTCAAAAAGAGAGATTACAACTTAAACTACTAACTAACAAACTGAGATTACTATTTTATAAGAGACTAGGTTGGGCAAAGTTTTCTTTACAAGAGCCAACCTATTCAATTTAGATTTTAAAAACTAAGCTAAGAACATTCCCGTGGTCCTACAGAATTCCCCCAAACTAGATTTGAGGCACATCGGTCCCGGGATTCATGAGTTATGATCGAACATACTAGCAAACAAACTGTGATTACTACTTAATAGAGACTAAAATGAATGCGTGTTATCGCTATTTAAAACTTCCAACCAGTGCAAGGTTGAATTATAAGGCATGAAGATAATCAGAAGGCATGAAGCTAATAGAAGGCTTTAACGATTATAAATACCTTTCTTAGATAGAGAAGGAGCTGTTGCTAGAACGGCAGATGAAGGCTGAGTGTGAGATTGCGATGAAATTGATGGAGAAGGATGTTCATGAGAAGCAGGACACTATTATTTCTCTCAGGTTAGAACAAACCAGTGCTCATTCCATTTTGATTCGGCTCTGGATCTGCAGTGAAAAATGTACCCTAATCCGGGTCATGGATATTTCTTTAAGATTTACCGATTTTTTGACTTCATAAGTTCAAATATATTCCGTTTTTTGGCTTGTTTTTGTGCTGAAACTTAATGAACCATTCACTGAATAGGAATTTTTTATTATCCTTTGCTATCAGTTCAAATTTGATTTTTAGAGTAAAAAGTTTTCGTTTTTTAGCTTTTTTGGTTTATATTTTTCCCCGGATCGGCAAAAGTATGCGGATCTCCGGATCCTGGAAATCAAAATGTTGCGGATCCAAATCACTGGATCAAACTGAAAGATTCCTTGTGAACGTCTGTAAAGCAGTGTCCGAATCCAGGTTTTTTCTAATTTGCTGAATTTTTTTACGACACAGAATTTTCAAAAAAAAATCTAAAAATATTCTTACGGTTTTCGCTTATTTTTATGCTAAACTTGAAGGACCAATTAGAAATCAGGAAATTTTTTGTAATCTCTCTTTTTCAATAGTTAAAATTTGGGTTTCGAGAATAATTTTTTTTGTTGCAGTTTTTAGTTGATATTTTACACCTTGGATCGGGATCCGTGGATCCGCATACTTTTGCGGATCCGGATTCAGGAAACTAAAATCTTTCGGATCCAACGGATCCGGATCCAAGACACTGCAATAAAGTATCTTATTTGTGATACAACGGAACTGAATACTTACTGAACAATAACTCAATTCCTACCAATATTATCTTTTCAACTAAATGATGAAAACCTTTGATAATTAACCCCTTTTCACTGTATGATCTAGCAGAGGCCGAACTTATTTGAGCCGCGGCTCAAATATGGTAGGTTCCACTTAAAATCGTATTCAATGTTTTAAGATTAAGTCGGCGGTCAGTTGAAAGCGGTTTTTTGGGGATTTGAGACGCGGCTCAAATTTATTAAATTCGGACCCAGATATCATAGTTCGTAAAACCACATTTCCGCCTTGAGTCGAGTCCTAAAATAGAACAATATTTTTAATTTGATATTCACGTTTAAATTTCTTCAGGTCGCAACTGGAAGATATCAAAGCTATCAACTTAGAAATGTACACAAAGGTAAGGAAACACCATATTTTTTCTTAGACATTTTTTAAAGGCAAAAAGTGAGTCTTTAGAAATCTTGTTTTACATATTTGTAGTTGTCCGAATGCAAAAAGACGATCGAACTGAAAACTGGTCTCATTAATACACTGGAAGAAAAGGTAGTATAAGGATTGCGCATTATAGACTTTTTGCAAAGCTTTTTTAAGACGGTTAAGTCCTACAAATAAATTTAAGCAGGACAGTGCAACATGCATAAAAATCAACATTTTTTGTTTTTTTTTCCGACAAGTTTTGGAAAATAATAGTTTTTTAAGGAAATAACCGAATTTTTGTGAAAATTGTTACAAAGTTATTAACAAAGTAATTTTCAATCCCCCCCCCCCCCCCCCCCCTCCATTGGTCTCATAATCTACTGAACTTATGGAAAGCTTCGGGACTTTTTTTAAAATTCTGAATTATATTGTAGACTGTCGGACTCCTAGAGACAATGCAGGAGTTAGATGATAAATTTGTGGAGTCGGAGCAGAACCTAGGGGCAGCTAGACTAAGGATCAAACAACTAGACACTACACTTCAGGTAGGGGGAGGGGAGGGGAGGGGAGACTTATTCAAGATAAAATGTTGCTCGGGAAAAATTAACTCTCCTACAAATTAGACACTTTCTGCTTCTTTCATATACATATAATGGTGTAAAACTTGAATTTCTAACCCAGACTAGTTGATAAAACAGAATTATTAGTTAATTTAAAAGTTGTACAGCATCATGGTTTAAAAATCAATGGATTAGAAAAGTAGAATTTTTGGCTGCTTTTAAGGTTCCATTAACCGATTGATCGGTTTCATTCGTCTCCCTTGTTCAGGAGAGAAGTGATGGAAGAACAGAGCTTGAACAGGATATTAAGATTGAACGTGAATGGAGGGAACGGTTGCAGGTACTTTATTCATTTTATCAGAGCTTAGGATCCGGATCCGTTGAATCCGCAATATTTTGGCTTCCTGGATTTGTATCTGCAAAAATATGCGGATCGGTTAATCCGGATCCAAGGAGCTAAACATTAAAACTATAAAACAAAAACTTTTTGCTCTCAAACCCACAAAAGGGAGGTTATAGATAATATCCTTTTCTCTGAATAATTTATCAAGTTTTTTATGAAAATAAGCGGGAAAAAGAAGAAACATAATTTGAAAATTCTACTTTCGTTTTAAAAAACAGTAAACCTGTATCCTAAGCACTGCATTTTATCATAAATTCATTCTACCATCCTAGAGGCCCCCACCCGACCCAGTCCCTCTAATACTTAATAACCGCACAATAATCACACAACCTCGCAATTTAAATTTTTCAACATTGATTTAAACATGTAAATTGATTTTATGGTCGCAGCGCCCGGTCCAGAAGTTGTCTATAACTATCATGCAGTTTAAGCCAATACTAGAAGTTATTGTTCTATGTATGGAATTTCATTATTGTTAGTATAAAAGGAGGGCGACCTCTTTCACAGAAATCTTGAACTAAAACTTGTTTTTTTTAACTAGAGCTTCTGCCTAGAAAAAAAGCCCGGTTCGTTTAAGATCAGAAAGAAAGACCAGTTTGTTAAATACTATGAAGGAAATCCCGGTTAATTTAAGATCGTGAAGTAAAGTCCGGTTCGTTGAATACTGCGAAGGAAATACTGGTTTGTTTCTAAACGTTGTGTAGGAAACCCTGGGTATTGTTAGAAAAGTTCGTTCATTGAATATGTTTTAGGAAAGCAGCATGAACGATAGAGAAACAATTGAAAATCTGAAGAAAGAGATGGAATTCTTGAAACAAGTGTCAAATGATTATGAAAATATCAGGTATTGAATTCAATTAATTTATTTTTTAAATCGATTTTCATTGTTAACTTGATACTCCCTGAAATTGATATTCAAACAAATATTCCCAAATTTCTGGCTTCTTGATCCGGACTCGTATTAATATTAAGATAAAAAAAAAAAACTTTATCTTAATAGATTTTTAACTAATAACATAACTACAAGTATATTTTGTTTCAAACAATGGGACTGTTTGGGAGCTACTTCCATTGAAATAACAACAAATATTGTCCACAAAGTGGACTGAGTAGGAAGGCCTGGCTTGTTGCTAACCAACTTGTAAAATGTTAATTATTTAGGCAGGAGAATCTACGTGTGAAGGAACTGAACCGTGAGCAGGATAAAACACTGGAAGAATTGGGACAACAGCTTAGTTGGACTAAACTTCAGATGGATTCTCTCAAGGTAGGATAAAACACTGGAAGAATTGGGACAACAGCTTAGTTGGACTAAACTTTCGATGGAATCGCTCAAGGTAGGATAAAACACTGGAAGAATTAGGACAATAGCTTAGTTGGACTAAACTTCAAATGGAATCTCTCAAGTTAGGATAAAACACTGGAAGAATTGGGACAACAGCTTAGTTTGACTGAACAAAATAGAGGAAATTTTCTTGCAAACGGCAAGACAAGTTCTGAGATATTAGTTAGTGTAAACACTTTTAGGCAGTTAAATGGACCGACAGCGTATTTTCAAGTGACAATGCAAAGATGACAATGTCCAATTTACAACGGTACCCTTAAAAACTTTTTTCTGATCAAGTATGAATTAGATAATAGATATGCATGTTTTTGTTTAATTAAAAGGTTTATTTTCTTCGGTGGGTTCTGTTCAAACGTGACTTGTGCATTCTTGCTTGTACGGAACAAGTACAAGAAATCCATACAACTTTTTCATCACAATTTCTAGTAATCCTCTATTTTCCAATAGTCGCATGTCATATTTACAACAGTACCCACTACCCTGTGTTTATCAAGAACAAGATTACATCGCTCGTCTGGCGTTAAAAGATAATAATAATGCTTTCAAATCATCTAAATTATATCATAGATTTTCAAGTCACTTTTGTAGAAAAAGAAAAGACAAGACTTAGAAGTACCTTTATGAATCTGGTATGCCAATCTATGAATAGAGGATCACTACAGTTTATATGTTATGATCATCAGTAATTGTTAAGGAAGAGACCCAGGTGCCTGGTGCATGGGAGAAGGACTCGGAAGCTAGCGCCTGCAAAGGCTGCGACAAGGAGTTCAATATTGCAAGGAGGAAACATCACTGCAGGTATGAAGACAAAAAAGAGGAATGTCATAAAAGATTGTGATCTAGTTTTTTAATCATAAGCCAAGCAATGACGGTGAACCATTCGGAAAATAGTGAGGTCAATGTGGGGGTCCATTGTCCAGTAACCTTGAGTCGATTAAGTTATTATGTTTCAGAAATTAAGGGAGGTATATACTGTTAAAGATAAATACATACTCTAGAACTTGATTATTTTGAACAAACCAAAAGCACCCGCAGTTGCCCAAACCCGGTCCTAACCCAACAGAACATGTTATGAAAAATCAACTTTTAACGAATGCATCGAATTGCATTCAACAATTGTAGGTTGTTTTAAAGTTGTTTTAAATGCGAGTGGAAAAATGCAACAACGTGAATATGTATGGACGATACGCTCTTGGGTGTTTTTAAACATTTTCGCCTCATAAACCGCAACAGAGTAAAAGTAGTAGCGATAGATATTGAAATTACTCGTGGTCAACCTATACCCTTTTAATTTTTGCGAACTTTGTTTTCCTGTAAGCTTCATTACATTTTAAGCGGGCAAAGCGTGTTGCAACGGTAAAGCTGCAAATCCTTTTCCCTTGACACCAGATACTGATTGAAATCGAATAGGAGGTCTTCACCCAAATTGTTTTTATATGAATATAATTTTTAATCAAATTGTCCAAAATGAATAAAAATAAGTAGGAAACAAATTTTATGTAATGTTTAGGAACTGCGGTGGTATATTCTGTGATAAATGTTCGGATAACAAAATGGAACTTCCATCTAGTGCCAAAAAATTAAGGTGAATATGGTACTTCAGAATTACGTAATTCAAGGCAGAGGTGCAATTGTTTGAAATGATACGAATAAGGAAGCCTATTTTGATTCGAGTCTTGATTTTAATTGATGTACGTTAATTTTGAAAAATAAGAATTTGCTACTAGAAATAATTAAAATCCAAATTTTATTTGTTGCGAAAGCTACATTTACTGTAGTTTCAACTAAAATTATGATTTTTTACTAGGGTGTGTGACAGCTGTTATCTGCTACTTTTAGAAAGACAGTCAAAGATGTAAAGAACGGGACAATCATTTTATCCTATCTACCATCTATAAAAATTCAAGGATATTCTATTAAATGTTTAAAACTCGATATGTTTAATAAACGTGAGATGAACATCTCTCTGCCGGTAATGTTTAGGTTTAATTGTGAACAACTTCTTGAATTCGGTTACCAGTAGTCCCACGAACGTAGTTGGGATAACTATTATCTAATTTATTTTATTAAACTTGATACTGCATGATCTGAAAAAACTGTGATAGTCCAAATTTTCCTCTGTTTTTCTGATTCATCACAAAATTCAGATTTATTTTATACATGTTAGACGTGATGACATTTCTGATTTTAAGTTTTATCAATTTTTTTTTTATCTAATAACAACCTGTATTTTCAGACCTACTCATATCAATACTAAAATGTCGATGATGGGAGTAGACGAAGAAGACCGCAAACTTTTCTGCGGCGGCCTTCCTCAAGAGTGCACACAGGATGACCTCAAGGTAAAAAAGATTTATTTTAAAATCAAACCGATGGATTTTTTGCCCCCTGATCGTAGATGTTGTCATCTGAATATTTTAATTTAACAGATTTACTTGTAAACTCTGCACATTTCTCCTACAAATTGGTAGAATTTCTTCTTCACATAGCTGCTTATAGTTTAAATATTGTTTGTATTAGGAATACTTCGGCAAGTATGGAGAACTTGAACGTGTTCAGCTGAAGATGGATCCTCAGACCGGTAGAAGCAGGTTAGTTAATAGTTATATCTTGCACTGGGCTTAGTTGGATTAAACCTTTTTTTGCTTGATAAAATGTATAGTAACATTATTTTCCATGCAAAGATGACCATGTCCTCACAACGGTAATATATTGTATATTCAAGCATGAGTTAGATATCAATATTTATAATTTCGGAAACTAATAATATTAAATTGAGAAATCTCTACAAAAGTGACTTGCGCATTTCTACTGCAGGAAAAATAAAGGAATTATCAGAACTAAACTGTTGAATCAAAATAAAACATGTTGCGGTACTGTTACCATATTTGCATGGAGTTTCACTTGAAATCACAGTCACTTAAAATGTAACTAATTAAATTAATAATTTTCATCATATTGCGCATGTCAACATGTTTCTTCTAACCATTCTTTTAATGTTTAACATTTACCTGTATTATTTTAACTATTTTTGACAATCTGACAACTTTTTGATGTGCCGATCCTAGACGAACTATAAAAAAATTACTCGGAAATCCATTAAACTGTAATTTTATTTATCTGTCCAGAAGTAGCTAAAACGATTAACGACTATCAAATTGTTGATTTTCTTTGTTATAAAACTCCACAGCTTAAAAGTCGCAAAACATAATAAAAGTTCCAGCTTTGAACTAAGAAATAAAATTGCAATTCAAATTGATTTTGTTTGTTCAGGGGCTTTGCTTTTGTTTTGTTCAAAGAGGTTGAGAGCCTTGAAGCCGCATCACAGGACGAACACAGTATCAAGGTAGTTTACCAGTAGTATTCGTGTATATCAATACATTAAAACTACTTTCAATTCTGGATTTCTACCAAGCTTTCAAACAGCATGGATACACTCAAACATGAAAACAACAGCTTCGCTTTACTTGCTTGTACACTAATTTTAAAGAAGCATGTTATGAACAAAAACTTTAATAAAAAAGTTGTCGCCATTGCATTGATTTAAACGCCAATCACTTCTTATATACAGTGGGAACTAGAAAGCAGTGAATTCATAGTCTCATACAATGGTTCCTTAAAGGGAAAGAAATACCTGCTAGATGGTAGCGGAGCTGAGAGTGCAGTTTTTTACATTTCATTGTCGTTATTGAATATCTTTTAAACTCCCTCTGGCATGGACAATCTAGGAGGATTTTAAAGATAAAATTTGCGCTCTTGTTAAACAATTATTATACACATCGTAAAATTGTCTCATGAATCCCGAAAAAATTATAGAAGTTAAATATTTTCCTTAACCTGTTTGTATAAATGTAACTAATTAGTAAAATAGTATTGTAGAAAACAAATGCTGTCTGAAACAACTGGTGAAATATTGCAAACGACTTTATTTCCAATTCTGCACTCTCAGCTCAACTAACATGTTGGCAAAAATCCCTAGCAATTAGTAGCATATATATCGTTTAAACTACACTTCAGAACCATATTCAACTATAAACAGCATTTTCATTTAACAGATGTAATTATGTGTATTGTGTGTTCGGAGTTAATATTGAAGAGGTTTCGGTTTACACAAGATTGATAGTATATATGTAATCTCTATTCCTTAATTTCTTGAAAGAGATACATTTTTATTGTATTTATTTGGTTAAGCTTTTTTTGAGGGAACCCATAAGTACCCCGGGGTCATGTGTGTATGTCTGTACCAAACTAGTATATTATATATCTTATTATCTAGGGAAAGAAAGCTACCGTGAACTAGTATATTATATATCTTATTATCTAGGGAAAGAAAGCTACCGTGAACTAGTATATTATAAATCTTATTATCTAGGGAAAGAAAGCTACCGTGAACTAGTATATTATATTTCTTATTATCTAGGGAAAGAAAGCTACGTGAACTAGTATATTATATTTCTTATTATCTAGGGAAAGAAAGCTACCGTGAACTAGAATATAATATATCTTATTATCTAGGGAAAGATATCTACCGTGAACTAGTATATTATAAATCTTATTATTTAGGGAAAGAAAGCTACCGTGAACTAGTATATTATATTTCTTATTATCTAGGGAAAGAAAGCTACCGTGAAGAAGGCCGATGTTAAACCCGGCAAGATCTACCTTGGTAAACTACCCGAGTCAGGACTCAGTGAGGATGAGGTAGTTATTGTTCATTACGCAATACGAATAATTTGCGTCAATACTTTTTAATAGTTAACTTTTGATATTTATAAAGTGAATGTCAATAAGAATAAATTAATGTTTTTTTCCCTCAATTTTTCAATGATTTTTGAAATTATGTTTCTCATAGTATTTAAGTTGCTTTTGCAGCGATATTATCCTTTTTCTTGTTCAGGGCAAGTTCTTCATAATGCCATTTTTTCAAAATCAAAGATCAAAGCCTTCTTATTTAAGTGAAATATGCAGAGATCTTAATCTTGTTCAGGGCAAAGTCTTTTTATTGAAGTTGTTAAATTAGCAGAGAGATAATTCTTCATCTTGTTTAGATCAAGCTCAAAGCCTTTTTTATTAAAGTTCTTCAGCAAAATCATTCTGATTTTTGTTTAGATCAAAACCTTCCTATCAGAGTATGGTACCGTGACTGAGTTTATCCGACCTATCGACAAAATGAACGGAAATGCTCCCAAGAACTTCTGCTTCGTCACCTTCGACAAGGAGAGAGTGAGCAAGAAGTTGATCCAGCAGGGGAACATTGTCATTCAGGGACACAAGCTCATGATAAAGGAGGTACAATTAAATTTTAACATTTTTAATATTATTTATTATTTGGCATATATATTAACTTGTCACAAGTTATGTACTTTTATTTGAAGTGTGCTGAGTCATTTTTCGGTTTATTTATCATGTAGAATCATATTTTCCCCACCCCTTGCACAGCTTAAGCGGAATTTGTAAGAGAAGACTATTTGATGGAAATTCAATTATTGCATGAAAGTTATGAAAATAAAAATATGGAAAGTTTTTAAAAAAAATTCCACCCACCCTTACCCTTTAGATAATTAACCCTTCTTTATTTTCCGTCAGTATACTGCAGATTACTGCAATACACACCAAACCTAGTCGAGGGTAACCGGGGCGGTTAATTATTTGTTCTTTATGATATTTTTTTAGGTCACTCCCAACCCACGTGACCCCAACTCCCGTGGAGGTATGAGAGGCGGAGCCCGGGGCGGATATGGAGGTGGGTATGGCGGCGGATGGGGAGACCAGAGCGCTGGATATGGTGGCGGATGGGGTGCTGATCAGGGATACGGTGCTTCCGCCTGGGGTGCTGACGCATCTGCCGGATATGGTGGTGGATACGGAGGTGGATATGGTGCGGCGGATGGTGGATATGGAGCAGCTGCCGGAGGTTATGCAGGCTACGGAGGCGGCGGTATGGGCGGAGGAAAGATGCGCGGCGCACCCCGTGGTGGTGGCGGTATGGGCGGAGGACGAGGTGCTCCCCGTGGACGTGGGCGTGGAACTCCCTACTAGGAGGCGTGTCCTATCGATCTGCTAGGAGTATAGTTGGCTACCTGTAAATTAAACTCTTGCGTTTATACCTTTTTGTGAAACTTCCATTTTTCTCATTATTTTAGTTGATGTGAGTTTGTCTTTATCTTGTACCGACCATTTTTTGAACCCGTATAAAATACAGTATTGATTTGATCAATGAATTATTTCTTCTCAAAATAAACATTTCCGGTCACATAGTCCAGACGTGCATTTTTCTTCTTAACTCTTGTATTTTATGAATTTACCTCTTTTATGTCAATATTGTTTGCAGACCTCTTGTGAGCCTGAGTTTTAATCTGAGAGTTTTGAATCTGCAAACATTGAGAGTTTTTCCTCTGTTTAAGGATTTTTAAGGTTTGTTAGCAGGTTGCCCTGCTGTTAAATGTATTTACGGGCAACCTTGAAATAATTTTCTTTCTGTTTTTAGGATATTTATTAATTTAATGTTTTTTCCCTTGCATGCCTTAGCAGTTCGGGGAGCGTTTACATTCAATCACCAAGAAAATCTTGCGTCTTTAGTCACGATTTTTCTTCTCCTACCGTCTCTTCAGAATATAAACTTACATTAAATAAAAAAGATTTGGGACATTTTGAAGTCCACCAATTGTCGAGACGATTATCTGAAACTAATGATATTTCTACAAATTATTAATTTCTTAAAATTAGTCCAAAAAAGTTGCGGCACTCATTCTGAGTGAAATTTTATTAATTTGAAAACTATAATTATTCAGAGGACTTGGTCCAGAATGCATGAGAATTATTTAATTTTTTAAACATTGCAATATTTTTATATTTTTTTAATGGTTCAGGGTCACTGTCTAATTCTAATATTTAAATATTCTTTATTCTAGGACCTAAAGGTGTGTCGTTTTATTATTAATCCTAATATTGTAGTCGTTTGCTAGTCGCTTTGTTGAGATACAAGAATTTCTAGTCTTCCGCTACAAATAAGCCATGGTATTAATTGTTTTTCGAATTAATTGAAGTTACCTACGATTTTGTTCTTTTTTGCTGCTAGTCTAGATTTTAAAGCCTGAAGCCTTAATTTCCAAGCCAACGGAGGTCAGATAATCTGAAGGAGGTCTTCTACTGTACTAACTACTAATACAGGTATTGTATCAAGTCAGAAAGTCGATATTTTGCACCAAAGATCTGACAAAGGAATTTATGACAGTAAATTGACTTCTTTAAAAGATTTGTAAGCATGATTCACAAGAACATGCCCTAATTCTTTTATCATAGTAAAAATAAGGCGCTTTGTTTTTTACTTTTTTGCTGCATACATCCGTAGGTCAATTTTTGAGGGATCTCATCCAAAAATTATTAATTTTCAAACATAAAAACAAGGACATAAATAATTGCCATAAGTGCACACCTGCAAATGTGATTTTTTGCGACATTCCATATACACTAGGGTTGGTCGATATTGAAACGAAGCTTAGGGTCCTAATGACTGTACCTGCGCCTAATTATTCTAAGAACCCAAAAAACAAAAATTATCTTAAAACTTAAAAAATGTTGAGCTGAGTGCCATAATAGATAAAAAATCGCTAGTATGATCGAAATTTGTTTTCCTAAAAATATCGAAATGGGTATCAAAAGATGCATATCAAGCCGCTGAATACTTGATTTTATTACTCCTGCCCAACGTTACATCCGTCCTACGATACTTTGGACCTACCAGCTCGTGGTTATTCAGCAGCTTCCGGCTTCAGTCCGATGAACGGTATGTCGGATAAACACTTAATTGAAAAAAGTTACGTGAATCTGACATACTGTAAGTCGGTTGAACACTTCTTTACGTTGAATGCAGACCTTTTGTAATAGGTCGGATGCGCAAAAAATGTTCATACGATATACACTAAAGTGTTCATCCAACCTACAAAAGTATGTGCATCCGACTAAAAATTTGTTTGCAACCGGAACAGCGATCTTTTTGGTAGCAATGTCAACTACACACTGACAATTGATCTGCAGTTCCTGCGTAGGTCGGATTAACATAATAGAATGTACGTCCGACCTACAGCTGTTGTAAGTCCGACGTACCATAGGACGGAAATGCCATAGGACCGAAGTAACATTACCACATTATAATTTTTGGTATACATGAAATTGTTCGATGTTGGTTTAATTATCAACTTATCTATTTGACATCAACTTTTCTGATTTTATTGTTTAAAGACGGGATCTATTGACACCCTCTTATTGATATATTTTTTGTGTCCTGGTGACATCTGTTTTTTTGCAAAATATAAATCTGAACCCCCCAATAGATAGTTCTGACCAACTTTACCTATTCCTGCTGGAGGGGGGTCAATTTGACCCCTCCCCCCTGTAGTTTTTTTTACATAACTCAAAAAGTATTGGTCTGAGGTTGTTGAAATTTTCTGACTTTTCTTACATACCCAAAGCCCTCCCTTTAGGCCTAAAACCGGGCTTTAATACTAACTGCCTGAGTCCTCAGGCACACTGCCTGAATGACTGCTTTTGCCTGTGACAAACTAAATCTTTGTTTTGACCCACTTTCACTTTTTAGATTTTGATAAATTTAGCTTTTTGGATAGCCTATGACATAAGAAAACGGTGTGCACAAGTTTTGCGAAAAAAATTGCAAATTATTTGCAGACAACCTGTCAAAGGAAATTTGCACATTTTTAGTTTTTCTTGATTAAAAATCAGGTTATTTAAAATTTTGCAAATTTTTTTGCATATTTGAAATGGCATGGTCAGGGCTTTTCAAAAATGTATAATTTTTCATTTTTTGGACAAATTTTTTTTTGCAAACATTTTTACTAAATAACTGGATTTTGCGATAAAAAAAATCAATTTTTGCAAAACTTGCAATTTTTTTTGCAGATTCTAAAAATATAGCACAAGAGCTTTCTAATGATGTATCATTTGTCATATTTAGACATAAAACCTGGGATTTAGAGGGGGTCAAAATTGCCCCCCCCCCCCCAGCATATCCTGGTTGTCAAGTACCCCAGCAGGGATAGGGTTAAGGAGCGGGGGAAGGCAGGCGGCCATGAGCCACCACCATTTCCTCTTCAGTGCCACTCATGAGCTTTTTTCTCTTCCGGCAGCCATGAGCCAACACTATTTCCTCTTCTTACCACCACATTTGACATTTCATCTAGCAGAATTTTTTATTTTTTTTTTTCAGAAATCTGAAAATTACCGTTAAAGCAGCGCTCCCCCTCCCCCCAGATCAGTTTTATCATTAAAGTCGTTAGGAGTTGATTGGGTTTTTTTTTCCAGAAAATATCTTATTACATTTTAGTGTACATATTCAAAGAAAGATAAATGCTGTATAGAGTTTTGTTGGAAACTAACACCTACACATTCAAATTTATAAATTAATTTCATAATTATACAACTATCTCGTGTTTTTGCGTATTTCTTGTGATCCCAAAATTACATCTTACCATTCCCTGAAATAGTTTATAACGTTTTATATCCTAAATATAAATAACAATGCTATAGGGCTATTTATTTATCAGTTTCAACCCCCTTATTTAGTCTACTGAACATAAAAGAAATAAGTTTGAAAATGAAAATTAAGAACACTTAAATAGCAATAATACTGGAGCACTTACAGAACGTTCTCCCTCAAAAAATTTCCCCACACAGTGTTTCTTTACACCAAATGATTTCTCCTCAACATGACTCCTGATATAAAACGTTTCCTCTACAAAATTACTCCTCTCGGCCACATAATGTTTCCTTCATAAAGTTACTCCTCTCTGCTACAAAATGTTTCCTTTATTAAATTACTCCTCTCTGGTACGAAATGTTTCATCAACGTAAGTTCTCCTCTCCTGCTACAAAACGGTTTCTCCACAAAATTGTCTCCTCTCATGCTACAAAACGGTTTCTCCACAAAATTGTCTCGTCTACTGCTACAAAACGGTTTCTCCACAAAATTGTCTCGTCTACTGCTATAAAACGGGTTCTCCTCAAATTGTCTCCTCTCCTGCTACAAAACGGTTTCTCCTCAAATTGTCTCCTCTCCTGCTACAAAACGGGTTCTCCACTAATTGTCTCCTCTCCTGCTACAAAACGGTTTCTCCACAAATTGTCTCCTCTCATGCTGCAAAACGGTTTCTCCCAAATTGTCTCCTCTCCTGCTACAAAACGGTTTCCCCTCAAATTGTCTCCTCTCCTGCTACAAAACGGTTTCTCCTCAAATTGTCTCCTCTCCTGCTACAAAACGGTTTCTCCTCAAATTGTCTTCTCTCCTGCTACAAAACGGTTTCTCCTCAAATTGTCTCCTCTCCTGCTACAAAACGGTTTCTCTACAAGATTACTCCTCTCTGCTACAAAACGGTTTCTCTACAAGATTACTCCTCTCTGCTACAAAACGGTTTCTCCGCAAATTGTCTCCTCTCCTGCTACAAAACGGTTTCTCTACAAGATTACTCCTCTCTGCTACAGAACGGTTTCTCCACAAATTGTCTCCTCTCCTGCTACAAAACGGTTTCTCTACAAATTGTCTCCTCTCCTGCTACAAAACGGTTTCTCTACAAGATTACTCCTCTCTGCTACAAAACGGTTTCTCCGCAAATTGTCTCCTGCTACAAAATATTAATTTCATAAATGTTTCCAGCTAAATGTTTATTTGATGAAAATTATGATATTAATATTAACCGGTTAACCGGTTAAAAACTCTTGAAGGGATGTAAAGAAAATTTCATTTAACACAAACTCGAAACGACAAATCCCCGACAGTGAGAAACGAGTGAATTGCTCAAGCTATGCAAATATGGGATATTTAAACCAGAAACCTACACCATCCTCCATACTCTACATACTGATTAAACCGAAGAAACGACCATATAGTGGAACATTTAGCTCATGTCTTGTAAATGGAAACATTTGTCTTATTTTATAGGAAACGTTTGATAAACGTAACTTCTTTTAAAGGTTTAAAGTTTTGTAGCAGGAAACGTTTAGTGGTGGAAATGTTGGCGAAACATTTCCCGCAGGATTCTTTTTGTGGGGGAAACGTTTAGTAAGTGCTCCATAATTCCACTTAAAATTGGTCAAAGACTTTCACTATTATTTACAATTTGTTTAAAAATCGAATTGTCAGTTGCGATGTACATACTGAGTACTGAGTGAATACGTATTTAAAACTGTGTTTTACATTTTAAAAGATTATAATTTTATCCCTATGACCAAAATCAAGTAGATATTAGTGCAAGGGTCCAAACTAAAACTTTGCAAGCTTGATAAGAACCAAAAAAAATAGTTAGACATTTTTTTTAACACCATGTATATTACATCGCACATTTGAAAATATTTTGGTACATTTTTTACGTTTCAGATAGGAGCTTAGAAAGAGAGACTCGATAAGTTGTTTTATGGTACTTTTTATGCATTTCCAACTCAATTTTAATATTTTGCCAATCTTCCCAAAAAATCATGTACTTATTCTTAAAAATGGCCTGGGGGGGGGGGAGGTTTTAGAACAAATTGAACTTGTAATCCATGTGTTATAAAAATATATATTTTTGTTTAGGTAACTAATAAGCTGTGATGGATAGATAAGAAAATATCTTCAAAATCTATGAAACTATTCCATTGAATCATGAATGATTAATTCACATATCGTAAATGGATAAATAATAAGATTTTTAATGAAAATGGGTCGAAAATTTTGCTGTTTCTGTTATCATGTATACTTCTCTTATGTTCATAGCATAATATTCATATGTTCATAGATCGCATAAGATTCATACCTCAACTGAACATGTCCCGATGAACTAAAGTATGATTTGACCGTCATGGTATTTTTAGCAGTACTTCTTAGGATTCGGATCTGTTGCAGGAGCGGGGGAAGGCAGGCGGCCATGAGCCACCACTATTTCCCCTTCCGTACCACATTTTAGCTTTTTTCTCTTCCGGCAGCCATGAGCCACCACTATTTCCCCTTCCGTACTACCACATTTGACTATTCCGGGCAAAACTACTTTTTTAAATGGTATATTTAGGGCCTTTAAAGTGTGATTTTAAAAAATCCAGCCGCATCACGCAAAAAAGCACAATTCAATCTATTTTTTCAATTCTACTAAAGATTAATATTTTGTGTGTTGAATTCTTAAACTGTTTTTCAATGAAATTTTAGACAAATTTGACTGAGTATTGCATCTTGAAATAGCACAAAGTCTAATGATTATTCAATCACTGACTCATTATACTAAATCCATCTTTAGATCACTCATTAACCAATAACCATTAGACTTTGTGATATTTCAAGATGCAATACTCAGTCAAATTTGTCAAAAATATCATTTTTAATAGTTTAAGAATTCACACATGGGTATAACGTTACAAGATCTGAGGCTGCAGCGCCGGCCCCCTAGCCGCAGCATTTGGCCCAAAATTATTGTAACCTAACCTTCTAGTAATAAAACTATACTGTGATTTTTTGTTTAAACATGCTTAAAACTGTTTGGGAGGCTTAGTCATAATCACCGTGTATTAATTCCATATTGCAGTCTACATCAGATTTTTGTAATTCATCTATAAGTCGACACTTGCCCATAATCCATATAAAGTCTTTCTGCAGTCCCTCTACCCTTGTTTTCTCCTCCTATAGCCTGGAAAAGTCCTTAAAGTCGGATAAAATCCTTTTTTTATTTTCAACATTTAAGTCAAAACGGCAATTAATAATACCCATTACAATGACAAAAAGAGATATAATATTTCTTTTAAGTGTTCTCTACTTATATGCAGTTTCTTAGGTCGTAGGTTGTTTTGAAACCTTAAATATATGAATTAAGTATTCCTTGCTTTTTAAGTTAAAAAAGATACAATAGCTACCCCAGTAGCAGTGGTGCGCGAAGCGCCAAAATAAAAGTTTGGTATTTTTTCTTTAATGGCAAAATCTGTCAAAAGATGGTCCACAATCATAATCGTGATACAGTCGAATGAATGAGGGGGGGGGGGGAATTTGGTTCGACGCTACCCCTAGTTGCGCCACTGTAGCTAACTGAATCATTAATTACAGCATATTTACTTCATTTTCTAGGATTTGTTTGCAATTCAATGATTTGTGTTAATAGGCAATTTCGTCAAACCTTGTGTTTAAGGCCCCCCAGATTTTATTATGTACTGACAACATAAAATGATTATATGGTTACATAAAATTGCGTGTTACTATTAAAAAAAAACTATTTTATGAAAATGATATGTCCAGTTTTATTTTTACAAAAAAAAATTGCTCATAAAAATAAAAAGGTTATCCAGTATTGCTAATGTGATTTCATACAATTCTGTGTTACCAATTTAAATAAAAGGATTTGAGGAAAATTATGTCCACTTTACACTGATAATTTAATTTCTCAATAATATAAAAAAAATTCTCCCTAGCGATTTCTATAATGTTTGACGCTTAATTTTCGATTAAAATAGATTTTTCAATACTTATTGATTTTGTATCATTAAAAACTGTTTTGCCATGTTGAGATTATTTGAAGAAAACGTCTTTGTGCGTGGAAGTGAAAGCCAGATATCTTTTATTAGAGACCAAAATGCAGGACGTTGGAGACAGAATGGCTTAGACTTGGAGGTGTGGTGACTGTTTTGCGAGAATTGGGCGTGGTTCTTCTGCAGGAGGCTCCGTACTCTGGAGGTTATTTCTCAGAGCTCATGGCGGCCCTGCACCTGTTGGGTCATTTATTACAAATTTTAAAGGAAATTCAGACTTGCCATTTTTGACAGATTTTGAATAAGAGATTAAAATATGACTGAGAATATTCCAAATAAGATATGATACGTAAGGAGGGGGGAATGCAATTCACACCCGTATAACTTTCATTCCACAATTTCACTCTTGTATGCCAAGTCCATTAGCATCTGATCAAATCAGGGTTCAACCATGTGTTTATTGTCTATTCTGAACCAATAGAAATTGCATGGCGGTAACATCTATCTCATCATCCAATTAGAGATAAATCCTTATATCGGCGCTATAACAGTAAATGGATATATTACTTCTACTGAATCTATAGTGATTTACTTACAAACAGACTTGCGGCAAAACATTAACCCATAGTGCTTCTTTAGCTATATATCTTCCGTCTAAATGTCTTGTGCTTTTCTAAAATACTTTTTACATGTGGGCTAATGTTATTCTTCTCTAAAAATGTTTTTGAAGGAAAGAGAGGAATCAATTTTTTACCAGAAATACCACAGTTTAATTGAAATTTGGTTTAAAATTATCTAAATCAGTCTGTCTATCTATCTATCTGACTTCATATAATTTAAAACCGAATTGCACGCAAAACTGCATTTTTTTTTGTAAAGATTGAATTTCTCCTTACCTTTAAAAACATTTTAAAAGAAGACCAATATCAACCCACAAGCACAAAATATTACTTTTTCTTTGCCCCCCCTAGTCGATTTTTGCCCCACCCCCTGTCCTTAAAAATGCTGTTATTTTGTGTATAGTCTACTACATGTCCCCTTGTAAAATGAAAGGCGGACTTTGGTCATTGATAGACTATTAGTCTGGTTGATTAATTTACCAATCGATTAATTGATTGGCAGACTCCCCCATTTCATTGTAGTAATTTTTTGCTTTTATTCAAATTATTTGATTTGGTTTTCAGTCAAATCTTAGACATCATTTAAACACTGGCTTTGGGTTTGAAGTATCCACCTATAGTGTTGTAATACTTAAAGAAACTTAATATCATCAACATCATAATCAAATGCAGTTTTGGTTGTTCAAGTTACCAGTTGTAAGCTTAATTGTTCTTATATCTTTTTTAAATTTATGTTTATGATTTAAAAAAAATTGTAGATCTCTAATAAAGTGACATAACCGAAAACCATTGAGAATTAAACAGAATCAAACACTTATAAAACTAAAAGACAATTTGTTACCTTCCACATTTATCAGCAAAATGATGACAAGGGTACTGTTGTGAATTGGGCATGTTCCTCTTTAAATGGAGGGTCACATAAAAATTAAACTTACAGTTCCTTCAAGGGAATTTAAGCTAAGGTTATCTTTTCCAAAAATTGTAATTTATTAAATGTTTTAAGCTTTTATAGTAAATTATCTAAAATAATTGAACATTTTATTTATTTTTAATTCAAAGACTAAATCAAAACATGGGTTAAATTGGTTACATGTCAATTATGAGAATGGGAATAATCACCTGAACAGAATTAAACACAAACAGAGTCTTTCAAAATTTGTAAATTAAGATGTGAAAACTGCTTTAATAATTCTTATTTAAAACTTGCTAAAAATGTAAAGATTAAGGGGTTTTCCATTTTCTCTGATACATCAGTTTCTAAAATTGTTTTACTCTCATCTCCATCTTCTGTAAGGAGGTTGTCCTCCTGGTGCTGGTGTAGGTTCTCCTCCAGGAGCAGGTGCGCCTCCTGGTGGTGGTGCAGGAGTGTCACCACCTGGTGCAGGTGTTTCCCCTCCTGGAGCAGGTGGGGGTGGACCTCCTGGTGCAGGTGTGGGTTCACCTCCTGGTGCAGGTGTTGGTTCACCTCCTGGTGCAGGTGTGGGTTCACCTCCTGGTGCAGGTGTGGGTTCACCTCCTGGTGCAGGTGTTCCGGCCGGAGCAGGTTCCCCTCCTGCTGGTTTGTCTCCACTTGGTGATGGAGGTTCTCCTCCTGACCCTGGTGGACAGCCTTCACATTCTTGGACTTTATTAATTTCTGGACATTTAGGCACCGGGACCTCCTGTTTTTCCTTTTCTATTCCAGTTTTTAATCCTGTCCTTGTTGGTGAACATCTAAAAAATCCCATTTTTTATTTGCATCATATGAATCAAGTTTTTAAAAATAAATAGTAGATAATAATAAAGCCTTTACTTATCGCTGCAATTAAACTTTCAGGGAAAAGAAATCTGTATTGTTATACAAGCATTAAAAAGATAAATTCCCCTCCCCCCATCCCTGAACTGTAAAATTCTAAGTCTATAGATTAATATAGCAACTAAAAATATGTTAAATCTGTTAAATGTTAAATCTCGAAACATATCTGCATATGTACCTCAACATAGCTTAGCTTGGTTGATTTTAATTTAAATGATTAATAGAATTGGTCTATAATTATAATTATTCAAGCATTATTAGAATAACACTCACTCTTTGACATCAGGACCTTCAATACATCTTCTTTCTCTGGTATATTCCTGGGAGCCTTTGCCTTCTGACAGAGTTAAAAATGGTTAGATGCAAATAAATAAATTTGAAAAAAATGATACATAATTGTATTTTAGTTATTTTGTGTTTTGCTTACCTGCATTGCATTTTGGCTCAGATGCATAAGCCCATGCAGACCATAATGACCAAGTTCCTTGACCTGTAACATAATTTATTAAATTTTGCTTGGTTCTATGGGCAATCATTTTCATTGAAAATCAACACCTATTCCCCAGTATTTGAAGGTTCAAGCCATATTGATTACAGGTTGGGGGTGATTCTAAGCAATGCCCTAAAAGGAAACTTACTCTCTGCTGGACAAGGAGTACAAGCACCTTCCCCGGTGTCGGTCCAGGTTCTGTTTCTTCCAGGATCAACAAGGGGCCTGCACTCTTCATTCTTCAATTCTTCGTTAGTGCAGGTATTTATGCATTTCCTAATAAAAAGAACAATCAAACTTAAACATAAGAGACATGCTTGATGTAACTTTGTATGTGTATGTTTACCTGTTTCTCTTTCTTATTCCATCATCACCGCACTTTATGTCACATTTTCCCCAGTCTCCCCACTCTTAATGTTTTTTTTTTATTTCTCACATCAATGTTTGAGAGATAAATTTTTCATTGTTATTTTAGGATTGCTATTATTTATTTGTAGATTTATAGTCATGTTAAAATATCAATCCCATCTCCTTTTGAGATGCAATTATAAATACCTGTCCATTGTGTATACTTGCATGGAGGGGTGCTTTGGCCTGGGGGTGCTACTATCTAAAATTAAAGTAAAGGTATAACTTGGAACAATTGATTTCATTCAGACTTCATTTTTATATTATGAGAATGTTTAAAAGAATAATAAAGCTATATTTAAAAAAATAAATTAACGTTTTATCAACTCAGACTTACTGGTTTGCAGGGATCAAGTTGACATTTGATAGCTCTTATGTTAACATAAGGCAACTTGCTATATTTCTTCTTGTCTTCTTTTTGAAGTTGCATGTTTGTTGTTACTTGTCCTGTAAGGAAATATGTATTTATAATCGGATTATAAAAAAGTGAATTTCAAAACAACAAGCATGTAAAAAATATGACTAGTATTATCAAAAGGAATTGAGTCTTTGGCACAAACTCTGATTTTCTAATTCCTATATCTCTGCAACCCATTGTCGTAGAACTTAGATATTTCAAACTATGAATTCTGTTGCATCAAATTATCTTAGTTTGAAATATCAAAAGTCTACAACATCAAGTTCTATAGATATAGGGATTAGAAAATTTGAGTCTGTGACTAAGACTCAATTCCTTTGTTATATGTTTAATTACTTTCAGTTTGTTTAGTCAGGCAAGAGTTTTCAAAACTCTGTTAGTATATGGTATTTTGTAGAAGAGTTTTGTTCAACTTTAAATGATTCAAAAATGTCTCAGGCAAGTAATCAGTTTCTTTATATAAATACATATTTTATCTTTAAATTTGTTTTTATATAATCTGTAAATAATGTCAGTAGCATACTTGATTTATCATCCATACAATGTTCACCACCCATTAATCCATCTAGGTATGGTTCTTTTAAAAACTTTCTTTCTTCCTAATTAACAAAAATGATAACAATTATCTACTTGAAAATAAATAAAATTATAACAAATTTATACTCACTGTAAAAAGAATTTCTTCATATCGAGTCATTTCCTATTAAATTAGATGATTTTAATTAACTTGAAGTAGTGATTTTTTATCTGAAAAATTTTGAGAATTTATTTTATTTTTGCCGATGATAAGTGTTAGACCAAATGATAGTCAATTTATTCAGCTTTGATATTACTTACAGCTTGCAGTAACATTTTTCCATCCTTCAAAATCTCATCAATATCAGAACTAAAAGTAAAATAAACCTTAAATTTTGTGTTAAAAATTGTAATCGGAAGGTTCAGAGATCAGTGATCAAAACAGCAGCTGGTCGTCAGTGTAAAATGTAAAATTTATACAATGCATTTGATAACTAAGTGAATAACTTTTTTGCAAACACATGGATATGATGTTAAGACCCCAATCTGAAGAGTAAAACCAATTTGCAGTAGATATATTGGATTAAATGAAACTGATGACTTACTCTTCTTTGAGAAGATTAGCCAGTTCTTGTGGAAGTCTTCCAAAATCATTAGAATCAGGAAAGGGTACTTTTCCTTCAGAAATTGGCCAAATATATGCATCCCATAAATTCTGAAAACATATTGAATTAAGTGAACTTCATTATGCAGAAATTTCTTGAATATTAATTAATATATTTAAACACAAATGCATTTCAAAGCATAACATTAAAAGAACAAGATATTAAAATGTTGGCAATGTATTTTCAATTTTTCGACCACAATAGTGCAATATTGTTAAAGAATAATTTTCTCAATGATACCACACTCATGTAGATGTTAATCCAAGTATTTGGATAGTTGTTTTAAATGTTAAAAAAAAGACTGATAAAATGGTTTTCTTCAAAAGGGTTAAAATTAAAATATGAACAATAAACCAAGCTTTTAAAGGGTTTTGCTCCTCTTGCGACAATTTTTAGAAGTTGTTTTTCAGGCTGCCATCTATAATTGTAATTTTTTTAAAATTTCAGGGCATGATTTATCAACTTCAACCAGCAACAAATTCACATTTTACGGAAACTCACAATAAGATTAATTATTAACTCATTAGCCATGTCTCATAGTGATCCTGTGCTTAAGTATAAGATTCTAGAGGTTAATGATCTGGTAGACTTTAACCAAGCTGCATTCATTTATTAATATACAAATAAACCTCTAGCTTCATCTTTTGAAAACATTTTTAAAAGCTTGAAAACCTTGAAATATCTCTTAACTATCAACTTGACATTCTCAAAATGTGCTCATTACAGTATTTACCATCAAGCTCTCTTCTTAAGATGTGGAATAACCTGCCTCTTGACTTAAAAAGAAGCTACTCTTTTAGTATATTTAAAAATAGACTACTAAACTCTCTTTTTGAAAATTAAATTACGATGTGTTAAAATCCGAATTGTTATTTATGTAAAACTAATTAAATATGTTTTAAAAATATTCTAATAATTGTTTTGCACATGTCAGTAAAATATTTTAAAATCTAGTTATTTTAACTAATGTATAAACTATTATGCATACGATACAATTAGGGCTTGGCACGTTCCGACTTTTTTGAAATCGTTCCGTTCCGTTCTAGAACGAGGGCCTTCAGATAAATCGTTCCGTTCTCGTTCCTTTTTTGTCGTCGTTTCGTTATGTTCCGTTCCGTCCCGTTCCGTTCCGTTCTGAGTAGAAGAAAGGTCTTCCCGTTCCGTTCTTGGCGTTCTTATTTAAAGAACGGTTCCATCCCTCTCGTTCCGTTCTTAGTCAAAGAACGTTTCCATCCCCCTGTTCCGTTCTTAGTATAGAACGATTACTTAAACCGGGTTACCTTAAAACAGGGGGTGTACAATTTGTAGATTTTTGAAAAATATTTAATTATAGAAAACAACTTCTTTCAATCCATGCAAGGAGAATTGAATACAAGGAGGGGGCAACAGGGTTTCCGTACACTTTGCTGTGACGTTTTTGGACTGCTAGAGAACTAGTTTTTGCGTAACAACAATAATAAAGATTGTAAACAATAACACAAATGATAAACAGACATTTGGTGTATCTCTGGCATTAGATGAAGATTCACCGTATACTAACTCATGTTTGTTTACATTAGATCGGCTGCCTTTATTATTGTTGTTACGCAAAAACTAGTTCTCCAGCAGTCCAAAAACGTCACAGCAAAGTGTACGGAAACCCTATTGCCCCTTCCTTGTATTCAATTCTCCTTGAACCCATGTATCCCCTTACTTACGCTTGTACTTTTATATAGCAACACATACTTACGTATAATTATATTCTTACCCTTTTATAACTGTATTTTTTTCCTTTTACCCCCTCCCCCCCTCCTTACTTTCTATAGTATTGTGTCTAATGTCATTTACAATAATTCTATCTTTCAATTTCGGTCACTACATACAGAGAAAATCTTAACTTGAAACACGTTCCTGATTTAAAATGCGTTCCCAACTTAGAACGCGTTCTTGAAAATAAGAACGCGTTAACGATTTTAACCGTTCTTTTCAAGCAATTCCGGTTCCGTTCCGTTCTATTACTAATCGTTCCAAAATTTTTAAGAACTCGTTCTGAGCGTTCGTTTTTTTTGGAACGATGGGATCGTTCTTGATCGTTCCGTTCGTTCTCGGGAAAGAACGATCGTTCCACCAGGAACGTGCTCAGCCCTAGATACAATTGCACCCTGATCTCTAATAGTTCTCTTCAAATCTATTAAATTAAATCAGTTAAAGGATTAAATGGTACCTCAGTAAATTAGGAATGCTCCTATTTAAATGAAAGGTCAATTGAAATTACTCAGTCCCTTATGTTGATCACTTCTAGCAAAAACTTACCATTACTTCAATTGCTTTGTTTTCTGTTGCTTTTCTTCTGAAGGTAAAGTCAAAGCACACTTCTGAAATTAAATTTTAATTTTACAATCTTGAAGGTTTGCTTTAATAGTTGAACAGCGTAAAATGATATATAAGTCATTCATTATATACATATACATATACATATTCTTCAGGAATATAAAGATCTTAGTTTATTAAAACAAACAATTGTGAAATCTTTGTCTAATAAAGATTTTGGGGGGGGGGGTGGTTTCCACCTCCGCCCTAAGATTTTTCCCTTTGAGTTGAGATAGAGTAGTGTGATACATGTCCTTAGTCCAAGGGAGGATTTTTTAAAAAGTTCAATAAGTATTTCTTAAAAATGTTTAAAAATAATTATTTTTAATTTGACAAATATTAACATTTGACCTATCCATTTTTCAAAGGCTTTTCAAACTTATAAATTTTAGTGATGTAGCTAAATAATAAAGAAGTTATAAAGCATTTCTGATTTTTTTTAACACCCACCCACCGATTGACTGTCCTCCACCCTACCCTTTGCATAAAAAAAGAATTTACTAAATTTGTTCACAACTATAATGTTGGAAAAATTAAAAAGTTTTAGCCTTCTATTAATCTGTTTTTAAGTTATTAATAAAAAGCCACACAGGGGTGGAACCCCCCCCCCCCCATTTGATAGGGTTAAAACATGTGAATTGATTCTTCTATAATGGAAAGAAGAAATCATATTCATGAAATAGTTTAAGTTTAGTTGTAACTGATATAGTTTTTGAATATTTCATTACCTTTACTTTCATTTTTTGGTATATTTGGGTTCTTTTCCTTTTCCTAAATTGATGAATGTTAATAAGAAGTTCTAGGTTTCACAAATGAAGAATTGTTTCTTACCTCAAGGTATTTTTTCTTAGCCTCTTCACAATCTTTGTAAGGTTTAAAATCAGTCCATTTACAGCTTTCTAAATGTTTGTATAATTGCTTGCAATTTTCATTTTGATTTAACCTCTTACTATCACATTTTATTGACCATATGACCAAGTGAAAGTCTAGGAATGTTCATAGCTTGGTTTAAGATGTCTAAATTGATAGATTTAAGCTTTTCCCATTTTTTTGGATAAAAATTGAGCTGTAGCACAGTCTGAAATATGAGCCAAATCTTTAGTAGTTTTAAAAGGTTTCTAACCATTCTCCGTTATACAAGTTTTCTTAATTCTAAAAACTCATTAGTAAAATTTAAAAAATTGTCGTAATTTTTAAAAGAATAACTTGTAAAAACTATAAATAAAAAAAGATACACAAAGTTTGAGTCAAAGAAGGGGCTGTAAATACCCCATAAAATTAAATGTTTAATATACCCAGGCAATTCATACTACACAGCAAAATAAAATGTAAATTCAGGGTGAACAGAATAGAAGAATATTGTGGAGGGGGGGATTTTGCATTAAATCCATAAATCAATTACTTAAATTGCTCAAAATAGTAATTGAAAAATTTGATAATAGTTCCTTATCTGTACCTGGGCAATATCCAATACAACTTGGGTCATTTCCTGGATAATCCAATTTAGGAAATGTTCTGACGTCTGGTTGAATTTTTATCTTTTCTCCTGGTTTCGGTACTGGACAATGTTCTTTGCACAGTGTACATTCTTGTCTATCATGAAGACAAGTACCATTGAAAGAACCAGGTTGATCAAAATTTGATTTCTTTTCTTCGCACACACCACCATTTTTCTCTGGCCTTACCATAATTTTCACTCTTGATCTAGTTGGCATTACTTCAGGTTGATTATATGAATACATTATATCAATCAACATCTTGGAATTGTCATATCCAGATACTTTTGCATTAAGTGGCAGGCAGGTTGTACTGCACAAACTCCAGTCTCCCCATTGAGTGTAAATGCAATGTTCAGGGCACCAAGGAGTGACTGGTCCTTTCTCTTTAGACCCAGGAGTTATACAAGTTGTTTTGTCCTTTTCAGCATAAAGTCGAGAATCAAATTCAAATTTCTCATCCCTTTTACATGGTTCACCTCCAAATGCAGGTTCAGGATTGGCACAGAATCTTTCTCGTTTTCTGTTTGCTCTGGTTTCAATAGGTTTGCCTTCTTCAGGTTCAAAAATGCATTGTTGACTGCACAATCCCCATGCTGACCATGCCGCCCACATACCATTGACTGGGCATTGTTGCAAAAGGCAATTTTGGGTTTGAAGCACGTATTCTGGACTAGCCTGCCCATTTGTGCATCTGTCATTGGGGACCACTTCAAATGTTTTATCATTAACACACTTTCTGTTTCTGGTCATCACTCCTTTACCACAAGTTGAACTGCAACTCGACCATGCACTCCATTGGGTGGGTATATACTGCTCACAATCCTTCTGGGTACATTTTTCAATATTAACATATAAGTCTCTATTTGTCATTTCATCAGGGCATGGCTTACCACCACCGATTGAGGGTAAACAATATCTAGTTCTTGTCTTTGTTCCCTGACCACATGATAGGGAGCAAGCAGTCCATCCAGTCCATGGCATAAACTTGCCATCTTCAGGGCAAGCCTCCAGATTGCATTGTACTGTCTGAGTTGAATATCTTTCAGCTGCACTAGCTGATTTACCATCCTGTCCATAGCACAGTGGGTTGTATTCTGGACTATCTTTCTTTGCTTCATCTTGAACACAATCCCTTTTCCTTTTTTTGCATCCACCACCACAGGTCTTGTCACAAGAAGACCATGCGCCCCATTCTCCCCAAGTTGCTCTTAAAGCTTTTTGACAGCAGTATCTTACTTTCATATCCTTGCAAAACTCTTTGGGACCATTCTTATCCTTGCAGGCATACCCAAAAAATGGAGTAAGCTTAAATGTTTGATAAATATTTTCATCCATTTTAAGCTCATACCAAGGAACCTGATCTTCTGTGGTGATGGCATCTATGTAGTGGGCACTCTCTGGAATTGTTCCACAAACAGTGTGTGCCAGCTTTGCTACTTTAGCTGAAAAAGATGTTTTTTTTTACAAAGTTGTATAAAATTATTTTTTATGTGACAAACCTGCTCTATCTCTAAGCTCATATTCTCCATCTTGACCCCAGAGGTTGGCTGGATAATCTTGGTTAACCCAGTCTTTCCATTCACACTCATGGAACAGATGAGCAAGTGGTGGAGATTCTGAAATGGTTAGATCCTGTAGAGCCTAGAAACTCTCCTATTTCGGAAATCTGAAGGAATCAAGTATCGCAAGGATAATTCTTCAGGGGTTTAAACCAAAAGAGGTTTGAAGCTAAGGGAAAAGTAAAAATATTTTATTGAAATATGGGAAATGATTTTTTGTGTGAGATCTTGAAAAGATTCTTTGAAAATATCTACATAATAAAAAGACATTAGTATATGAATATGTTGCAAATAGCTGGCCAAACGACTGGACCGATTGGGTTGAATGTTTTTGTGAACACTCATGGGTGGCAGGGGGATGTTATAGGCTATAAAATTTGATTTTTTCCAAAATTTTAAATTTTTTCAAATTTTTTTCTCCATGGCAACGATGGCCCTTCTGCTAGTTTTTTTTTAAATGTACACATGCCAACCCTTCTGAAATCTTAAACTTATGTCACTTACCCACAACAATGGAAATGGAGTATGTTTTCAAAACTTGACTGATGGACTGAAATCATTTTTATTAATAAGAGTTGTTAGTGATTGAAAGTAATGATAATGAGTGGCTTACCTGCCATAGATTTTTGTTATCTGATAACTTGACATTTAGAGCCCCTTCAGATTTCATAATTGTGAATTGATCAGCCTTGATAAATTTTATATTTACGTGATTATTAAAAGGATGATAAATGTATCAAACTTACACTACGGAACTCTGAAACAATAGTTTTTACTCCACTCAGTTTGTCTACCATCACAGTCTGAAAATTTTAAACAAACTTAGTCTTTAAAACATTCTAAATAGATTTTCAGTGCACTACATGCTTGGTGAATCTTATGAGGGGGGGGGGGGGGGGGGAATCTAGTTCTGAACTGGCTTAAGTGATATAATTTCAATTTTTCTCAGCTATCTAACTTAACAAACTATTTATTGGATTAACTATTTTCTCAAAAAACGTTTTTCTGAACAAGTTATTTTTTTAAACAAATGATTTTATTGAGAGCACAAATGAGATGATGTTTAACTAAAACAGTGAAATAAAATTGCCTGAGATTGACTAAAACATGGTGATCAAGCTAAAATAGATTAGAAGAAGAATAACAAATACACTAGATCGTTAATGAACAAATGAAAAAAATAAAGAAAAAATAAAACATGTTTATTTTACCTGATAGTAGAGTGCCCTAACATTAAGAGATTTCAAAAGTTCTGTAAGAGTTGTGTTTCTCATATCCTTAAATATCACAGTGGTTAGTTAGATTAGGCAATTACTGTGAAGAAATAAAAAATTCAAATCGATCATGACCAAATATAATCTTACCCATTTAATATCATCAAAAAGGTTGCTGCCTGAAACATAAATAAAATCTTTGGTCAATTAAAAAATTTATTAACAAGTAGTAACAAGTAGTAAATCTGAAATGATATCTTTTCATTTACAGCTACCAAGCAAAATATGGTTTTCTCAACTATCTGTTTTGTTTTTGTAGTTAGGAGTATAGGATCGAATGATTCATTGGGTCCTAATTTGGATCCTTGAATATGTGACTAAAAGAACCTTTTCCAAAGAAACTGTAATTTCTAGTACTTTAAAATTCATATGTTACAATCTTAGCCAATTTTTAAAAAAATCAGTTAAACAAATTGAAAAATATTTAAGATTTATGATTTTTACAGTCAAATCAAACCTTTTTTCAGAGTGGTAACAATAGAAACTTTTTGAAATAAATGAACACTGAAGGAAATTTGAAAAGTTAGATTTCTGGAACTAAACTTTGAGCTACAATTAGACATCCTTGCTGTTTACCTCCTGGTGCTGCTGGAGCTGTTGTGTTTCCGGCTGATCCATAACCTGCAGGTGGTTGACCATATCCTCGTGGGGTGGGTTCTATCTCAGCCTTTTCAACAGCTGGTAGAACCTGTGTGACTGAAACTACGCCACTTTCATCCTGTTGTCACAATTTACTTGTCCAAATTTAAGTAGGTTGGGTATTTTTTGCAAAGTATCATTTTTGAGATTTAAAATTTTTTTTTATTGGAAAGAAATGGACCACATGAATTTCAAAATTAAGGGGGATTAAACCCAATACAGTATGAAGTCTGGTTTACCCAAAATAGTCAAGGCCCCCCCCCTTCTATTGCCTTATTGTGATACAAATTGATAACATTTGAAACACTTTTGAAAAGCCCTTGGGCTCCAATTAAATAATCTACAAAACAAATTGCAAATTTGCAAAATTTCAAATATTTATTGCAATTCAAAAAATTTGCAACAACAAACAGTGTGCGAAATATGATAAATTATACATTTTATAAGCCTGCCATGACAAATTCATATTTGCAAAAATGTTTGTAAAATTTTCAAAAAAAATAATTTATTTAAGAAAAACTGAAAATGTGAAAATTCTCTTTAAAGGTATCTGTGCAAAAAAACTTTGCAAAATTTCTTCACAAAAATTGTGCAATCTGCTTCCTTTGTTCAAGGCTTTTCAAAGAGCTATAAAAAGTCTAAATCCAATGACTGGATGTAGGTCTAAATATAGATTTAGTAGGGTGAAGGTTAAATAAGGCATTTAGGCAGTATGCATGAGGATTCGGGTAGTAGGTATAAAAGCCCTGCACTGAGCCTAAAGTGAGGGGCATGTGTTTGTTAGAAAAGTCAAAAAAATTGAACAGACTCAGACCAAGTCTTTTTGAGTCATCTACCAGAAAACTTCAGGGCCCCCCTGAGGACCCCCTCATCAGGGGTGTCTCATGTACTTTAGAGAGAAGGCAACTTCTAGTCCCTATTATTCAATTTTTATCATAAATTAACTAAATTTTTGGCTGAGAAGTGGCACCACAGTTTTAATTCTAAAATAATTGATAAAAATTGAATGATAGGGACTAGAAGTTGCCTTCTCTCTACAGTTTTCCAGGAAAATATCCTCCCAATTGTACAGGTGGGGAGACCCCATTCCTCCCCCCCCTTAAGCCCCTTCTTTTGGTAACATCTATAGTAGCTTCCATGAATCAGGACATAAACTGTCCTTGATTGTTGTAGCAACTGCAGCAATAGCAGCTTCATCCCAATGCAGGTAAATCTGAATAAAACTATGCAATCATGAAGGTCATGTTTGAAAATCATTAAAAGAGTAATGATAAATTGTTTAAACAAATCTGAGCCTACCGAAACTGTGGAGAGGAGCTGCTTGGCTTCAGATGGATTGTACAGTGAAAATGTGTATGTGCTAGATTTATCTGGACGCCTGAGTAATCATAAACTTGATACAGTTTAAAGTCTGAAAGTGGTAATTACAAGACAGTCTTGACATTCACTGATATCAATTTATTGAAAAAGATCAAATTCTGAAACTTATCATGAATATGCATAGTTGGTGAAATAAATGCACCATGTTAAACAGTAAAGAAATGTTTAAATACTGATTTAAGAATAATATTTTAATCAGCGGACATGTAATAGCAAGCACTATGAAGGACACATAAAAGTGGAAGAACAAACAGAGTATCATACATGCATACACATAATATGTAGCGATAATGAAGCTTCAGAGAAATAGATTAAATTCTGAAATAATAATATAAAGAAATGGTTGGTACTACAAATACACTATTGTAAGGATTTAAAATGTTTTTCTTACTCAATCTTTTCAAAGTTTCCATTCAGAGCTGTAGTTGTTGATCCACAAATCATTTTCCCTGAAATGATTGTTCCCTTTGCTTCCCCAGACTTAACACTGAAATATAATATTAGGTTTGTTTACTGGCACTTATTTACAAGTCAACATTAGAGAACTGTTCCAGACAGTTTTGAACAGAACCATTATAATAAAAGGTAGTGCAGTTTGCAATAGTAAATATAGAAATCTTTAGTGTTTAAATAAGTTATTTTGATTCAACTAAATATAATATGTTTTTGAGTTTTTAATGGCAGAAAAGTGCTCTATAACTACTTTGTCTTAATCTTAAAAAAATGTTGCCATCTGGAAAAAATTAGGTTGTTACTTGTTGTAAAGTTGAGTTAGAACATCTTGACTTCTAACTTAAGCTATTTAGCCTGATAATTTATTTTGTACGATCCCCTAATCGCATGGAAAAACTAAAGGATTAATTCTAAAGGTTTCTGAAAAAGTTCAACATTTAAAATCTTTCACCAAAAATATTGACCTCATAGTACCTACTCAGGGCAGCCGTAGCACATTTTAATTTCCGAGCCGGGTCAACCTTTCCAGTCCCAGTTTGTACTGTGTTGCCCGGACATTGGGTAAATAAAGCAGACACTCAATAGGACTAGGCCGTGCAACAAGGTTGACGTGGTCAGATTTTAGGTTGAATTTAGTGTAGTAAATACTACCTAATTTTCTAACTTAATTATTTCAAATTATTAATGAAATGTAAAGGTATATGAGGTTACTTACTCAATTATTAGAGTGCTTGGCTTGCTTCCCTTAACTCCATCACTTACAACAATTGTAAAGCAAATGGTCTAAAATGCAAAAAGTATATGTATTATTTATCAATAAAATATAAAAAATTTTACTCTTGTAAAGTTTTGACCTTTTTTAAAAAAAATTAATAATGCTTTTAAGAGGATAAACTTACATCTCCAGTTCTCTTATATGTTGTCCATGCTACTCCGAAGGGAATAGAAGGAGGTATACGGCTTCCAAATACCTCAACTCCCATGGGTCTCCACATTTTGGATGTTCGGCAGCAGTACCTGAATAAGTCATGTTTCTAACATAATATTAATATTATCATTATCATTTAAGTATAAGCTTGCTAAGTTTTAATGAAATATGGGTTGAGGTTTTAAGCTATTGTGATGTTTTTTTATTTTTATTAATATATGTATATATATACTGAACTAGCAGTCGCACATAACATTAAAAAGAAGATTTGAAAAATTTAAAAATGTTTAATTTAACCAGGTCAATAACAAACATTAAGATAATACATACCTTGCTTTATAATCTAAACAAGTGTTGTTCTTGTCATCAGCATAGATGAAAGGAGGTGGAAGCTGTTTTATTTTTTGTTCTTGATTCTTACAGACTATGCTCTGTTTGCTAACCTAGAAAATGTTAAATATTTATTTAAAGGCTATTTGTTTTTTGGAAATTAAAAACTCAACCTGCAAAATTTGATCAAACTTTTCTCCGTTTGATCCAACAGCTTGTCCAGCAATAGCATCTTCAGCTTTAATCTTAAATAAATATTATTAGAATTTGAACCTTAAATGAATATTTTGAACTATGTCAGGGAAAATATTTTATAAACTGAATTTTTAAACTTAATTTGACCTGTGTTATTTCTGATCCTCCTTCGTGACAAACTGCAATGATATCTTCAGCTGCACACACCCTGACATATTAAGTTTTTTTTTGGGTTTATTTTTATTTTATATATAGTACACTCACCTGAGAGCACCAGTGTATGAGGACTGGAGGTATCGGAAGTGTTCCGAATGAAGTTCTTTATCCTCATCAGAGTTGCAAGGAGCGTCATGGTCAAAGTATTCTGTCCACATGCAGTTGTCCCCACCTGAGAGGTAAAGAATAACATTTTATTATCTTGCTTAATGTATTTACTGACATTTTCTTATTACGACAGTTTAGACAGGTCCCAAGAAATGTTTGGATGTGAAATGGTTTAATGAGTTTAAAATTGATTCATTTAAGTAATAATCAAATTTTTGGTTGAATATTGTCAATTAACTTTAAAAGTCTAAAATCTTTTTATCTTTTTTATATTTCTTTTAAAATGTACTTGCCATTCAAAGGGAACATTGTATTCACATTTCCAAATCCAAGTCCAACAACTTGGGTTTTAGCGTTAACATTCTCTACAGTTTGGAAAAACTTCATGGCTTCACAAATGTTACAAAATTCAAAAGGAAATCCAGCCTAAATGTTTAATTTGTTTATATTATTATAAAGTTTAATTTTGGTTATTTTTCAGTAATTTTGAAAGTTTTCCTTTTATTTGTAAACAAGAAAAAGCTGTAAAAGTTTTATTAGTAAAAATGAGTAAAAAACAAGAATTGGGTGTTTTAAACAATTTATTTAGATTCTAGGAAAAGAACTTACCATTTTTTTACCACCAAACTTAGCGTCATTAAAATTGTCTCCACCAGGAGCACTTGACATCCCTTTCATGTACTAATAATATTGATATAAGAAATAACAATTTTTTGATAATTGTGTTTCACATTTAGTTTACTTACACTGTTGATGTCTATGATGAAAACTACAGGTCCATTGCAGTTCTCTGCAGCTGCACATTTTGAGCAGTCCTAAAATTAAATCTATAAAAAGAATTGGCAATAAAGCATAAATTTATAATCTCACAACCCTTGACAAATTCAGGCTGCAAGGAAAACCTAAATTTATTTTCTTTAGAGGGAGTGCTCGCGAAAAATGAAATGGGGTATAGGCCTATGGTGAAAAATAATTGCTTTTGATAGCTTCTAATCTTACTTCTATCTGTTGCGTCTATAAGGAAAAAATTGTTAAAAACGACATATACTAAAGAACCAAGCAGCCATTCAAATGCAGAAAGTTGCAATATTTTACTCGGATCGTAAAAAAATCAATTTAATTTCAAACAAATCATTCATTAGTTTCAAACCTATATTCATCGATTATTTTTCGACGCATTCTTAAATAGTTAATATTTAATATTTCTTTGTATTCAATGCAATTAAAACACGAAAATAGTTGGCTGCCAGATGTCTTAGCTCTCAATGCTTTGTATGATTGCACATGGCAGAGACACCTAGACAAAAAGTTTTTCTAAGCACATTGTTTATAGAACAAACAACAATTGAATTAAAATATTAACTTTATACGAATGCATCGAAAAATAATTTTTGACTTTAGGTTCTAGTATCTGAATGATATATTGCAACTTTTTGAATTTGTAAAGACGCTCTGTTCTTCAGTATAAGTCATTTTTAACAATTTTCTCCTTATAGACGCAACAAATAGAAGTAAGATTAGTAGCAATCAAAAAGGATTATTTTTCGCCAGAAGCCTAAACTCCCTTTCATTTTTGCAAACGTAAAAGATTCCCACCTTTGCATTATCAGACCAAGGTTTCTTAGTTGCTCCACCATCAACATCATTATCAACTAAACAGTGTTATCTATGAATAGAAAATACTAATCTCTGTTTGTTTGTTTGTATATCTGATAACACAAACAGAACCATGCAACCAATTTCCCATAAATTTTGATTGGGAATGGAAACTTTGTAGAACCAGGAGGAAGGTTTGTTTGTATATCTGATAACACTGACAGAACCGTTGACTAATTTCCCATAAATTTTGATTGAAAATGGAAACTTTGTAGAACCAGGAGGAAGGTTTGTTTGTATATCTGATAACACTGACAGAACCGTTGACTAATTTCCCTTAAATTTTGATTGAAAATGGAAACTTTGTAGAACCAGGAGGAAGGTTTGTTTGTATATCTGATAACACTGACAGAACCGTTAACCAATTTCTCTTAAATTTTGATTGGGAATGGAAACTTTGTAGAACCTGGGGGAAGGTTTGTTTGTATATCTGATAACACAAACAGAACCATGCAACCAATTTCCCTTAAATTTTGATTGGGAATGGAAACTTTGTAGAACCTGGGGGAAGGTTTTTTGCTTTGTTTAAAAATCCTAAGTTGAGTGGGTTGACTTTCACAGTGAAAGTTAAGTACCAGTCAAAGCTGGGGTTTAAAGCTGGTATTTTATGTAATAATTCTTTAAATACTTTTCAATTTAAATACTTACTAATATCATAACAGTCTCCCTTTTGTACAAAGTTGATTTGTGACAGTCTGTTTTCATTCTGAAATTTAAAAAAACGTTCGTAATTAAAACTTAGTAGTTGCTTCTTCTATTTTCTCATGAAGGAAAATATAAAATTACCTTTAAGAATGTTTTCAACTGGCAAATAGACTTGAATCTTCTTGGTTTTCTATCAATGACAACGCAAACTGGATTTCCACACCCCTAAAAATATGCATTTGTCTGATATTGCTTAAAGGTACATATTTTTTGAAAAATACACCTGTACCCTCCTTGTAAATAACGCTTTCCAACATATCATATAATTTAAATAATTTATATGGATTAAAGAATTTATTTTGATGGTTGCAAAGTGGAATAGTTATTGGTAACAAATGGTAACTCACTTTAGAATATTTAATTTTTTCTACAACAATTTTTTGATTTTAAATTCAATTATTTTAAATCTTACTTCTGGATCCTGTGGATCTGGTTTATGAGGGAAGGGAATGGCTTTAGCCTGAGTTTTAACTTTAGATCCTCGAGTTTTCTGCTTATTACTTGCTCTGAAGAACCCACCTAAAAACAGAACATGTAAATATCTCTCATTTTTTCTCCAAAATATACAATCTTATTCATCCAAACTTAACAACAGATTAGTATTCAAAAACAAAATCATAGATTCTAAATACCTGTTATAAAACACAACTCTTACATTAACTAAAGAACTAAATACCTGTTGCAACTTCAACTTTATTGTTATCATTGTAGTTAAATACCTGTTGCAACTTCGACTTTATTGTTATCATTGTAGTTAAATACCTGTTGCAACTTCAACTTTATTGTTATCATTGTAGTTGAATACCTGTTGTAACTTCGACTTTATTGTTATCATTGTAGTTAAATACCTGTTGCAACTTCGACTGTATTGTTATCATTGTAGTTAAATACCTGTTGCAACTTCAACTTTATTGTTATCATTGTAGTTAAATACCTGTTGCAACTTCAACTTTATTGTTATCATTGTAGTTAAATACCTGTTGCAACTTCGACTTTATTGTTATCATTGTAGTTGTAGATTTTCCTATCTGCTATCCCAGCCCAATCAGAATCCGGCAAAGTACCAAGAATACTGAACATTTTTTGTTAAATATTCACATTCAATTTCCCTGACTGAATTTAATAAATTTGAGCTACAGCTGAGTACTGCCCGTTTCAAATTTACCATCAGTAGTTCCTTTTACCCAAAATTTCATAAAATAAAAACATAAAAAAAAGTTTTAAGAGAGGGGGGGGCCGTATTTCGATTACTTAAAAGAATATATATCAATTTGAACTACTGAGTATATCGCAGTTGTACTACTTATGTTGCCAATCTAGATTAATATTTGAATAGGAACAAAAACACTTGAACAATTTTTAAACACAAGATCTCTTACGCTGGATCTCTCTGTAGGTCTTGAAGCTCGGAGTCATCCAACTATTAGTATTACATTTTTAATGTTCAGGTCTAGAAAGGGAGTGACCGGCTATGTATGGTAGTTGAACTGAATATGCAGAATTGTGGAAAAATTATATTTAGGATTTATTTGAGACATATAAAACGTTTCTTTAATGTATAATCACTGATTTTGTGCCCAAAGTTGACTTTCACAATCGTCTATTTGTATTGGTATGTTTTGAGAATTGTTTCTTTTAAAATTATTACTTAATGACGACAAAAAATGTGAAAAAATTCTTTAATAATCTGATTACATAAATCAGCTGATTTAGATTTACATTCGTATCTTAAATTCATGTTGCAGCCCGCACAGGGGCACCATAAAAATACACAGGAATATTTTGATGATCAAAAAAAATTAAAATGAATATTAATACTTATTTTGATGATAACAGTTAACTTTTTTTCTGAACCTGCTTCTATTTTTGCCATTTGTTTATTGTAGAATTATTTTTACATTTTTTGCCGTCGTTATTTAATAATTAAAAAAACTAATTCTCAAAAAGTACCCACCCAAATAGACGATTTTGAACGTCGACTTTGCGCTCAAACTCAGAAATTATACATCACAGAATTGTTTTTATGTCTCAAATGAATCCTAAAGAATTTGTCCACAATACTACACACTCAGCTTAACTACCATATATAGCCAGTCACTCCCTTTAAAGGTAGTTGTCCTTGTTTTTAAACAAGCTATCAATTATTTGAAGTCTTTAAACCACATTTTGACATTTTACTGAGTTATTCTTTATTATTGTTTTGTTGGAAATTGGAATTTTTGTAAAAAGGAATTGAGTTTTTGCCACAAACTCTGATTTTCTAATTCCTATAACTTTGCAATCCGTTTTCCTAGACCATTGATATTTGAAACTATTAATTCTGTTAGATCAAATAGTCTAAGTTTGAAATATCAAAGGTTTACATCATCAGGTTGCAAAGATACAGGAGTTAGAAAATGCGAGTTTGTGACAAAAACTCAATTCCTTTGCAAGATAAAATCAAACTTGAAGAGAAAACAATTTTTAATTATTGATTCAAATTGGAGTTATAAATGTTTTAAAATTAAAATTTGGGTCCATGATACAAAGCAAAGTTATGAACACTGTAAATGTAAAGTAATTCCTTCAGTTTCGGGGCAATAGGCTTCACAGCAGACAGCATATCAATAAAATCATCTCCACCCAGCGCTGAATTCAAACAAATATTTTGATTTTTAGGAAATACTAATGGGATTGATCTCAATTTTTTTTTAGGAAATATCTGAATATTTTTTTAAAAATAACAAGAACAATTTGCTAAAATATAAAAGGCATTCAAATTTTCTTTTCCCTGAACCTTTGCAACCTGATGTTGTAAACTTTGATCTTTGGTCTAACAAAATTCATATTTTTAAAACATTAATGATCTAGAACATCTGGTTGCAAAAATATGGATTAAGAAAACCGTAAAAATGAACAATAAAGACATTAAAGATGACAATGAAGATTGTTTGCAAATTATCATGTTTAAAAATATTTCAAATATTATTTAAAATTCTGTTTTTAATATTTGTTTCTTTCCGAGAATTGGGAGGAGAGTAAAGGTTCCTGCCCATATTAGCCCTAAAAGTAAAATATAATAAAATTAAAGTTTAGAAAGATAGTGTTTGTAATTTGGCGCAACCAGAGGGTTTTGTCAGGGGAGGTTTAAGTTGCTTGAACACTTAGATTTTTAAGAAAACAATTTGAATAAGGATGTTTTTCAACACGGCGAATGAGAATGGTTGCACCTTCTGGTTGAGGTGAAAACTCAATCAATGCTTAATCTTATTGTTATGTTAATCTACAGATTAATTGAATCTTTATTCACTGAATGAATGAAGAGACTAAGCATTGATCCTCAAATTTAAAATGCTCATATTGGATATCAAGATTAAGTGATTGGGATTACGAGCCATCACAAAAGTTCCCAGATTAGAGCTCTTTGGTCAAGTAAAGAAGCCAAACCATGCATTCCAATACTTACATACAGTCATTGTAGATATCAATACAATAAAGACGACTTTATAGTTTTAAAATGTTGCGATTTTTTAAAAACAGCAGAGTCACGTGAGCATGTAAACATAGAGAAGTTGTCAATTAACAAGATCTTTTTGTTTACTTGTAAACTTGAAAAAAAATCGTCTTTATTGTATTGATATAGTCGCCTACCATTTATAATATTGTTATTACAGCTATTTTATATTTTTTATAGCAGTTGTCTTCTTATTGAGATAATAAAATTCAAAAATTTAGGAAAATGTTACTTCTTGTAATTTTCAAATTAAATAACTTTTTTATTTCCAGATTCACAAATAGTTTTAAATGATAGTCCAGAATAATTGATCAAAACATTTAATTATTTAAAGAATTTCCTCAACAAATATGTAAGAAAAGTTTGTGAATTAAAGGGAGTGTTTTTCTACCTGGGACTAACATTTCCTACCACTGCTCTAGTGGAAGTGAGGAACTAATTTTCAATGTTGAAAGATCTGTTCCGCCAGGGATTTAACAAAACAACAAAACAAATTTATAAAAAAAAACTAAAAAATTGAATTTAAAAAAAATAGATTTTTACAATTTTTATAATTTACAAGTACAAATTGTGTTTAAAAATGTTATATTATGAAAAGGTGTAACTGGATACTTTTGTATAAATTTGGGGAAATAAATCATTGTAATAGGATGTATGGATGGATAGATGAATAGGTGGGATAATTTATCAAATCTATTCTACACACTGGTTTCTACAGTGCATGTGAGATGTTTCCCACAGGTAGATACTTTTAAAGGGATTGACTGGAAATATTGAAAACTTTGTTTAATATTTTGTTTTTGTAGCAAATTGAAGAATAAAAAATAAATAATAATAATAAAATAGACTATGCGTAAATAATAGAAAAAATGTTTAACTCGAAACAAAAAAAGAGCATTTAAAGAAAAATATGAGAAAAAAACATGTTTTTTGGTAAAATGCAAATCTGTATGAAAATGTGGCTGTTTGACGTATATTATGCAGATTACAAAAAAATATGAAAAAGCTTGTCAAAGGAGGATCGAATTTTCCAAAACAAATCAGAATATAATGGAAATGGACAAATTTTAGATAAAAGTAAAACCCTAAAAAATTCCTATGAAACCTGTTTTAAAATTTACATTAAAAATTGAATTAAATTAAGATTTTTGTTGTCCAGCTCATCCAAGAGAAAAGATGAGCTGCAATAGCAAATTGTCATTTTTAACAAATTATTAAGTTTTTCACTTTAATTTCGAAACATTTGAAAACTATGCAACCTCACTAAATCAAGGCTGAAGTCACAGAAAATTAAAAAATATATTTTTATTGTTTCAGCACTGTTATGGGCAGGACTACTTGGCACCCTACTGCTTGTCGGAAAGGCTAAACTTTTTTTTCAAGAGATTTGATCCTAAGCATAATCTTAGTTCTAGATCTTGTAAAAAATCTATACCATTAATGAGCAGTCCATTAATATTTCTTAACTCACCCCCCTCCCCTCGGCCTTCAACTCTCCTTTCACAAGGCTTCTTTCAGCTCAAAAAAAGTCAGGTTTTAAATCGATAAATTTTCCCCATAGGTCGGTAGATTTCCTAAAAAAATTGACAGCCTGTTCATACTAAAGCATGATCTATTTGTCTGTCTATTTGTATGGATGTTCTATCATAACTCATAACCCCTTGGCCAATTTGCCTGAAAGTTTGATAAAGAAAGGACACCAAAGTTTAAATATATCTATATCTACATACTAAATGAAAACTAGACAAAATGTTTAAGTCAAATAGACACCACGTCTTTTTTCAATCTATAAACATACCCCCTTAAACTGATTGGCATTCTAAGTAGTTTTTCTAAACCCAAATTTTATGAATATTGAGAAGCAGTTAAAATGCTAAAAGTAGTTGAACCACTTCTGTGCACAACACACTGTAGTGACCTGTAGTACACTGACTGAAGAAATAACAATGTTTAGCATACGGTGTTCTCTTAATTCTGTTTAAAGATAAGGTTATGATAAGGTTATAATGCAAGGAAAGTTAATTCAGAGGTGTACGCATATTTTGTACTGCAGTGTACTCTCTCTGGGCGGTACTCTCTGTAGTGTGTAGTCTGTACTCTCTTGGATACTAAACGAACACTGATGCATCTATTCTTGTTTACAAATACGACACTGAGAGAACTGGTTTTAATATGTACGCAGAGTATACGCAACTGCTATTAACTTTCCCCGCATTAGTACCTTGGTTAAAGAGAAGCAAGGGCGTATACATAAATAAATCTAGAGGGGGGAAATAAGCTAAGCGCAACACTATTTTGCCCCCTCCCCCCCTCAGGAGCTCTTAGGGGGGGCAAAATTTGAACTGAGCTGAAAACTTTTGTGTTGGATATCCACAAAAAGACAGTATTCCTTAATATCCAGATTAAATATTGCTTGTTCTCTACATGAATTTAAACTCCAGATTAATTATTCGACGGGATATCTGGATATTTCATTCTAAAGTTTTCAGCTCAGTATATTCAAAACATTTGGCTTCTTGGATGACTTGGATACTTTAAAGGTTACATACAGTCCAGTTACCTTGCAAGTACTACTTTAACTCTCCTTCAAACAAAATAGCAGAAAAAAACACCAAACTAATTTTTTTTATATTCTTCACTCTACTATTATTTGATATTCTTTAAATTTTTTCTAAACCATTAATTTTGTTAATTATTTCAATGCGCTCCAATGTACGGAAAATGTAATGGACACTGAAAATCCGCATGTCAGATGTAAAATGCCTAGAAATCCTTTCCATCCTCTCACCAACCACGTTGTCACTTCATCTTCCGCCAACAATCAGTTACGTCATATGAGGATTTTGAGTCTCCAATGCTATGAAGACGATATTTCCATTGGAGCGCATCAAAAGTTTTTAACCTTAATGAACAACCTTGGTCTGCACTGAATTATTATTAAAAAATGTTTTGGTGTAGAGCCCGGGATCGGTAGGAGAGGAAGAGGAGGGCGTGAATCCAGCAGAGGGGGTCGGGGAGGAGGGCGTGAATCCAGCAGAGAGTTCCGACCTAGTATGTGGGCGGATCAAGCTAACCTTGTCAGCATGATGCAGAGCTCATTAATTGCTATTAAACCCACGGTAACCATGTTAACCATGTTAACCAAGATTTTCAGTTTTTCAAAGGGTTTGTCTGACTAGATCAGGCAGGTTATGGTACAGAACGGCTGCCCAGCAGGTTGTGGCGTGATAGGGCACGGCTACCTAGGTTGCGGTGTAGCACAACCGCTGGGCAGCCTGGGGGTTATCGTCAACGAGGATTTTAAAGATCGATTTTGCAGAGATACTTAGCAAGTATACACCAAACAAACGGCAATTATAGGTCTCAAATGAATCCTCAAATATTTCCTAACAAAACTGCATTCTTAGCTCACCTACCATGTCTAGCCAGACATTCCCTTTAAGATGAAATGATAAACCTATCCCGCAACATTTTTAAAGTTGAAAGATGCTTAGACTCCTTAGAATCTAGTTCAATTGTCCAATTTAAAAAAATGACCAATCCTTTGAATTACTAGACTTTAATATTATGTAACATGGATATCATGTTTTTTTTTGTAAAAAACAAAGACTTTTTCATTGGCCATCATATAAAATTTTGTAAAGCCTTTCTCTGACTCTTTAAGCATTTAGATGAATAAATATAAAATTGCAATGTTTGATGCGGCAGCTATTGCAAGGGGGGTAGACTGACGGTCATGAGCCACAACTTTCCCCCCTTCCATGCCACAACATTTTTGTCTTTGATAACTCTAACATTTTTTTAAAGGGAAATGAAAATCGAGTTTTTCAAAAATCTGCCTTGTCATGTAAAATATATTAAGACCAATAGTTGTAGCTCATGGCTGCCAGAAGACAAAAATCTGTCTTCCAATTTACATGGTCTCATGGCATGTCACTTTACTGTAATGTAGGCTCATTATTTAGAATGTCGAATCTCATTAAGATTTATTAAACTTAATTTTTACTTCTAGATCTTCGACATAAACCTGAATGATATGATGCGACCAATATGGTAAGTTTGAATTTTTTCTTCACAATATTATTATACATGTATTTTGGAAAACATCCATTTTAAATCATTTAGATATTACAACCAATAATCATCGATAATTTTTTGATGCATTCATATATAGTTGATATTTCATAATATTTTTTATTTTTTCATGATCTGATAGTTACTTTTAAAAATATTTATTCCTGTTTCGAGGATTTTTGATAATTAAGACAACATTTTTATATTTTCTATGAATGTTAGAAGATCCAGCGATAGCGAAATATTATTTTTTAAACAAAATAAAAAATATTATGAAATATCAACTATATAGGAATGCGTCGAAAAATAATTAATGACTATTTGTTTAATGTTGTGATATCTGAATGATTTGTTCATGGAATGAAAATGCATTTTTTTTACGATCCGAGCTGAATGTTATAACTTTCTGAATTTGTATGGACGCTACGTTCTTCAGTTTGAGTCGTTTTTAACAATTTTCTTCTAATAGACGCAACAGAAAAGTAAAATTGGAGGTTTGCTTTTAGAGTTAAATAAAGGAAAAGAACTTACAATAGCTACAATTTAACTTTACTTCAAATGACCACTTGACAGATTGCCATCACAATTCACAACACATTTTTTTCGAAAACGAATTGTTTTTTGTCTGTTATGGATGTATCGAAAATCCCGTAAAGGGGCTGTATACAAATGTTAAGTGATTTTCTATTTACAACAGAAGCATGTTTAATTCATATCAGTAGTGAGAGTACCCTACCTCCATCGACAATTAGGAAGATATAGTTTTATCTGTTTGGAAAAATGGTACAATTATACCAATTTTCCTCCTGACATTGCTGCATAAAACCGCAAAATCTAGGCTATATATCCTTTGGGAATAACATTTAAGGGGTACCACTTTTAATGGAGGTCTACTTGAAATAAAAAAACAGTCCCATAAACATCTTGGTTAAAAATTAATTTTGAATTATTGTGTTTAGTTTCCTTGGGCAGGTGTCCGAGAGTGATATGCCTGGATTCTATGAACCCAAGAAGTTTGTGTATAGAAACACTTCAGAGAAAAGTAAATCATTTTTTGAAAGAAAACAATTTTTTTATAAATGTCACACATTTAATTTGATTTTTCAGCTCCTTGCACTTCTAGTTTACATTGTATGTACAGTGCAAGGACCCAATATCTTTCACTTGAGATCAATACCAGTCTAGTGTTTACTCGTACTAGCCCGTCTAGTGTTTTCGGTATGTAGTTGACCCATCCCATGTTATGCAACATAAGTATGTAGGCTGGTCCTGTGTGCTTTGTTCATATAAAATTATACGGTGTACTGCACTGTCTGGGGTAACGTAAACTTTTTTAGTGCTGCTTTTGTGTAGCCTAAAATCTCCAGAGTTTCCTTTTTGGGTCAATATGGATATGTAATATTTATATATATATATATGGATATAATATATATACATAAATATTGAGATTGCACATCTTTCAAGGAAATAAATACTGTTTGTGACATTAACAATGACTTTGCGAAGATAAATTACATTTCTCAAATTAATATAAAAAGGTTCAAAAATGTTTGCTGCTCTGAGCTGGGAACTTTTGTATCGTTGATATCAAGATCCATGCTTGATCTCAAGTGTTTTGTTAATCTGCAGATTAATTTTATGTTTATTCAATATCCATAATGAAGAGATTATGCATTGATCCTCAAATTAAAAGTTCCCACAGTCGATCAAGATCAAGCAATCAGGATTATGTATATCTTACAAAAAAGTTTTCTAGAAAGTATAAATCCCTCCTAATTGTAATTTTTCTAGAAAACATATACCCCTCCTTACTGTAATTTTCTAGAAAATATATACCCCTCCTAATTGTAATTTTTCGCTTCAGGTGATGTTCCCAATGTTAACAGAGCTGCTCCTCCCCCCAGCAGAGCGTCTAACGCCAAAACACAAACCCAAGTCAAACCATTTCCTCACAAACCAAAGAAGGATGATCCCCAGGTATCAGTTATATTTACATAAATTAGATGAAAGTATAAAATTATGCGACCATATTTTTCTTTATACTTAAAGCTCTTCGCTCATATGTGTCAGCTATAGCTGGCATATATATAAACAAATTGGATGACATTTTTATAAGGGAACTCTTGGATATCTGTGGTAACAAAGCATGAGGTAAAAAATAGACATTTTTTAAATTCCATGGACAACGCCATGCAGTTCAGCTTGAATAATAATAATTATAATCAATTCAAGTGCCTATGACTATGCGCAATTATATAAACCTGGTCAACACTGGTCACACTGGTTACTTCAGCTAAAATCATAATATCTTACCAAGCGCGGTTGAATGGCGGTGGTAATTTTAATTTACAATAATAATATAAACCTTGGCAACTCCGGGCACTTCAGCTAATTTTAAGTTTCCTGTATTTAAGGGATGTGGTAACCCAGTTTGTGTAATCATTGACAGCAAACCAAGAAGATTTAAATCCCTTTGTGAATTTAAATCCTTCCTCCAGGTAAATACAGTGGCTGCCAGAAATCAATTGAATGACTGAGGTCTTCTTTTATTCTTTTAATATCAATATGCCAATTAGAATTTTGAAAATTTCCCTGGACGTTGCTAGAAAGTAGAAACGTATTGCAGTTATCACAATTTAAAATTTCTAAATTTTCACATTTCCTTAAAAACGAGAATAAAAATCATTCCATATCCCACAATCCACAATGTTTCGGTGACCACTGTACACATATATTTGTTTGCACACTGCTTAATGAACGATAAAAAAATAAAATTAAGAAGGAAAGTAAGTTGTATCTAACTATTTAAAACTAAATTTTTCAGACAGAAAATCGACTGAGTCAAGTCAACTTCGTTCAAAAGGGTGACTGCTACGACATAAGTAAGTATTAGGGAAGGGATCCTAAATGGACTCTATAAACCATTTTTGAATTGGCCCAATTCACCTTTAAGCAATCCAGGAATTAACTTTCAAAATTTGCCATTTAAACAACATTTGGTCACATTAAATTATAGTCCAGGGGCAGCTTACAATATTTTTTGGGGGGCGGAGATAATCAAAAATCAAATAATTGCGTGCAAAGCTCTCCGAAATTCCCCCAAAAAAGCAAAATGTCAACCCCTGAATTTTATATAGGGAATTGTTAATGACATGGAGAAAATGTGTTACCTAATTGTGAATTTTTGTATTCATTTTGAACAAATCTTCATTTCCAGTGATTAAATGGCGCGCATGCCAATTTTTTTATTTATTCTTGAAAACCAAAATTAAATAGCTATTAAAAGGTACTTTCTCTCTCTCTCTTCTTGCACCCCTAGTTTTTCCAGGGGGGGGGGGAGATCCTTATTTTAAGAACAACCAATTAATTTACACTGGACTAATCAGGGAGTTTAAGTGATACGTTCGGTTTCTTTAATTTGAAATCATTGGCGCCAATCTTTACACTTGCAGAGCTTTCTTTATTATTCGTTTTGATTTAAAACGCAAGCGCTGCGCGGACAAAAATTCGAAAGAAAAAAGTTATATTTAATTGGTCAAATTGTGAAGTTACAGATTGCTGGAAAAGAACCAAACTTTCAGATCAGCGTGAATAATAATAATTACACCGAACTAATTTGTGGTTTCAGATCAGCGTGAATAATAATAATTACACCAAACTAATTTGTGGTTTCAGATCAGCGTGAATAATAATAATTACACCGAACTAATTTCTGGTTTCAGATCAGCGTGAATAATAATAATTACGCCGAACTAATTTCTGGTTTTTAGTTGACAATCCTGAAGGTGCGGAGAAAAAGACTTGGTCTGACAACGCTAAGGTAATAAATCAAAAACAAAATGTCTACAGTGGGCCACACAAAACTAATGATATACAATAAAATGAAACAAAGAAATTGCGCATATACATATTTCACTTTTTGAAGCTTCTGATAAAACTAGCTCTGCTTTATTAAATCAAAATTTTAATTTGAAATTTTATTTTGCTTTAGAATTCCAAATGTTAAATACTTCACGTTAAAAAAAAACAAAGAATCAAGGAGTTTTTTGTCCAAATCAAAACAAACAACAAAAATGGAATGATTGGTTTGAGTAAATCAGAATTAATATAAATAACAGAAATTATTAATTATTTTTTGGGATGATATAAGTTTTCAAAGCTTATAGTTAACAGAATAAAAATAAGAGATTAATTTTTCTTTAGCACAATCACCATTAAATATAAAATTAGCATAAAAAGTGATGGGAAAAAAGAAATTGAACTCTAAGATTGATTTTAAAATGTAGAACTTTAAAAAAAATATATTTTTATCCCGTTCTGAGTAACATTATTAACCTTGTTCATCCCTACTCTTTAACTTTTTCATCCCTAGCTTACGCTTGTGATGAAATTTCATCAAATAAAGTCTCTAGATTGTGTATAGATTTAAATCGCGATTTTCGGGACTAATCAGAAAATTTAAAAAAAAATAAATCATTTAAAAAATTTGTAAAAAGTTAATTTCATTATTTGAATCCAGAAAATACTAGGTTTTTCGAGTTAATATCGTATTTTGGTGTTAAAGTTAGGAGATAATCTAAAATGATAAGGGACACTGTAAATAAATAGTTATAAAACTTGTTTAAGGATTGTTCAATGTGTCGTGAGAATGATCTGTGCAACGGACCTATTGTCGTGGTAGTTGATCTCGGCAGTGTAAGTAAACCTCTTCTTTACTACAGTGTTAGGCGATTATACCAACACAATTAAGACGACTTTTTTATTTAAGTTTTGATTGTAAACAAGTTTGTTTTTGTTACAAGTTTACAAGTAATTAAAGAGAACTGTTTTAATTGACAGCTGTTCTTGACTTCTATGTTGTTATGTGCAACTGCAAGGTTGTAATGCAAGGAAAGTTATTTCAGAGATCTTTTGTACTGCAGTGTACTGTCTCTCGGCAGTAATGTAAACACAAGACGGATGTCAAACCCTGACATGGGATCCATCTTTCACATAAAAAATCAATGAAATATTCTGGTCATAGGAAACTATTATGTGAAATATCAAAATTTTCAAAATTATGCTTTTAACCTCCTCGGATACTAAACGAACACTGATGAATCTATTCTTGTTTACAAATTCCGCCCAGAGAGAACTTGTTTCAATATGTACGCAGAGAATACGCAACAACAAATAACTATTCATGTTATTTAACAGCTCAAAATTGAAATAGAAAGGCGTCTTCATTGTATTGATATATGCGACGACGACTGTACATGTACATATTGTCCTAAAACAAGAAAAGGGGTAACGGATTTGTTTTTCAAGCTTGTACAGTTCCAAATGAAATGTTAAACTCCAATTTAAGTATAGAGTTGTACTTAAAAATAATTTATTACAATACTTTTTTCACAATGCAGAAATTCAGTCTCTACAACTTTAAAGGTTTTTGGATTTCTGAAAGACACCACACAAACCATATGAATTTCAAAACTGTATTCAGTAAAAAAACTAAATTTGCCAAAAGAAATTATCTTCAAAGAAAATAAACGAAAAAACAAATAAAAAACTATCGTTTTTCGATTGTTTTTAAAGAAAATTTGGCATAGTTTGGGAAACAAACAAAAACTATTCAAGATTTGGGAAACTTCTTAGATTTTTTTAACCTTTTAAAAATGTAAAATGTTAGTATCTGAATGGTAAGTCAAGTGCCCCCGGTGGAGGGATTCACAAGGAGAACTCAGAGGAAGGAACAAAACAGGTAAATAGATCAATTTAAAGGGACTGTAGACAATATTCATAGCGACATTCCATTAAAAGACGCTCATGCACAGTAAACTTTTGTCATGAACATGAATTTGAAATAAAAAAACTGTGCTGTTTTCAAAAAAACTTCATTATCTGTTAACTGTTAAATAAATTTTAATAATTAATGTTTTCTTTTATAATGAAAGCAATGAAATCACGCCCTTATTTGTTAATAAACTATCCAAAATAATTGAATTGCCTGTGAATTTATTCAAAATTAAGAATAAATGAGTTGTCATTTTTAGTCACCAGGTGGTGCAAAATTGGCGCCAGTCCCTTTAAAGTATTTATTTATAACCATCTGAAAAACATTTTGGCTCAATACATGCATTACTAGACTCCTGTAATCTAAATAAAATAGATTGGGATACATATGATTTTGTTCGGGATAAAAACTCACCAAGAGTTTATAAGGTTTAAAAGCTATGAAGAGGGCCCACTTACAACTTGTAAGCTTTTAAATAAATGTGATTGTATTATTACCTAAAATATGATTAAAAACTAATAAAGGTCTATTTTGACTTTTTATAAGTTGATTTTTAAAAACAAACTTTGATGTATGTTAAAATTATACATCAACAATTAAATTCCAATAGGCAACACTTTTTACAGTGCGCCCTTTAATATTGATTTATTGCAAAAAAAAAACTCCAATAATTATATGATTTTTATATCTGTTATTTTAGTCTGGAATACCGTTTGAGTTCTGTAGCATCTGCGAGGCTATGAAATTCTTTGAGAATAGTGAGAATCTGAATATTGCGACCCAGCTGGTGGGAATAGGGTTCGGCAAAACATGCAATCTCTTCCCTCTCAATGGTTAGTACTTTTTTATCTATATAATAAAGCTCTTCATCTATATATAAATTTGGCTTGTCTGTCTGTCTGTTTGTTTGTCTGTATCCAATAAACGGCAAAACGGCTGAACCGATCGGGCCCACAGGGAAGGTTTACGAATAATAAAAATTAAAAAAAAAATGTGTTTTAAAGGTTTTTAATTTTGTAAAAAAAATTAAATTCTTGAAAATCCACGAATTTTTTTTTTAAATCCGCGAAATTTTTTTCTTTGTTTTGAAATGTAAACAAAAATAACATGTTCACAATTTAAATAGAAGATGGGCGCGAAGCGCCCTAAAAGCCTAGTACATATATATTAATTCCCTAAGTAGTATCTACAGTTAAATAAGCTCGCTTTAGCTGGCCAAACTGCAGGACCAAATCGGCTGACATTTTTTGAGGGAACCCATGGCACGGTTAAACTAGAGGCCCTATTACGATGGGGGGGTTCTCCAATACTAGAAAACCACATAAATGAAAGATCAAAATATGACTGAAAATGCTCCGAAGCAACCAGAATTTACTTTGATGTAAACAAACAGGGATTCACTTTGATGTTGACAAACAGGATGCACTTTAATGTAAACAAACAGGATGTACTTTGATGTAAACAAACAGGATGCACTTTGATGTAAACAAACAGGATGCACTTTGATGTAAACAAACAGGATGCACTTTGATGTAAACAAACAGGATGCACTTTGATGTAAACAANGACCCTTCAGGTACAGTGATACCCTTCAGGTACAGTGGTACCCTTCAGGTACAGTGGTACCCTTCAGGTACAGTGGTATCCTTCAGGTACAGTGGTACCTTTAAGTTAGAGTGATACTCTTCAGGCTTAGGGGTACTCTTCAGGTACAATGGTACAGTTCAGGTACAGTAGTACCCTTCAGGCTTAGTGGTACTCTTCAGGTACAGTGGTACAATTCAGGTACAATGATACCCTTTAGGTACAGTGGTACCCTTTAGGTACAGTGGTACCCTGTAGTTACAGTGGTACCTTTTAGGTACAGTGGTACCCTTCAGGTCCAGTGGTTTTCTTCAGGTACAGTGGTACAATTCAGGTACAGTGATACCCTTCAGGTACAGTGGTACCCTTCAGGTACAGTGGTATCCTTCAGGTACAGTGGTACCTTTAAGTTAGAGTGATACTCTTCAGGCTTAGGGGTACTCTTCAGGTACAATGGTACAGTTCAGGTACAGTAGTACCCTTCAGGCTTAGTGGTACTCTTCAGGTACAGTGGTACAATTCAGGTACAATGATACCCTTTAGGTACAGTGGTACCCTTTAGGTACAGTGGTACCCTGTAGTTACAGTGGTACCTTTTAGGTACAGTGGTACCCTTCAGGTCCAGTGGTTTTCTTCAGGTACAGTGGTACAATTCAGGTACAGTGATACCCTTCAGGTACAGTGGTACCCTTCAGGTACAGTGATACCCTTCAGGTACAGTGATACCCTTCAGGTACAGTGATACCCTTCAGGTACCGTGGTACCCTTTAGGTACAGTGATACCCTTCAGGTACAGTGGTTTTCTTCAGGTGCAGTGGTACAATTCAGGTACAGTGATACCCTTCAGGTACAGTAATACCCTTCAGATACAGTGGTACCCTTCAGGTACAGTGGTACCCTTCAGGTACAGTGATACCCTTCAGGTACAGTGATTTTCTTCAGGTACAGTGGTACCCTTCAGGTACCTTTAGGTACAGTGATACCCTTCAGGTACACTGATACCCTTCAGGTACAGTGATACCCTTCAGGTACAGTGGTTTTCTTCAGGTACAGTGGTACCCTTTAGGTGTAGTGGTACCCTTTAGGTACAATGATACCCTTCAGGTACAGTGATACCCTTCAAGTACAGTGATACCCTTCAGGTACAGTGGTACCCTTAAGGTACAGTGATACCCTTCAGGTACAGTGGTACCCTTCAGGTACAGTGGTACCCTTCAGGTACAGTGATACTCTTCGGGTACAGTGATACCCTTCAGGTACAGTGATACCCTTCAGGCTTCAGGTACAATGGTACAATTCAGGTACAGTGGTACCCTTTAGGTAAAGTTGGTACCCTTCAGGTACAGTGGAACCCTTCAGGTACAGTGGGACCCTTCAGGTACAGTGATACCCTTCAGGTACAGTGATACCCTTCAGGCTTAGGGGTACTCTTCAGGTACGGTGATACAATTCAGGTAGAGTGGTACCCTTCAGGTACAGTGGTACCCTTCATGTACGGTAGGACCCTTCAGATACAGTAGTACAATTCAGGTACAGTGAAGGACCCTTTATTAATAGTATAACGTGATATTTTATTGGTTCTTACTTGGCAGAGGTTTTTTATCAAGAAATTAAAAAACAAAATTTGCAAATTTTTTTCTTTAAGAATTTGCCCCCAAGAAGATGTCATTTTAACTGGGTTCGAGGGTGGATCAGAAATAACACAGGTATTTTGATACAAATTGATTTCAGAAATAAAGATAACTTCAATTAAAAACATGTAAATATATAAAAGATTAATAGATTTTAAATCATGATTATGTAGTAGATGAAAAGAGCTCATTTTTATACTTCATTTTGTCTTACATGTTTTTTTAAAGATTTTTAAAGATGGAAACATAATTTTTGATGATTTTTCAAAACTTGTATTTTTAAATTCTTCACAACTCCCATTTGATAAAAAAGAAAATATTTGAATAAAAAAATGCTTTCACACTACACACTTCACAATTTTCTTAATGATCAAATAACTGTAATAGAAGGAAGAGTCGAGTGATCTGATAACTATATAATCATTTCGTCTTAAAGGGAGTGACCGGCTAGTTATGGTAGTTTAGCTGAGAGTGTAGTATTACAGAGAAAAATGTTAGGATTATTCTAACATTGTTCTCTATAGGATTCATGTTATACCAATAAGGCATAACTCCCTTTTGAGTTGTTAATATATAAAGAAGTTATCAAAATTAGTAACCGATAAATATTTTGAACTGAATTAAGATAAAAGCCGAGGCGAGTGTACCAGTTGTGGGATACGGCGCAGACGGGACTCCCTTTCCCCAACATGTTGTGGTAAAGTAATTTTGAAAAAAAAAAATACAACAATTTAATAATATCTAATTTTATAAACGTTTGATAAATAAATTATGGATGGATTAAATACTGAAACCTAAAAAACCTAAATAAAAAATCACCACGAGATTATATTTTGAAAGATCCTCCCTCCATCCAAGGTTGTAATGCATGGAAATTTATTTCAGAGGTTTACGCATATTTTGTACTGCAGTGTACTGTCTTTGGGCGGTAATGTAAATACATGATGGATTTCGGAGCCTGACATGGGATCCATCTTTCACATAAAAAATAAATGAAATATTCTGGTCATAGGAAACTATTATGTGAATTATCAAAATTATCAAAATTGAATGCTTTAACCTTCTCGGATACTAAACTAAAATTCTTGTTTACAAATTCCGCCCAGAGAGAACTGGTTTCAATATGTACGCAGAGTATACGCAACTGCAATTAACTTTCCTTGCATTATAACCTTGCCTCCATCTAACTATAGGTGGTACTAATCAAGATACTAATGCAAGGAATTTTTTTTTGTACTGCAGTGAAAAGTAAACTCAAGACGGATGTTACAGCCTGACATGGAATTCATTTTCACAAAAATAAACTATGACATATTCTGGTCATAAGAAACTATTATGTGAATTTTCAAAATTATCAAAATTAAATGTTTTTATCCTCCTCGGATACAGAACGAAAACTGATGCATCTATTCTTGTTTACACATTCCGCCCAGAGAGAACTGGTTTCAATATGTACGCAGAGTATACGCGACCGCAATTAACTTTCCTTGCATTAGTACCTTGGTAGTGGTACTGATGTTCAAAGATTTGAGGAGGGGTGGGGACGGGGGGGGGAATTTAAAATTTTCCAAATTCTGCACAAAAAAAAATCCAAAAAAGCTAGAATTGATGAAATGAAATACATATAGTGGTCGGCGATTATATCAATACATAGAAGTTGACTGTTCTATTTAAGTTTTGATTGTTTACAAGCAGTATCCGAATCACAAGGTTACAAGCAATCTAAGAGAAGTTTTTTAAATGACTGCTTCTATTTGTTTACATGTTTTTATGTGTATCTATTCTGTTTAAAAGCTTGATTAAAACCAAAATTGTAATCGAAAGTCGTCTTCATTGTATTAATATATGCGACGAACAGGTTTACTTTGCAGATGAGCAAAGGGTCTATATCCTGCAGAAATGGAGATCAAACTATCGAAAGTCTACCTCCACCCTTTGTTTACGCTGATGACCTTAATACAACTTGTTTAGATTACAAGTCTAGGTAAGGGGCGTTCCCCCCCCCCCCCCTTTTTTAAATCCTATTTTCCCCCAAAAGTTATATATGCTTGCGCATTTTTTTAAGCTAAAATCGCTAAATTCAATGAATTTTTTGGTTCTATGGTAGTTCACAGATTTATGGTTAAACCACGAAAAACTAAATTCAGGGGACATTAGTTCCATAACTAACAACTGGCCCATTTCTAACACTGAGTGTTAGAAATGGCTAAGTCCACAAAGTTATCTTTTATAAGCGTATATGACTTTAAATCTAAGCCGAATCGAACAAAACTACAACATACATTTAATAAAAATAACTAATAAAATATATTGAAACAAGAAATGTCAGATTAAAACTAATAATAAAATGTAAAAATCAATTTATAATGAAACTTGATTTCATTTTCGAACATATCCCTGTTCTTAAACAATTACCGGATTTCAGCTCATGTCGCTTTTTTGAAACATATCCTGGTTTCGAGACAATTACCTGAATTCATATCAATGTCAATTTTCAAGCATTTACATACCTACTTAACAAAACAAGAAATTTTGAAAAGGTAAAATATAAACAAAATAGAAAATAAAAACAATCTGTCCTTTTATGATTCTAAAATTATTACGGCATTGATCATCAAAATAGCAATATTATTTTGTTCTTACAATAAAGATTTAACCAGAAATGCAGAAAATTGTTTGTTTAAAATGAATAAGAAAAATCATCTTTATTATTTATTTTATTTATAATAAATGAAATGCGGAAACTTAGATTTTAGAAATAATTCAGCAGTTTTTTTTAGCCTTCATAAGATAATTTTTGTTTTTAGTGATTTATTTTGTAAGTTATGAAAACGAGTTTTGTTTTGAATTGCGGATTTCACTCAAAAACGGGAAAATTGGTTTTGTCTGGAAAACAATGGTTCAAATTCAGGATATGTTCGAAAATGGCAAACCTGACATTGTATTGAAAACGGTCAAGGGGTTTGATATGAAAATAACTGCTTTTATAATTTTGATTTTATAAAATAGTTTGAAATTGTTTAAAAAAATGTTGTTTATCGTTTTTATTATTGACTTATACTCTGAAAATGGACTGTGATCTTAAAAAAACAATCGTTTAATTTGTGCCCATTTCTAACACTCAGTGTCAGAAATGGGCCAAGTGTTAGTTTTGGAACTAATGATCCCTGAAGTAAGGTTAAGAAAATTATTAATTTCTGTAGCCTCAAATCTGAGCCGAGCACCGCAGATAAAACAGGCTAGGGCCGGTCAATCATTCCGGCCACATATTTTATCACGCCCATTTGATGTATGTATGATATATTTGCCCGTTTCTTGGCTAATGTCCTTTTTTACCTAAAGTAGTTTTTTCTAATAACTATGAACAAAGATTGCTCTTTTGTTAAGTGAAATGGTTCTGTGTTGACTGCAAAATTGCGTATTATAGTTTCATGTTCATTGGACTATTTAGAATCATAACTGAAGTCTAGAATAAGCCTTCTTATTCCACAGTTTTATGGATATCACTGTATATGTACACATACAGGGTAAACACGGGAATTAGATGACGACTTCTGTATCGTCTTTGTTCCAAGCGGGATAATTTCGTAAATATGATTTTGTAGTATTCAGATAAAACATTTAACACCGAAACTACAAGTCTTGGGATTTACAAAATGTGGTCTACCAATTTTTTACCTTCAAAATTGACGGAGATATTAGGAAATTTGTCCAGATTCCAGTTACTTAAAAATCAACAAAAATGCTTAATATCTTCAATTTTAAAGATACAAAGAAGGTAGACCACATTTTGGAAAACTCATTTTTTTTTGATGAAATTTATGTCATTTATCAGTTATCGGAAATCAAAGACGATATTCGAGTCGTCTCTCAATTCCTATGTTTATTGAGACACCCTGTATTAGATATTGCTGCCGAACACAGTCGATGTGGAGACCGATGAGTGTGACAACCTTCCAGAACAGATTACCCCCCACTATACCTCTAGGGGCTGCCATCACAACATACAAGTTAAATAAAGAAACAAATGTAAGATTTTGTCGTAAAATTTCGAAATCAAATTTTGGCATTAAAAGTTGGATGGCTGCTAAATAAGCGGAAAAAAATCGCTTGCATCAACAACAAAAAATCGTTATTTGGCTGCAAAAGGTGGATGACTGCCAAATAAGCAATTTTGCGTTGAAATTACACGATTTTTTAAAGACTAATAGCGTTTTGTTTTCATTTCGACAAGATAAGTTTTTTTATGAACTTGTACCCTTAGTGACTGCAGACATAATTAATATTGACGTTTCAATATTTGGGGTGTTCGATTTATTATGGTACCCTGTAAGCTTTTGTCCGATCAAGATTCAAGAATGACTGTCAAATCCATATTCGTTTCTCTGATAAATATTTGTGGATTTATGCAGAAGACGCATTGGAGAAGATGGCTAGACGATATCTACCTAATTGTTAAAGATAAAAATGAGATGTAATGGGTGCCAGTGTGCATTGTGCATCAGACATGCCACAAAATATAAACTGAGGGTTACTTGAAATTACATCTATACGTTCACTGTCACCATAATCTAAGCCAATTTTTCGTCGCTACGGTTTAGATTAATTATTTTAAATCCTCGGAGATCCCAACGAAAAAACTGAACAATTCCTTTTAGATGATCGAGTTTTCGATCCTAATTCATGATGGAAAGGAGGAAAAGGGAAATCTACTTGTTATCAGGTTAGTTTTATAATTTTATATATATAATTATAAATTATATAATATTGATTATAATAATTAGATATATTAATCTTATATATCTATTTATATATATATAAATATATCATATATCATATATATATATATCATTTTTTTGTTAGAAAACATGATTTGTATTGTGGTGGTTTATTTTGAAGAGATAAAGTAATGGTAGAGAGGCTTGGCATCGGCATGTTTGGCTTTTTTTAATTTTGTTTGTTCAATGTTCGTGAACGACCCATTTGGCATTTAGTTAGTTTTTTTTCAATCGTTAAAAAATAGTTCGTCCTTAAAATTATCGTTTTAAATCGTTCGTTTTTAAAAAACTATCTTTTTTCCATATCTCTGTACGATCTAAGTCGTTCGTCCATAATTGATTTTTTTCTTAACGACACCATCGTTAACGAAAAAGGTTTGTTCTCAAAAATGTTGTTTTTTGACAAGAAACGATTCCCAGCTCTAATTAAAGAGACTGTTGTTGTTATGTTAAAGGGGCCCCACGTTCACAAAGGGGCTCTGTCAACCTTTGTCTGTTCAAGGGAAATTATTATTTTTCTCACGGATATTTGATAGTTTTCAATTCATACAAACTGTCATAATTCAACATGTTGCAAGAGAGATAAACGAAGATATATTCCTCATTGTTCTTCAGATATTTGAGATATTTAAATAGGGTACCATTGTCAATCGGACAATGTTCTGATAAAGGTATACTTAAATCTAAGTCATTAGTCCCTTTGAGGGAATGATTGTATTGTATTTTATGATCTTCTTGATTATTTCTGAAATTGAAATTTTGAAATTGCATATTCTAGAAGATAATATATTAATACGCTAGGATACAGAGTTGACTATACTTTTAATAATATATGTTCATTGTTTTTCATGGAATGAAAATTTCATATATTTTAAATATATTATAAGAACTGTCCCAAGAATTTATATTTGCTTCGACGTAACTTATCTTATGTTTGGGGTTTGAAAAAAATTAATGTTTTTTTTGTTGTTTTTTAATTAAATAAGATTAGGTGGTATACAAATGAATATAAATACTTGCTTTACACTCTGATTTTACTTTTAATCTGATGATGTAAACCTTCTGATTTCAAACTTTGAATATTTGATCAAACAGAATTAATTGTTTGCAATCTAAACTTGGTCTACTACATTAGTTGCAAAGAAATAAGGATTACGAAATTAGAGTTTGAAGCAGGTTATCAGTTTCTTTAATATTATAAATGTCTGCTGTAACCAATATATTCTACTGCAGTTTCCTTGCAACTGCAAATAAAGGAGAATTTGTTGGGAAAGTTATTTGCCTCTGGACAAGATACTCTACTCCATTGTATGGCAGATTTACCATGAAAGAGTGAGTTTTTTAATTTTTTTATTTGCCTCTGGACAAGATACTCTACTCCATTGTATGGCAGATTTACCATGAAAGAGTTAGTTTTTTAAATTTTTTTTCTTACCCAATATTGGCCTCTGGACAAGATACTCTACTCCATTGCATGGCAGATTTACCATGAAAGAGTGAGTTTTTTTAATTTTTTTTTCTTACCCAATATTCGTCAAAACTGCTGAACCGAAATAATATGGTGACAACGACTTAACCCCCCAGGGAAGGTTTATGGAAAGTCAAAATTTAAAAAAAATTGCCTATAAAAAATGACGACTTTGCGATTTAAAAAAATCCCTGAATTTAGAAAAATCTGCGAAAGTTTTCAAGAGTTTTTTTCAAATCCCTGGCTTCAACAGAATGTAAATTTGATTAAGTTAAAGTAAAGATAAATGAACTAAGATGTTTTCTTATTTCCAGATTACCCAACAAGTCCAAGGAATACACCCTGACCTTTATAACTCCTCCAGCTGGACAGAGAACCCCGGAGAAAGTTCTTTCAACTTTTACGGTAAATTCTACTTCTATTAGAATCCTTGCAAGCAGTGGTCAGCGTTTATATCAATACAACGAAGACGACTTTTATGTTTAGTTTTGTTCTCTAACAAGCTTTCTATAATAATAAGTTTACAAGTACGTAAACAAAGTGAATCTGTTAATAGACAGTCTCACTTTGTTTCCATGTTTGTGTGTGCTCATGATATTAGAAAGCTTGGTAAAAATTAAAAATAGAAATTGAAAGTCGTCTTCATTGTATTGGTATTTACGTCGACGACCTTAATAGAGTTTTATTCAGGGAACTGTATGTATAAGCCAGATTGAGTGCATGGCGCTCTTGATCATTGAAAGGTTTTTACTAGTTTTTTTTTAACTTTTCAGATGTTGACTTTAAATACTTTCAAAAAAAATTTTGAGAAAATCTATAAATTTTGAGTTCTACAGCTGCTGATTAGATATATTTACACTGGGATACCAGTTCTACAGCTGATGTTTAGATATATTTACATAGGGATACCAGTTCTACAGCTGCTGTTTAGGTATATTTACATTGGGATACCAGTTCTACAGCTGCTGTTTTTAGATATATTTACATTTGGATTCCAGTTCTACAGTTGCTGTTTTTAGATATATTTACATTGGGATACCAGTTCTACAGTTGCTGTTTTTAGATATACTTACATTGGGATACCAGTTCTACAGCTGCTGTTTAGATATATTTACCTTGGGATACAAGTTCTACAGCTGATGTTTTTAGATATATTTACATTGGGATATCAGTTCTACAGCTGCTGTTTTTAGATATATTTACATTGGGATACCAGTTCTACAGCTGCTGTTTAGATATATATACATTGGGATACCAGTTCTACAGCTGCGGTTTTCAGATATATTCACATTGGGATACAAGTTCTACAGCTGCTATTTTTTGATATATTCACATTGGGACACCAGTTCTACAGCTGCTATTTTTAGATATATTTACATTGGGATACTAGTTCTACAGCTGCTGTTTTCAGATATATTTACATTGGGATACCAGTTCTACAGCTGCTGTTTAGATATACATTGGGATACCAGTTCTACAGCTGCTGTTTAGATATATTTGCATTGGGATACCAGTTCTACAGCTGTTGTTTTTAGATATATTTACATTGGGATACCAGTTCTACAGCTGCTGTTGCAACCGTCATTAAGGTAAGCGCTTCTATGGAAAAGACGGGGGGTATATATTTGTAGAAATACTTATAAAGTTGCAGGGAGGCTCCNAGTTTCTAAGATTTCGGGATTGAGAAATTGTACTTCATCTGGCAAATATTTCTCCCTCATTTTATTTTCTCTAAAACAGCGATATTATTCAGTTTAATAAGAAGACATCGAAAAAATGTATAAAATGTCGCCAAGCTGTCAAAGTTTTCCGCTTGAAGCTTTACAGGGATATGTGTAAATAACTAAGCATAGTTAAAAATTTTGTGTTGAAAGTTTAGGTATTTATTCGGGAATGAAAATTTTCTAAATTTATTTTTTATGAAGATAAATAAATAGCCCTGAAATACGCGGAACATCTTCATATAGTTGGGCGTAAAGGAATTGAGTTTTTGCCACAATATATAATATTCTAATCCCTTTTGCAACCCAATGTCGTGGAATTTAGATATTTCATACTATTAATTCTGTAAAGTAAAATATCAAAAGTTTACACCACCAGGCTTCAAAGATACAGGGATTAGAATATTTGAGTGTGTGGCAAAGACTCAATTTCTTTACGCATAAATCCTTCATATTATTTGATTCTCAGTTTAATTGTTTAAATAATCTCAATGATCTTGCAGACAGAATATCTTAAAAATATTAAAAATTGTTAAAAATATCTTTCAATATTCAATGTTCTCAAATGAAGGATGAAGTTGGTATTGTTTCAACGACCCAAGTAGTTCCTGGAGATTACCAAATGGAAAATATAAAGAGTAAGTTAATCCTTATTGTTAGTATTATTTGATTATTCAGAAAAAGCACAAGCAAGAAAGTGAACGAGATGTGTTACGTGTTATATTCAAAACAAAAACATTATTTTTGCAATAATATACGAGATTACTTTTTATTACCTTTGCGAATCTATATCAGCACTTGCGTTGCTTTAAACTGTTTATTTTCAACCGTTTATTTTCATTTCCGGTTTCTCTGCGCATTTCTCGTTTATAAGAAGCAATAGAAAACTGGAAACTGAAAACAAAACACCTTTCGAGTCAGAAAAACGACAGTGTCTTCCACATTTTTGATCAGATTAAGGTTTTAAGAATATCGTTGTAAATCGGGCATTGTCCTTTTTGCATGAAGGGTCACTTGAAATTACACTTACAGTCCCTAAAAAACAAATTAAGGGGTTTTGAATTAAAACCCCACTAAAGAAAGAAACTGTGTCGACTAAATATCAAGTGACCATCAGATATAAGCGCTACATGCCCCATTTCCAAAAGTCTCCCTATAAAATTGAGAACCAAACAAAAATGTGGAATAGGAAGAAGACATTGAAAAACAAATCAGTATATTTGATGTTACAACGCGAAAAGTTTCACCAGTAACTTACTAAGTCATTTATTAAGTGTAATGGGCCTGTTCTTCACACTGCACTATTGCTGTGTCTCATTTAAATTTTATTTTTTAACATCATAATTTCTATCCAAAAGTCGTCTTCCTATTCCAGAATTTTCTGTGTATAGAAATTTATCGGATAAACTATGTAGAGATATCCACCTTTGTTATGACACTCATAGTGTCACTCGTAGAGATAAGCATCGTTTTTTAACAAACTAAATTTTTCGTGGAAAAGGGTTCGTTTAGAAGAAAAAACGAAAGAAGTAAGGACTTAAGGGATCTTTCAGAAAAATGAAAAATTTTAGTTTTTAAAACGAAGGATTAAAAATCGGCTGACCGAACATGAAAAAACTATCCTTTTTTACTAAACGAACTATTTATTTTCGATCAAAATTTTTTTAAAACAAAAGTTTTAAATTAAATAAACGTTTTTTTACGCTAGTTCAGTGAGAAAACGATCGAAATAGATGGAAAATAAATGGTAATTTTGAGAACGAACAAAATTAATTTTTTCGAACGATTAAAAAAAACGAACGAAATGTGCGGGTTGGGTAAAAACGATGAACGTACAAAATGAAAAAAATTTGAACGTGCCCATCTCTAGAATAAGCATTAAAGAAAGTATTGTCAACAGCTCATACTGTTTAGAAGATCCCTCTGTACCTGTCACCGGAAATTCCAATGAGAAAAAAGGTAAATTATCTTATTTCTTTTCTGGGTCAATAATTTTTAGGCAACTTTCTATCTGCCCTTTCTTGATTTGTCTATGAAGCATCTAGGGATTAATTCACAAATATATTTTTGAAATAGAGCCTAAAGAAAAAACATACACATTCTGCCTATTAATTAAGGGCTTTTTGTGTCAAAAATTAATTTCTGTCATCTGAATCCGTTCATTTAACGGATTGGCAAATTATTATTATTATCATTATCGTAATAAGTAAATGTTAAACCCTTTTGTTTGATATTTTATTTTCACTCAACTCATGTACATTTAAATCTGAGCTGAATCTACCTAGTCCTTTAAAGTCCTAGTTTGTACTGCCCCGCCTGGTACACAATCTACACTGACAGACATACTGCAGGGGACAATATAGTTGGCCAGGCTCTGTAGGAGGGCTAGCTGGTGAAACTATAAGTTGACGCAGTCTGACTTTAGGCTGTATCTGGTTAAATTTACTATCACTAAAGCGGCAATCTTGTGTGGTACTTTATCATTTTATGTGTTATTTTACAAATGTGAAGTGATTCTAGTCATCTGTAATAATTAGGAATGCCTGAAGGGTTTTGTGATTGTACAATCATTCCGCATTATATATTATTTAATTTTTTAAATTTAAATAATTTAATTTATTTATAAAAATATTTAATTTTCAAAACTTAAGATTTAAAATAAATGTATTGACTCCAAAAAGAAACTCGGGAGTTTTTAAACATTTTTCTTAAATATTTCCAGCTCTCCAAGTCTAAATTTTAGATTTTAGTTTAGGCTTTCTGAAAAGAAAGAAAACTTTTCTGATATAGTTAGCTGGTTTATTAAATAAACTAAATCTTATTTTAATTTTAGACTCTCCTTTCATTCTGGACAGTGTGGTATGCAGTTTATTCTAAAAAATAAAAAAAATAATTTGAAATTAGATACTGACACTTGCACAAGTTTTTCTTTTTCTCTCCCTTTGAAGCAAATGCCTTTTGTACAATTTTCACTTCTATGATTTATATTTTATTGTGCTTTGTAAATATTTAACACAACTCTGATAATGATAGAATGATAATAATAGTATATTTATGATTATATATAAATCTGAATCTATTATTACTCTTATTATCATCACAATTTTTTTGATTATTATTATTATTATTATTATTATTATTATTATTATTATTATTATTATTATTATCATTATTATTATTATTTGGGTTGCCAAAATATATAAATTATTGTCAACTGCTATTGCGTATCTCTGGGCTTTTATTCCGAAAAAAAATAACAGAACTTTGATAATGATATAGTAAGTTGTCTTCTGTTAATATCAGGTGCATCGGAATTTATCATTAAATGATTTGAATTGTTTTCTTTCTATTGACATATACACTATATAATATACTTTATTTTTCTATTATAAAAAGGATTTGAATGAGGACTCCCCTCTCTCTGAACTACTCAGATCTTGGGAAACTAAAGAATTAATCTATGAGGTAAATTACAAAATTTAATAAACTTATAAGTTAAACAATAACTAACTCATAAGTTAGACTCAAAGAAACTCCAACTAACTCATAAGTTAAACATGAGCAAAACTCAAACAGTAACTTAAATGAGTTAAACCTAAATTGACTAAGTTAATAAGCTTAAACCAACCCAATTAATAAACACAAACTAACTCGTTAGTTGAACATAAAACATACTAATGAGTAGAATATTACCTATCTAAGTTGCAAGGTAATTATAAACAAACTTAAGAGTTAAAAATAAACTAGGTTTAAAGGAACAGTAAGCATAGTTTCAGATTGGAACGTCTGATTCACAACGGTATCCTTATAACCGTTGTCTGATTAAGTATGTTTACAATTTGAAAAACTGATTGCTTTCAACTGTGATTTATCTACTAAAGTGACTTTCCCATTTCCACTGAAGAAAATGTCTTGATTATTATCAAGCAGGTAAAAGTTTCTAGGATAACGTTGTGATTGTGAATAGGCCAAATTGACATCTATGCATAGATTGTCACTTGAAAATACGCTTACAAGTCATGAGTTGAAAATAAAACAAATTATGATGTGAACATTAGGGTGAAAAGTGAAAATCAGAAATCAGAAAATCAAAAGGTGTACTGTATAGGTTCTATGTGTGATGTCAACCATTCGTAGTATTAAAAAGCAAAAAAAATTCTTTGTTTGACAAAGGAATTGAGTTTTTGCCACAAACTCAAATTTTCCAATCCTTTTATCTTGGCAACCTAATGGTGGAAACCCTTGATATTTCAAACTTAGGCTATTTGATCTAACAGAATTCATAGTTTGAAATATTTAACTTCTACGAAATTGGATTGCAAAGATACAGAAAATCAGAGTTTGTGACAAAGACTCAATTCCTTTGGGTAATTTCGTAATTTTCAGGCTGTTCTTGTGGACAGAAAAGGAGGAGTTAAAACTATTGTGTTGAAATCAATGAAGGTAGTAAATTTAGGGAACAGAGTCCAAGACTAAAAAAATAAAAGGTAGAGCTTAAATGATAAGTTTCAGCTTAAGTTAAAGCTTAAATATTTAACTCAACACAATTGCTGAGTCAGATATTATATCATAAGTTATAATATAACCAGGAAATCCCTGCAGTCAGTCATCATTTTCTATCTTTCAATGATGATTCTCTGCTAAATGTTGCAAGATTTGAGTATTATTTCAAACCATTTTTATGATGTAATATATGATAATGGGATGAAATTTACTTGAACCCATGGAATTAATTTTTTACAGAACTTTTCAGCTATAATTCAAAACTGGCACATTCTTTAGTTTCGGACTCAGGGAATTAATACTTGTTAAGCAACTAATGGGATTTATTTTAAATTTCTTCAATTTTCAATTATTTATATAACCGAAGATAAAACATATTTCCAGGTACAATAATTTTTTTGGTTTACATGTAAACATTAATTAATCTAAAATATTTAATGGTGTACATATTTAATCCCAGTGTTAAAATTCAGGTTTAAATTAAGTAAAAAGTGGCATTCAAGCTGAAACTTAAAATTAAAGTCTTAACTTTTCGCTCTTTAATTTTAGACTCTGGACTATATAATAATCTCACAAGAAGTGTATATTTTGTTTATATATAAATTGTAAAGAAAGAAGCATTCAAAGTCGGTACAGCATTTTAAATAAACCGGACATATTGTGATCTTTATTTGAAATCTGTGATCTTTAAATCATGTTCAGAGCAATTAGAGGCAAATTGGGTTTTCCAAACATTCTAATGAAAAATGTAATTGATTAATTAATTGTCTCATTGCAACATGATGGTGAAAACTTTTGTTATTTTTGAACTCTTCAACCATGGTATTTAGTAAAAATCATATCAAATATTTACGATATCTGGTTAAAAATATATTAGAACTAGAATAAGAGTTTTGGGCAAAAAATCAGTTCCGTTTTAATTTAGTAACACCATACCTTTTGCTAGATGGATAAAATTGAAGTAAGCAGCTATACTGGTTCTCTCAACATACAAAAAATTGATTCAAAGGATGGCTGGGAGGTAAGCTTGATGAAGAAAAAAATTGTGAATTAACAAATATTTAAAAATAATTTTTTAGGTTTTAAGTCATGTTTTTAAAACTTACTCTATCACTACCATTGTAGGTACGATTTATTGTTATAATATCATATTGAAATAGAAAGTTATGAAGATTTTTAGCTAGCCAAAAATGTTAAGCTTAAATGCATAATTAGGCAGCCTCACTTTATTATGAATGCTTTGATATTATTTTCAGTGTAATTTTTGACATTTTTTCTTTAATTTTCCATAGTTTCTCCATGTTTCTTTAAGCAACATTGCTTAATCTCTTGTGCAGTATAAGCGCCTTAATTTATCTAACCTGTCATTTGAAATGAGCATCGTTTTGTGAATGATGTTGATCAGAAAAAAGCAAACGATGAACAAACAAACAATCTCTCTAATGCCAAAGAAATTATTTTAAAAATACCTTTCATGTACCAGAATCTCCCCCCTTGGCCAACCTGTTCCATGAATGTGAATGGAAGGATTGGGTTAATGCTGATTTCCCTGGAAACACCCCTGGAGGGGAATTCGAGCTTAAGGATCAAATAGGTAGCTTTCGTAAATGAATTTGAGCTAGGTCGCTGAACTACATCCAATAGCTGTCCCTATTGTCATGGAGTTTCCATCTACAGGACTTGCATCAAAATCTGATCCACTGATTCAAGTTACATAGTTGAACTTTCTCTAGACCTAGCTTTAATTTAGTACATAGTTTTTATTCTGTTTTTTAAAAATTCTGTGTCTAAAATTGAGAAGTCTGACATATTTCAAAATACTGACTCTAGAATTTAACTTTTATCATCGTTTGTTAACAAATTATTGGCTCTGCTTTGTTATATCTAATGCCAGAGTCAACATTTTCCATACCTTCATAAGAGCAAATAAAAGCAAACTTGAAAAGAAATAAAATATAAGTAACTTTTATAATTTATCAACCAATAAAATTATTAAGGTGTCTTTTTATACTTTTTTATAAAATGCATATGCCAACAAAAAAGTGTAAAAAACAAAAGGCAGACAGTTTATGCTAACAGGTCAAAATCCCAGCTTGCTGGGATAAGGACCAAGCTGTTAAATCCAGGTGTAAAGTAAGCTTCCTCTTTGCAACACCAAAAGATTCATTTTGGTTTTTAAAGTCTTCCTATGTTTTCTTGCACTTCATTTCATACAAAGAAATTAGGGTTTCCAATCGGAATTCCGTTGCGCGGAATTTCCGCAACTGTTCTTGTATTGCGTGGAATGGTGTGAAATTGGAAACCTTAAAAGAAATGTTTTAATTTCAGCAATGGACAAGAGGAAAAAAAGTAAACTGTATGATCTAGTCTGCGGAAAGAAAAACCCACACTATGTTGATGCTGTTACTGTAGAGGATCAAATTCCTTGGTATGAATTAAAGATGGACAAAGAAACTTATCAGACATTTAAGCTTACACCATTATTTGGGTATATCTGTAAGGATGAAAATGGGCCTCCCGAATTTTGCAAGGATATGAAAGTAAGGTATTGTTGTCCCAAAGTCCTAAGGGCAGTCTGGGGAGAATGGGGAGATTATAGCCAATGTGATAAATCCTGTGGTGGTGGTGTCAAGATAAGAACCAGGGAATGCTTTAAAGATCCTAAGTTGGACATTGAAAAAAGTAGATGTGAGGGGGATAAAAAGCCTGAAAAGTATGCTATGGAGGAGCAACCCTGCAATGTAAATGCTTGTCCTGAAGATGCTCAATTTGGAGATTGGTCAGCATGGACTGCATGCTCTCTTTCCTGTGGTAGTGGCTCAAAACAAAGAACAAGGACATGCTATCCAGCAAGAGGTGGGGGCAAGGAATGTCCTGAGAAACTTACAAATCAGGACTTGTATACCAAAACAGAGTTGTGTACAAATAGAGATTGTGACACCTACTCTCCAACCCCTTGGAGCCAATGGTCTAGTTGCAGTGCCTCTTGCGGTGTGGGCAGTAAGACAAGATCCAGAAAATGTCAAAATGACAGAACATTTGCAATTGTTAGCGATGATAATTGCAACGTAGCGTCAAGTGATCCAAGGGCTGCGTTTTTCTTTTCAGATCCTCAAAAGTGTTTCTTGCAAGATTGTCCAATAGATGGTATGTGGGGTAACTGGGAAGGGTGGAATCAATGTTCCCAATCTTGTGTCACTGAGCCACAAAAAGGGGAAAAAATTGAAACCAAAGCTTACATGAAGAGATATCGCTACTGCAATAATCCCTTGCCAAAGAGTGGTGGTAATGAATGTGTGCGAGACGAGAAAAATGATTACGACCGTAGACAGAATGCCGAAGTACAGAAACAGCCTTGCATAACCCCAGACAAGGAGAAAATTAGAGGTATAATACCAACTCCTTGGTGTCCAGAACACTGTGTTTATACAAGTTGGGGAGAATGGAGTCCTTGCAGTTATACTTGTATTACACCAGAAGTAAAGGTCTACGGTTATGATGGAGATATTCTTTCACCGGATATAATATACACTGTAACAAAAATTGGAGGTGAAATGCCTAAAAGATCTAGAATGAAGATTTTGCTCAGACCAGCAAGGAATGGAGGCACATGCAAGGAAGACTTAGACTCTGACACATCTTTTAATAATGGAACAGTCATAGAAGGTCATGAGGATTGCACTATTTGTAAAGAACATTGTGGAATAGATGAAAAAGAAGTGAAGAGCTTTCCTGAACTCAAATACCCTGGAAAGCAACCGAATTGTACTGGATACTGCCCAGGTGACAATTGTTGGTCAAAACTGTGTTTCATAAATATTTGTGTTTAACCAAGTCGTTTTCAGTTTCTTGTACCATGGGCGCATTCCGAACTCTGAACAATCCCATGGAAAAAGTAAAAATATATAAAGAGGTAACATCATTTTTTAATCATTTCTTTAGTTAGACCAATTTATGTAGAATTGTAAGAAAGGTTTTGAGCACACAGGGGTGTTAACTGTTTATTTTGCTTAAATTGGTTTTAAATTTAAATCTGCAAAAAAATTTGGAGATTTTTTTGCTACAGTACAAAAAATTAGCATGTTACAGTATTACACTTTATTATAGGTAACTTTTCATATCGGTAACATCTAAATGTTATTTTTAATACATTTTCTTTTATACCAATTTATATTATCTATCAGATTTTATGGCCACCAGTCCAATAGTTGACAGTCTTTCCAGAGTTATTTAATGTGTATTTATAATCATTGTTATCCACTGTGATGTTCCTACCCCTGATAGGATTTAGTAAGACTTATTAGAGATATAGTTTTGAAAATGCTGTAATTTTGCAGATTTGCATAGTAGTAGATTTCTTTGCAAACTCTCCATTTATTTATTGATATTTGCACAGATTAAATAATTATTTTAATGAATCTGTATGAAAATGTAATTTACACCAAATTTTACCTATTCAAAGTGTACTATACATAATGTTATCTATACAAAATGTTGCCTATGAATAATGTTACCCATACGAAATATTATATACGAAATGTTATCTACATGAAATGTTACCTAAACAAAGTGTTTCATACAAATGTTTACCTTTGCAAAAATGTTTTATACAAAAGGTTACTAATCCGTTAAAGCTATTGATAAATGTCCTTGTATTAATTTATAAAAAACCTTTCGTTTTCAGGAGAGGAAGAAAATATTAGAATCTTCAAAAGAAAAGCGCTTAGAAAATGAGTCTGAAGGTAAAATTTTAAACTGACAACAATATCTTACGAAAACAATAATGTCCATGCATGTACAGGGTGTCTCAATAAACATGGGAATTGAGAGACGACAGTCGTCTCGGATTTCTGATATTTAAAGCATGGGCTTTAGCAAAGAAAGTGAAATAAATCATGCTGTACGTCTGACGAGCTTTTCACAAAGTGTTTCTATATTTCTTGTATCTAAAAAATTGGCGATGTTAAAACAGTTTTGAATTATTGAATAAATTGAAATTTCTACAAATTTTGCCATATCTCCGTCAATTTTGAAGATACTATAATGATAGACCACATTTTTAAAATCTCAAGACCATGCGTTTTCGATATTATTGTTTAAGCTGGAGCACTGCAATAGTTGTGTTCATGAAAAAGTAAACATGAAGCTAAGATGATATAAAAGTCACTGAATTCTCACGTTTATTAGGACACCCTATATAAAATATTTTTTTAGCCTGCTTTACATTTGCTCTCCACAAAGCTGCAGTTAAGATGGGTCTGACCGATGTTGCGGTGAGAGAATATAGCCTAACTTTAGAATTTATTTTAAATTGTTTTTTTTTGGCTTAAAACAACTTGAAGTAACACTCCGTTTGTAGAATGGAATATCCGATTCACATTTTCATCTTTATTTGAGAAGTAATTAGGAAGATACAACTTGTTGAAATCTATCAATTTTCTTCATTATTTCTATAGCATAATTCCAAAAGTCATAATTATCAATTTTCAGACAGAAAAATTAGAAAATATTTTTTTTTTACTAATGTTCAAGAGTACCGTTATGGGAAAATCCTTTTCAAAAACAGTGCCACTTTGAATTTGCTTGTTTTCAGAGAGAACTGAAAATAGTTTTTTTTTGAAGTTTAGAACATGTTCAGTCTAAATTCTCAAAGCTTCAAAATAATACATTATTATTTAGGGACTGTATTTCAAGAGAACCTTTATGGCAATGCCCGATTTTCAGTGGTACCTTTTTAAGCCTATACTGATCAAGAATCAATAGAATTTTCAGAGTTTCATACTTTTAAACATAGGGAAACAAAGATGTCTTGCACATTATTGATTTTAATGGTACCATTGTGAATCAGAAATTACCATATTTGCATGGAGGGTCACTTGAAATAAGCTTAAAGTCCCTTCAAGGAAAGACTGAAGAAGTTGCGTGTTTAGGACAAGTTTGTAAAATATATTGAAACAATGAAGAAGAAAATCGCTAAAGGAGAAATTACTCCAAAAGAGTGGAATTCACTCCCTAATGATATTGTCAAAAGGTAATTTCTTTTAGCAACTGCTAAAGTTGAATATGTGTATCTTTTAGTTATGTGCTTAACAATAATTTCAATGATACCCTGACAGTGACAGCTTTTAATCTGGTTGCCAAAAACATACTCCATTTAATACTCTAATTATTTAAATCTTCTCAATCTGAACCATGGTGGTGTAAACCTTTTCTAAACTTAAGGAAAATTCTCATTTGTTCATCCCTGATTAGCTCTGATGATAAACAGTTTTTAAGAGCTATCCCTGTTTAGTTCTGATGAGAAACAGTTGTTAAGAGCTATCCCTGTTTAGCTCTAATGACAAACAGTTATTAAGAGCTATCCCTATTTAGTTCTGGTGCTAAACAGTTGTTAAGGACTATCCCTGTTTAGTAATGATGCTTAATAGTTGTTAAGGACTATCCCTGTTTAGTTCTGATGATGAACAGTTGTTGAAAACTTTCCCCATTTAATTCTGATGCTTAACAGTTGTTAAGATCAATTCCCGTTTAGTTCTGATGATAAACAGTTGTTAAGAGCTATTCCTGTTAAGTTCTGATAATGAACAGTTATTAAGATCAATCCCTGTTCAGTTTTGATGATAAACAGTTATTTAGTCCTTGTTTAGCTCTGATAATAAACAGTTATTAAGAGCTATTCATGTAAAGTTCTGATAAAAACAGTTATCAAGACCTATCCCTGTTAAGTTCTGATGAGAAACAGTTATTAAGATCAATCTCTGTTAAGCTCTGATGATAAACAGTTATTAAGAGCATATCCATGTTTAGTTCTGATAATAAACAGTTATTAAGAGCTATTCCTGTTTAGTTCTAATGCTAAACAGAGTTGTTTAAGACTTCTGATGATAAACAGTTATTAAGATCAATCTCTGTTCATTTATTTTGATTAACAGTTATATAAGAGCCATCCCTGTTTAGTTCTGATGAGAAACAGTAATTAAGTCATATCCCTGTTTGGGTCTGATGCTAAACAGTTATTAAGACCTATCCTTGTTAGTTCTGATGCTAAACAGTTATTTGGAGCTATACCCTGTTTAGTTCTGATGCTAAACAGTTATTAGGAGCTATACCCTGTTTAGTTCTGATGATAAACAGTTATTAAGAGCTGTCCCTGTTTAGTTCTGATGAGAAACAGTTATTAAGAGCTGTCCCTGTTTAGTTCTGATGAGAAACAGTTATTAAGACCTATCCTTGTTAAGTTCTAATGCTAAACAGTTATTAAGACCTGTCCCTGTTTAGTTCTGACGATGAACAGCTGTTGAAAACTGCCATGGAGAGTTTCACTAGCGTAAGTTGCTGTTTGATTTTTTCTGTAAAATAAAGTTATTTCTAACAAACTGGCTTCTTAGGGCGATTTGCCCCTCCTTTTTTTATAGCAATTTTTAAATTTTGGCTCTTGCTCATTAAGTCACCAGTTGTTCTTTGTTCTCCGACACACAAATTTTCCATAGGAATTGAGTCTTTGTCACTAACTCAAATTTTCTAATCTCTATGACTTTCCAACCTGATGGTGTAAACCTTTGATATTTCAAACTTAGACTAACTGATTGATAGAATTGATGGTTTGAAATATCTAAGGTCTACAACATTGGGTTGCAAAGATATTGGGATTAGAAAATCTGAATTTTGACCTTTCATAGAGCTTTCCTAGCTTGGTAGGGGTGTATATTTTAATTATTACACCCCCCCTGGCTTGTTTTCAAAAACCAGGGGGGGGGATGAAGAATCGGACATAAAAAAGGGTTATTTTGAACTTTAAAAAAAAGAAACAACGGAATGTTCGTTCATTAAAAACCGATTGGTTTAGAAAAAAAAATGTCCAAATAGATTTTTGTTTTTTGGCCTTTTTTCAAGTTTTTTTATTAAAAAGTTTATAAATGTCCTCCTGCATCCTGCTTAGGTCTTCATATCGTAGAATATTTCCGACCTAAAATCGTATTTTGTCAAACAAAATTTTGGTAAGTTTAGCTTAGGTAGTTGGAGTTTGATGAGAGTAGACGTGGTTGTAGTTAAAACTTCTTGATAATTTCCTTATAAACTACTTAATTAAAGTTCTGATGCTCTTTCAGACGGTTTCTTCTCTTTGACCGTATTTATTCAATTTCAAGATGAAGAAGGAAAATTTTCAGCGAAAGTTTTTATCTTTTTCGTCATTAACGATCGCTAATGACAAGTTAGTTGAAAATGGTCTTTAGCAATCTTGAACAAAGGGTTGTCGAAAACGATGGTCAAAAATGAAAAAACCACTTCTGCGTTTTTTAATTTTAAGAATTGATCATTTTCAAAAACGATCGTTTTGAAAACAGTAGTTACGTTTTTTCTACGTCATTAACAAAACGTTGTTCAGAATAAATCCATTACTTCATCGAGCACGGGTTTTTTAAACTTTTTAATTTGTTGCATCTAAAACTAAACGTGTGGGGGAAAAGGTTTTCAAAAAAGAGGGAGAGTGGGGTAAAGATTTTAAAGAAATATACACCCCTGAAGGGTCATTTGAGGCACTACAAGAATTTTGGACTCAATTGATTCAGCCGTCTTGACGTTTTTTTTGGATATAAACAAACAATCTAGTACCAGACAACCTTATTTTCTATACATATATAGAATACAAATATTTATAGAATATATTTATAGAACATTTAAGGTTAGATTAAAGCATAGCATTTTTCAACAAAGTTAAAATTTGAAATTACTTGAATGCTTTGTGTATTAGTCAGTAGTCAAAACTAAAATTCATTTTTATTTTAGGAAATTTCCACCTATAAAAGTCTAATCTACGAGGTATGAATTATAAATAAATTTAAATTAATAACATTTGATAAATACAAAAAAAAATTAGAGCTTAGAACGAAATTAAAGCAGAAATTATTTCCTTTTTTATGTTCTCAATCGCTGAAAAAATGTTGCACCGGGAATTTTTACTCTTTTTTGGAGCTTGTTTTACCATCAAATGAAACCCTGCAAGAAAATTCTTGTTGTGAAAATTCGTCATTAAATTTGTAAACTAATTTTCGTGGGTTTATTAATATAATTTTCTGTTAGAAGAGTGTATACTCTAATTACTGCACTTGTAAATAAGTGAAAATTTATTTTATAAAAAAATCTAGACTTTGAGCAATTGAGCACTCTTTCAATAAGAATATTAAGAAAATATAGGCTCAGGCAGTTTTGAGACTGGTTTGGTTTTGAGAATTTAAAGCTCCACGGACGTTTTTACATCTACTTTTAATATTTGAAAGCAAATTTAATACTTTACCGCCTTTTGACCAACATTACCGACCTTTGAATCCCTCCATAGCGGGAGGTTAAGTTACTTAACTTCCCTTGGAACAGTTATGTAAAATAACCACCCGCTCTGCGAAGTTTTCAAGGAAAAAATCCGCGCATTTTCATCTGAAAAGACGATAAAAATTGTGTTCAACTACTTTTCGGGAAATTAAAGATTTCATTTAACCACGGGTTGGGAACCCTAGGTAAAGTAAAATTCCTTTAACTTCTCTGTAAGTTGGTTGTAAATAATTAAAAAGTTGTAAATAATAAAGCGTTAGTTGATAATTGTTTTTAACCAGGAAAAACGACGGTACCCTGAAGAACCCGTCTTAGATGGATTATTCGGGGGATATAATTGTCTCAATGCAGCAAATGGAAGTAAGTCTATCTTTTTACTTTTTGTCCTAGATATTTTATGTTCCCTCCCCTTGTCCTAGATATTTTACATTCCCTCCCCTTGTCCTAGATATTTTACATTCCCTCCCCTTATCCTAGATATTTTATATTCCCTCCCCTTGTCCTAGATATTTTATATTCCCTCCCCTTGTCCTAGATATTCTATATTCCCTCCCCTTGTCCTAGATATTTTACATTCCCTCCCCTTGTCCTAGATATTCTTTATTCTCTCCCCTTGTCCTAGATATTCTATATTCCCTCCCCTTGTCCTAGATATTTTATATTCACTCCCCTTGTCCTAGATATTCTATGTTCCCTTCCCTTGTCCTAGATATTTTATATTCCCTTACCTTGTCCTAGATATTCTATATTCCCTCCCCTTGTCCTAGATATTTTATATTCCCTCCCCTTGTTCTAGATATTCTATATTCCCTCCCCTTGTCCTAGATATTCTATATTCCCTACCCTTGTCCTAGATATTTCATATTCCCTCACCTTGTCCTAGATATTTTATTTTCATTTACCTTGTCCTAGATATTCAATATTCCCTCACCTTGTCCTAGATATTCTATATTCCCTCCCCTTGTCCTAGATATTCTATATTCCCTCACCTTGTCCTAGATATTTTATTTTCCCTCACCTTGTCCTAGATATTTTATTTTCCTTTACCTTGTCCTAGATATTCAATACTCCCTCACCTTGTTCTAGATATTCTATATTCCCTCCCCTTGTCCTAGATATTTCATATTCCCTCACCTTGTTCTAGATATTCTATATTCCCTCCCTTTGTCCTAGATATTCAATATTTCCTCCCCTTGTCCTAGATATTTTATATACCCTCCCCTTGTCCTATATATTCTATATTCCCTCACCTTGCTCTAGATATTCTATATTTCCCTTACCTTGTCCTAGATATTCTATTTTCTATCCCCTTGCCTAGATATTCTATGTTCCCTCCCCTTGTCCTAGATATTCTATATTCCCTCCCCTTGTCCTAGATATTCTATGTTCCCTTCCCTTGTCCTAGATATTTTATATTCCCTTACCTTGTCCTAGATATTCTATATTCCCTCCCCTTGTCCTAGATATTTTATATTCCTTCCCCTTGTTCTAGATATTCTATTTTCTCTCCCCTTGTCCTAGATATTTTATATTTCCTTCTCTTGTCCTAGATATTTTATATTCCCTCCCCTTGTCCTAGATATTTTATATTCCCTCCCCACAGTGATAAGTAATTATGTAAATACAATGAAGACGACTTTTTTATTTAATTTGTGATTGTTAACAAGCTTTTTCAAATTACAAGCTTTCAAGTAATCAAAGAGATACTTTTTTAACTAACTGCAGCTTCTCTTGATTTGTATGTTTTTGTGTATCAATGCTGTTTAACAGCTTTATATAAATCAAAATTTAAATCTTCATCGTATAATCACCTACCACTGTATAGGTCCTTGTCTTTGATATTTTTAATCATATACTCGGACCCCGGTTAACGAAAGTAGGGTGTCCTGTCCATGGATATAAATAAAATAATATCTTATATATTATTATTATAGTATTATTATAAATTGTTGTCAAGGAAACCTAACTTCTCGGAAAGAGCTTCAAGAGAATGAGAAGAAGTTTACAAAAATACCCTACGAAGATCAAATAGATGTTGGATGTGTGTATTCAAACTTTTTAGTTATTCAAACTTGTTAGGTATTCAAACTTTTTAGGTATTTAAACTTTTTAGGTATTTAAACTTTTTAGGTATTCAAACTTTTTAGGTAATTATACTTTTAGTTATTCAAAAATTTTGGGTATTCAAACTTTTTAGGTATTCAAACTTTTTAGTTATTCAAACTTGTTAGTTATTTAAACTTTCTAATTATTCAAACTTTTTAGGTATTTAAACCTTTTAGCTATTCAAAATTTTTAGTTATTCAAACTTTTTAGTTATTTATACTTTTAGTTATTCAAAAATTTTAGGTATTCAAACTTTTTAGGTATTCAAACTTGTTAGTTATTTAAACTTTCTAATTATTCAAAATTTTTAGGTATTTAAACTTTTTAGCTATTCAAACTTTTTAGTTATTCAAACTTTTTAGGTATTCAAACTTTTTAGTTATTCAAACTTGTTAGTTATTTAAACTTTCTAACTATTCAAACTTTTTAGGTATTTAAACTTTTTAGCTATACAAACTTTTTAGGTATTTAAACTTTTTAGTTATTCAAACTTTTAGGTATTTAAACTTTTTAATTATTTAAACTTTTTGGGTATTTAAACTTTTTAGGTATTCAAACTTTTTAGGTATGCAAACTTTTTAGGTATTCAAACTTTTTAGGTATTCAAACTTGTTAGTTATTTAAACTTTTTAGGTACTTAAACTTTTTAATTATTCAAACTTTTTATATATTTAAACTTTTTAATTATTCAAACCTTTTGGGTATTTAAACTTATTAGTTATTCTTTTCTATAATTTAAACAAAATTTAAAGTATGATGTTGCTCTTTTTAAATATTTCATGATTGTTGTGGTTTTAAGTGGTTTTTACTTAAAAGAGTGACATTGCTGATTCACAACGTTGCCCTTTAAACCTAAATCTGATCAAGAATGAGGAAATTATCGTCTGTAGCTTTAAAAGAGTTCAATTCGGACATAAGCCATTCTATCCACAAGTGAAAATAATCAATTGTAAAAGAGAAGTTGAAAGATATCTCAGGTGTTGTTAATCAGAGAAAGCCTTTAAGGGAACAGGCAGCTCTACACATGGAGAGTCACTTGAAGCCCCGTCAATAATCTCTTTTCTCAGCAGGGTTTTTTTTCTTATATTTCATTTTTATAGAAAAAACCACCAAACAAGCCAATCAAAGGAAATTCATGCATCTATTTCAACTGGGGAGGTAGGAAAATAAAAAAAAATAATTCAAAATATTTTTGCAAATTTGATGTATGTTTTTTCGTTTAAATACGCCGAGGATTCATTTGGTTTTGATGCGGATCCGGATCCTGGATCCGCATTGAAAAAATGGATCCGGATCCTGGATCCTCATTGAAAAAATTGATCCGGATCCAGGTCAAGATTTACAGATATTTTAAACAAATAAAAATTTTCAACTTTTTTACTCTTTTTTCTCATTTTTACGCTGAAAATGGGCCATTCAATCTTTAGAGATTATGAAGCTTTTTATGACCGATCATCAGTTAATAATTAATAACATACACATTATATTTCACCCCTTGGATCCGGATCCAAAGCCTTAAAAACAACTATACAGTAAAATATATCAAATATTTAAATGTACACCAATGTATTTGTTATAACAGAATTTTTCTAACTTTTAATGAGCTTTATTTTTAGAATGGGGAGACTATGGAAAATGTTCAAAATCTTGCGGAAATGAGTATGAGGGCAAACGGGAAAGGAAACGGTAATAAATATCTTATTTCAAATAAATTATGTTCTGACCTTTATGACTTTTGTCTCTATTTTATCCCGTTGTCGTAGACCGTTGATATTCTAAATTTGCATTCTGTTAGATTTAAAAGTCAAAGTTTGAAATATCAAATGCTTACACCATCAGGTTGCAAAACTATTGGGAATAGAAAAAAAGGTTTATAGACCTAATTTCTTTGCAAAGTTTTTGATTAGATCTTGTACAGATTGTTTAAATGTAAACATGAAACAGTGATTTTTTGCTTTGTTTTTGAGATTGTGAGGTACTTCGCGTAAAATGAAGATATTCATTGTCACTGTGTACAAGCATTTCACGTTTGACCAAGCACATCTCTTACCATCACTGAACTAAACTAGATAAAAGCTAGATTTGTTCAGATCAATGTTCTTCTTAACTAAAAGTCGGTAATCTTGCATTTTATCTTGAGAAATTAATTTCAACGATATTTTTAAAATTGAAAAATATTTTTTTGTATATATTTTCAATCTTGAATGATTTTATTTGTAAATTGTATAGCTATGACCATGAAAAGAATTAGCGTAGATAAAACGTGATTTCCATTGGCAAATAAAAAATTCGCTTTTTCTCTATTATGTTTTTAGAAAATGTTTGAACGCTTGTACTAATGAAGAATCTGATGCTAAAAAGTGTCCCGGAAAAGACTCCCAGGATGCTAATTGCACTCCTTGCCCAGCAGATAGTAGGATTTTTTTTACTATTTTTTTTTTAGATTTGCAAACAATTTGTTGGGTAGCTGGCGTCATCTTAAAACATTAAATTTTCGATAATTTGTCTCTTGTAAAAAAATTTTAAATTGTTTTTTCCTACCAGAAGTTTTTAGTATGTTTAAGAGAACATACTAAAACGTTTGGTTAAGAAGTATCAAAAATGGTGATAACACTTGCCTTTTGATGTGATATGTTTCTTGCTCCCCTTTTTANTTTGTTGGCGGCGATCTTCAAAAATCATGTCCCCCCTGCCCCTCACTAATTATCAAAAATAAACATCCAGTTTAGTATTTCCATTTAGCCGATTTTTGGAAAGTTTTTACATTTCTTTGTTAACAGATTAATTCTAGAGTATGGTTTCTGGGACCAGTGGAGTAATTGGAAGCTTGAAGGAGAACCTGCTTGCAGCAAAGGTTGTTGAAAAACACTCTTAAAAATCAACACTTTTTTAGCACAATCACTTTTAGCTCAATCATAATAAAGCTCCTCACTCACATGTATATAATATATTATATAAATTAGCTACAGCTCACCAAAGGGCTGGATCAAATTAGCTAAAATTTGTTTTGAAAACCAATGGGTACCCTGGGGGTGATGTTTTTTTCTTCAAAATGAAATTTTTTGTTTCAAATTGTTTTTTAACTTTCACGGGCAAACGCAGGGTACTTCGGCAAGTTGTAGTGAATTTATAAATCGACATTTTTACATTTTATTTCACCGTTTTACTTCCTAACTAAAGGAATGTGACCTAGGTAAAACTGACCGAAAGATTGTCAAATACCGAACAAGAGAGTGTATTGCTGAAGGAGACGTGAAGATGTAAGTATTGTCGGGATACAGTCTAGCTTTTATGTACAGGGGGTGTCCTAATAAACATGGGAATTAAATATTGACTGGCATATCGTCTTTGTTCCATTCGGGAATATTTCGTAAGCATATTTTTGTAGTATCACAAGTCCATCGCAAACCCGGAAGTATTGTGCAAAACGTAAATTTTTACGCTAAACATGCTATTGCAAATTAACAAAAGTTTACAGTTTCAGCACAGAATCAAACAGCTGAAGGTTTATTAAAAAATTTACATAAAATTAAATTATGGTTTTACACTTAATTGGTTATTTTTAGTTCCAAATCTTGTAATTGAGAGACAAAAATTAATAAAACAGAAATTAGAAATTTTAAAATTGAAATTTGTGCATAGTTTTTATAGATGTCTGAATCTGTGTGTGCTGTTAAACACTAGTCGAATGCAAATGATTGAAATATCTAAGGTCTATGCCCACTGAGATAAAGACAACACTGAAACTTAGTCATCAATCTTTTAAATATCCTCCGCTTTGAAGTGTCGCAACGCCGTGGTCTTTGTTTTACCTCACACATTCACTGATACTTTTATTGTAGGCATTTTAAATGTGATAAGCGTCTGTTTTTATCTTAAGTTTAAAATGAGTAATCTGCAAAATACTTCTCGTGATATGTTCCTTTTTAAGGATTAAAATTATATGCAAAAAAGTGCCATCTCTATAGATAACTAAATTATACAGTTAAAACCTATATTCAATCTTTTACTCAGAATTTGTTACGGAAAATTGCGCAAAACAGAATAACCCTTTTGCGAAATAGCGCGAAATGAAGTTTGCGGATGATTGATCAAAGTGCTATTTTTTGCGCAAAAATGTAGCGCAACGAATGCAAAAATTTCGCAAAAGTTTTGCGAATGGAAACCCTATTACCAAGGATGGTTTAAAGTAGGGAACGGGTTATAGAGAGAAATTCAAAATGTTTTTTTTCTAGGTGTCCCCCCACCAAGGATGGTTTAAAGGAGGGAACGGATAGAGAAGAGAAGTTTATGTATATCCCTGACTGCCAGAAGGATCAGGAGTATACACAGTACTTATCCGGATATGAAGAATATTTAGAATAGAAACAAGAAATCTACGGAAAATTGGAGATTTAAAAAATTTTATGAAAATAATATTGAAATAAAAATTTCTAGACTTAGTTTGTACTTTACTCATCAAAATATCAATTTTACAGAACTTGAAAAGCACAAGTCCATATATGTACATAAGAGGGTTAAGCTAATTTATTTTGGATTCTCTTCAGGTCAAAAAGCGATAGGAGACAATCGTTCTTCCAAATTAAAGTTTTATCATTTAACTACAGACACTGAATTTAGCACCATTTTATTACAAAAGTTGATGAAGATAATGTAGGTTTGTATATGGTTTTTCTGCAGTAGGATACTTTTTTTTGGAGTAAAATTAACTACAATTTCAGATCAGTTTTCCAAATTATAAACATGGACACCGCATTCAATATTCATACTAGATCAGAAAACGCTTTTAAGGGTTATGGTGTGAATCTGACGTGCCATGTGACATGCTCAGTTAGATAGAAGGATAAAGGGTACTGATGTGAATTGACCAATCCACTCAAAGGTTCACTTGAAATAATGTCTACATTTCATTTCAGATTTGTGGTGCTTTAAAATTTTATTTTCTTTATCTCGTTCCATGAGGAAATTATAGTTCGCAATTATTATTATTATCTGCATGGTTTCGGTTGCTTAATCTGTAAATATTTTGATTATATATTATCTTGGATTAAATCAGCAACAGCTTGAAGCAAAAAATAGAAAATCCGTCAATCACGAGAATCATCATCCATCAAACACAGAAGCTGTAGAAAACATCCCCCCTCACACACACGCACAACCGGCACAACTTTAAAGCATGCCAACAGCCACTGCACTCTGCTTGATTTTAATCTAAATTTAAACGTAAATTATATTTTACATCCTCCGCAGTAAAATGCCCAGTTTTTGTTGGCGGGATGAGTTACATTCTTTCTAACAGGGTTACCACAAAATTATCATTAGAAAAATTTAAAGTTTCCAGTAAATTTGTTTACGTATTCTAAGATGGGTTAGAAATAATACTTAAAAATAGATTGAGATGTTATCCCTGAAATTTGTAGATTTAAATGCAAATATTTTTTAACATGGCAACATTGGTTTTCAGGCTTTCACGAGGTACTATTCGGAACCATTTTTGTTCATGTTTTCCACAATTTTGTATTTGCTTTCGTTATTGCTCTTTTTTTCTTGTTCTTGTTCTTGTTCTTTGTTTAAGTTTTCTTTTCTAGTTTTCTTCCTGCTCTGGTTCTTGTTCTGTTTTTATTTTAATCTTGTTCTATTTTGCTCTTGTTTTTACTCTTTTTCTTGTTATTTTTTTTTCTTGTTCTTCTGGTTCTCTTTTTTAAAATTTGGTTACGTTCTTGATCTCTTTCTGGTTTTGTTCTCGTTCTTTTCTCGTTATTTTTCTGGTTATTTGCTTGTTATTGTTAATTTATGTTGATTTTATTGTTATTGTTTTGATAATTTTTCTTTTTCTTGCTCTTTTCGTAATATTTTATTTCTATCTTATTCCTATTCTTGTTCTTGTTTCTTATTCCTATTCTTGTTCTTGTTTCTTATTCCTATTTCTGTTCTTGTTTCTTATTCCTATTCTTGTTCTAATTTCTTATTCCTATTCTTGTTCTTGTTTCTTTCTCCTATTCTTGTTCTTGTTTCTTAATCCTATTATTGTTCTTGTTTCTTATTTTTATTCTTGTTCTTGTTTCTTATTCATATTCTTGTTCTTGTTTCTTATCCTATTTTTGTTCTTGTTCTTGTTTCTTATTCCTTTTCTTGTTCTTGTTTCTTATTCCTATTCTTATTCTTGTTTCTTATTCCTTTTCTTGTTCTTGTTTCTTATTCCTATTCTTGTTCTTGTTTCTTATTCCTATTCTTATTCTTGTTTCTTATTCCTTTTCTTGTTCTTGTTTCTTATTCCTATTCTTGTTCTTGTTTCTTACTCCTATTCTTGTTCTTGTTTCTTATTCCTATTCTTGTTCTTGTTTCTTATTCCTATTCTTGTTCTTGTTTATTATTCCCATTCTTGTTCTTATTCCTCATTCGTATTCTATTTTTTGTTCTTGTTCATGTTCTTGTTCTTATTTCTTATTCCTATTATTGTTCTTGATTTTGTTCTTTAAAATGCTCCCGATTTTGTTTTTTAACTTATTCTGAATTGCAATTGTAAAAAGGAAAAGATCTGAAGCAATTCATGAATTTTAAAATGGAAAGGATTATTCTTGTTGATCTTTTTCTCATTATAAACTTTTTAGAAATATTTTTGTTCTTTTACAAAACAGACAAGATACTTTTCTTTTTCTTGCTCTTGTTCTTTCTAGATATCATGTTCTTGTTTTTGTTATTTCTAGTTAGTTTTGATTATAGTTCTAAACGTAAAAAACTATTTATTGTTTTTATTTGTTCTGTACTGAATAGTGAAAATTGTATAGATATTGATGATATTAATGTATAACAAGGTACTATTCAGTTGGTATACCGGTGTACCGAGAATATTAATGATGCTACGTAAACTGGTTCTGCTTCTCCTAGTTCTAGCGCTAACCTGGAGAATAAATCAAGCCAAACCCAACCCGGCACCACAGGTTACAAATTACAGATACAATCATACAGTGGTGACCAGAATGCAATGGAATGATTGTCGTCCTCTTTTTTTCTGATAATGAAATATAAGAATTTTGTAAGTTGTGACTAAAGAATTGAGTCTGAGCCTCAAACTCTGGTTTTTAATCATTATATCGTTTAACACAATGTCGTAGACCTTAGATATTTCTAAGTATGAATTAGCTGTTTGATAAAATAATCTAAGTTTGAAATATAAAAGGTTTACACCATCAGGTTGCACAGGTATATGGATTAGAAAATTTGAGTTTGTGGCAAAGTCTAACTTACTTTATTCATAAAATTTTAAGTATAATTCTTAATAAAGACGACCAGCCACTTAAAAATATATCGACAGTCCATTCCATCATGCAGAAGAATTTTTTCAGGGGTGTAAATTTTCATTAGTGGGGTATTATGGAGGGGGGGGGGGGGTGGTAGCCAAAATTATTTTATTCCATAAACCTCTTATTTATGTCTCAAATAAAACTTGGCCGCTTAAGAATTTTTTTTTAGAGAAGTCTCCAAGTGGTTTATATGTTATGTTTTAATTAAGAATTTCGACAAAAAACCCGCTATTTCATTGAAAACTCTTAAAATAGGATTTTTCAACACGCTACTCTGACTACATTAAGGTTTTCTGGTGCTGCTGGAGGACCTAAATCTTTTCTATATGGCTGTTAGAATCGTTTTTTTAATATTTAGATTATCCCGAAACCCCTGTGCTTTAATATGCTTTTGTTTTCAAATATATGTTTTTAATTTCAAAAAGCTGGCTGTAACAAAGACGACATATGAATTTATTACGAGTTTACAGGATCCATTCAAAGATACAGAGAGTCCCATATCATATTAGATTATCTCCAATCTTTAGCGCCAAAATACGTATACAATACTTGAAAAATCTAGCATTTTCTGCAAAATAAAATTTCTGATAGCCTTATTAAATTTTTCAAAATGATTCATTCTTCTTAAATTTTCTGATTTGTCCCCCAAATCGTAATTTAGACCATTTGACGCGGTGGTATTTGATGTGGGACACCCTGTACATATATATGGACGGGAAAAGTAATAATAAATTGAAATCATTATTAATAAATGGAAGCTACAATTCATACAATTTTTGTAAATGAGAGATTAATAGAATATATTCATTTTGTTCATTCTCAACATGAAATACGAGACAAATGTATTTTAAGAGGAGTATTGTGACGAAAACCAGTTCCCCCCCACCAAATCCTCTGAATTGTTATTTAAACCAATGCATTTACCTTAAATATATAAGATTGGAGCTTTTTGTATGCAGGGTGTCCCACATCAAATTCGACCGCGTCAATGGGTCTAAATTACGAGTTGGAGGACAAATCTAAAAATTTAAGGAGAATGAATAATTTTGAAAAATTTAATAAGGCTAATAGAAAAAATCTTTTGCAGAAAATGCTAGATTTTTCAAGTATTGTATGCGTATTTTGGCGTTAAAGATTTTAGATAATCTAATATGATATGGGACGCTCTGTAGATATTGTTAATCTTGGACGCTTGGTCTCTATATCAAATGTGGACACTTTTAAATTTTAGGATCAAGTCTGATCCTTCAATTAGAGATTCACAAATATATACAAAATATCTGAGGCCGAATTTAAAGAATTTAAGCCAGCGGCTTAAATTTGAGACGCTGCTCAAATATGGTTGGTTCCACATAAAATCGTATTCAATGTTTATGATTTAGGCCGACGCCCAATTGAAGCAGGTTTTTGGCGGATTTCAGATGCGGCTCAAATACATAAAATTCGGATTCTGATTTCTGAATTATTAAAAACAAAATTTGTAGGAGAAAGGTCCTGGAGGTGAAGAAATGGAGGACACTACAGGACCTCCAATTTGGTGCAAGTTCTCCAACCCTTGGAGGTAATTAAATAGACTTTATACCTGTTTTCGAATCTAAATTGTAGGCTGACCCGATTAAATATCTTTGTGTGGGCATTAAATATCTCGAACTAACCATGTATTTCTATCCAAAAATCGATATTATTTTCTATCCCAGTTTTGCTACAAAAATACTTGCGGATTTGCGCAGAAGAGGAAAAAAGAAATTATACAGAATTTGTCAATAAAGAGAATGCACAAAATTAAGCAACCCTTCATGTTTAGATGACAATGCCCGATTTCCAACAGTACCCTTGAAACCTTCTGATCAATAATTTGGAAGATATTGTCGTTTTTCTAGTTTCTATAGATTCTGAAAATTCCCATATGTTTCCCCACAGTACAATGTGCAAGTCACTTTTGAAAAGAAACATTAATGGAAAAAACTCGTTTTCAAAATTATAATGATTGATATCTAATTTATACTTTATAAGACAAAAGGTTTTGTTTCGTGCATTGCCATCTTTGCATATAGGATCACTTACGCGTAAAGTCCCTTTAATTAGCTGTAAACTATATTAGAAGATCTTAAATTCGTCTGTTAGCTGCAGTTATGTTTCTTTATACAATAGACATACATATAAAATATGCATAAAAACATTTGAAAATCCACAATTTTCGTTGTAAAACATACCAGTTAAAGCATGTTTATTGACTGACGAGAATTTAGATATCTAAAAAATTGTATTGATATAAATATGAAAACTGGAAGCTGTTCTGCTTATTGCTTTATAGTTATATTGTTCAACTAAACATAACTGCAGTTGAGAGACGAATTCAAGATATACATATATATATAAATTTATTATTCACTTTAAAAAAAACAGATTAACAATGTTTGATGGACCATATATATAATTATATTATTGATAAATATGAAAACTGAGAAGCTGCTTTGATATGGTTTATATTAAATATATATATATATATATATTAATTTATTATTCAATAAAAAAAACAGGTAAACATCCTTATACACAACGTTTCATGGACCAATTGACATGGACCAGTGAGGTCTGTTCTATATATATTATATATATATATATAATATATATAGAAGAACAGACCTCACTTTATATTTATCTATTTTTTCTATTGCGATTTAGATTTCTTTTTTATTTAGGTCAAGAGTTCGTGTAGACGCTAAGTGTAAAGAAATCGCTGGTGTTTAGTGTTTTTAACGAAACATCGAAAACTTTTTATTATCAGCACCTAGCTAAGAAAAATGAGGAAATATGTTTTTTATATATTTTCCAAATGCAAACATGAAATTACATTTAATACAATCAGTTAAAAACAATAATATAAATAGTTTGAAAATAAGTCTTTGATAAAAACATTTTTTTTTGTATTTTTCAATAAAACTTAAAATTTTATTTTTTTTTTAAATCAAGTTGAGAACTCGAAAGAATGCTAGAATAACTATTGAAAAGAAATTTGCTATTAAAAAAATTTGGATTATTCAGATTTTACATCATTATTTTTTACTCAGGGTTAATATTTAAAAGTAAGCAATCTAACAGTTATAGGACATGGTTTATGTAGAGGGAAAGGACAATGACATAAATAGGATAAGGACAGGTAGAGGAGGGGAAAGGACAAGAATAAAAGTAGATAAGGACAGGAAGAGGAAGGGAAAGGACAATGACATAAATAGGATAAGGACAGGTGGAGGAGGGGAAAGGACAAGAATAAAAGTAGATAAGGACAGGTAGAGGAGGGGAAAGGACAAGAATAAAAGTAGATAAGGACAAGTAGAGGAAGGGAAAGGACGGATGAAAAGTAGACAAGGACAGGCAGAGGAAGGGAAAGGACCAGAATAAAAGTAGATGAGGACAGGTAGAGGAAAGAAGAGGACAAGAAATTTGAATGACAAAATAAATTACATTTTTTGCTTATTTTTTTAAGCACAATTAGCAAGTAACACTTTTGACTGCAAGAAAGCTGTTGTTTGTATTCTTGAAGAAAAGCCAACTAATAAACTAGTTTACATAATACCAGTTTCGTAGAACATAACCATCAGATGGTTCTACAGGTTTTGCTGGGCCTCGTTTTCGAATCAACCTAATATAATTTAGTATACAGTGATAACCAAAAAACAATGTAATAGGAAGACGACATTGTGGCAATACTGAAGTGTATTTGACAAACCAAACAGACACTTAGTTTAATAAAATGGGATGGTTTACACTGCCCATTTAGGGTGTCTCATGATCATTGCACTTATTAAAGTTATAATTTGATTCTAAAATTCGTCTGCTTCTTTCAGAGCTTTCTGGTTATCACTGTAAATTCTCGTAAAACCATAATGACGCCATTATTAACACGTAAAATGAAAATAAATTGCGTAAGATTGAAATCTTAAATGCTTTCAATAATAATTAAATAAAGAGCTATGGAGAAGAAGAAAAAATGTTGAATGTGCAAATATATTTACTTTTCTCATACAGTGAAATCCAGAAAACTCTGAAATAGTAATACAATTTTTTAAAAGATGTTAGGTACTTTCAAAAAGACATTTTCCCAAGTGGCACCTTCCCAAGGTGTGCAATTTCCCAAGCGGCAACTTCCCAAAGGTTAGGTTATGCCCTGTGAGGCGACGCAGGTTGCCATTGGGGCCGAGCGCTGCGGCTAGGATGGGCTAGAGGCCGAACGCCGCGGCTAGAACAGGCTAGGGGCCAAGTGCTACGGCTAAGACAGACTTAGGAAGTTGCCGCTTGGGAAATTGCACTTTTGGGAAGTTGTCTCTTGGAAAAATACTATTGGGATGTTGCCACTTGGGAAAAATCCTTGGGAAAGTACGTAACATCTTTTAAAAGTCCAGTGAACATGAGAAAATGTGTAAACAGACCATAGATAAAGATAGATTGCGTATAAGACGACATTTATTAACTAGGTCGGTTGTGAACATTGGCTATTCTTATGTCATTGAGTACTTGTGGTGTACATGAATTCTGTAGAGAGAAATTTAAGTTAGTTTAGTCCTTCTCATGTCCTTCTTCAGTTCTCGTCAATATAATATATATTGTTCAGTGAAATAATTTGATATTCTCAAAATAAAATTCACTCCTGAGTGGTTTAATAATTATGAAATCCATTAAAACACCAAACCACCCCGCTTATCATTGAAGTACACTTTGACCCCTAGAAGTATGAGTTAGTGGACTATACAATTCTTGGTGATTTTGCGTACATAAGCTATCTATGTTTATTTATTTATCTATGAAGCAGACCAATTTCTCTTATAATATGATTTAATAAATTACTTGTAAAACTATTTGCTTTGTAACAACATCAAAAACTCTTAATTATTGCTTTAATGTCGTCTTCCCATTCCTGAGCTTTATGATTCTCACAAAACTTATGCGTAAAATAGAAAATTAAAATCCAACCATTAAAATAAGAAATCCATCAATCATTTGAAAGACGACATTTCAATCTGTTCTCCAATCGTCTTCTAACTTCACCTTATATAGTTTTTAACAACTGAAGTTTTGATTGGGGAATCAAAGTTGGGTTCGTACTCTGGCTCTTCAGTTGGACTGCGCATCAGGAACTAGAAATGTACTAGTTGAAAGTATTCTTTATATTCTTCTACCTACAGGGTGTCCCAAGAACATGGGAATTCAGTGACGCATTCGATATCGTCTTTTTAAATAATTCTTTGATTTAGTATAGTGATACCAACTGAGAAAGCTTTAATCTGTAAGAGTTTCGTCTGTTATGTTTACATTTTGTTTGTTTATGTTTTGACTGCATACGGTTGTACTTAGTAAAACAAGAAAATTGCAGTATACAAACAGAGAAAACTTGTCTTTACAGTCTTTTACCCTTTTCATAAAATAAACTCTAGCAGACGTAATAATATTATGGCTTTTGAAATTAGGTATTACAATGCTAATTCATTGAAAAGACGATATACAATTCGTCACTGAATTCCCATGTTTCTTGGTACACCCTGTAATATAGTTTTGATAAAAACATTCAGCAAAAACGAAAGAATTATAAAGAATATTATGATGTAAGATCTGGAAAGTGCACTGTTACATGAATCCCTAACATTTAATTCGCAATATCTACCTAGAGTTAGAAATTACAAAAAGGTTCAAAATTATAAATAGAATGTACAGCTTAACCCAGAACTTTGGAAACACCGGAAACGTTTATAAAATGTCGTTTTCTTAACCTACTACTGATGGATAATGGAATGCTGCAGATATCTAATTTTTAATTGAATAATTATACGGAGCTCGTAAAAACTTTTCCCGCGTATTTTATAACAAAATATTGTTTTGACAATTACTGAGGTAGAATAGTATAAAACCCATTGTAAAATTGTCAAGACGACATTTCATAAATTCTTTCGATGTCCCCAAAACTCTGTGTCAAACTTTAGGTTTCTTCAAACTATTTGTGGTGCGAAGCATCATGGATTATCGGATACAAGGATTCCCTTAAAGGAAAAGACTTCAGAGCTGGGAACTTTAGTGGATATAGAGATTAATGCTTAATCCCCTCTTTTTCTTAATCTCGAGACTAACATAATCTTGTACTTCTATCCTAAAAAGTGTATAAAATTCAACCGATTAGAGTCGCGTATCAAAAGCCTGTAAATTTGAAATTTTGCGCGCCATTTAAGATTAATAGAGAGAAACTGGAAAGACTCTTAATTTAAAAAAAAAACGATTTTCGATTTTTCTGTACAGTGAAACCCTTAATAACGAATACATCGAAAGAATTCATCAAATGTCGTATTCTTCACTTTCTGATAATGGAATGTTGCAGATATTTAGTTTTTTAATTAAATGATTATATGGAACTCTTTAAAACTGTTCCCGCATATTCATGGCTATTTATTTATTTTCGCAAATACTGAAATTTACGTAATATAGTATAAACTCATTGAAAAATTGTCAAGACGACATTTGATAAATTCTTCCAATGTATTCGTTATTAAGGGTTTCACTGTACTACACCCAAAAAAAGAGTGGATTAAGCAAGAAATCAAAAGTGTCCACATTGGATATTTGGATTAAGCAGTCGTGATAAATGGTATCCCATTCTAAAGTTCCCAGCTCAGAGCCCTTTTGTTGTTGTTTTTGTGATGATTTCCTTTGCAGGCACAGCTTTAAGCATAATGGTTTCTTTACCAAATTATTAAGCACAACGAAAAAGACTATGCCTAAGACTAAAACCAAATTAACTTCGAACAACAGAATTAAAACACTTTAAGGTCGTCCTTAAAGTTTCATCTTTTCTGGGTAACCCTGTAGTAAAATTTTACCTGTGGATATTGATCTTGACATTGATCCCCTGTGCAGCAGTCTAGAATAAGATTCAAATTTTCAACAACAAAAAATTGACATTGTTTGTGCAAAATTACGAAACTTTTGAATTTCTGATATTTTTATTGCAATCCTGGCTCACAATGTGACTCAACTAGGTAGATAGAGAAGGTGAAATTTATTCAGTTTCATTTTAGAATTTCTAAACATTTTATTGCTATTGTAAGCATGAAAATTTCATTCTTTATTGTAATTTACTTTTGTTGTTAAGTTGAAAAAATACATCTCCTCTTTATTTACAGTATCCAATATAAATATAATATACAGTCGTCGTCATATGTACCAATACAATGAAGACGACTTTCAATTTCAGTTCAGATTTATACCAAGCTTCAAAGCAGTACGGATACACATAAGCTTGTTAATTGACAGCTTCTCTTTGATCTTGTAAGAAATCAAAACTTAAAAATAAAAGTCGTCTGATTATTGTATTGATATTAACGCTGGCCACTGTATGCTGTGCGCGACTAGAAAACTAAAATAATTTTAAATTTTTAACTTACATGCCACAGCAATTGCCCAGGCAAGTACTAACGCAATCCTGAGAACAAGCATTGATTTTCTAAAAGCAAAATGTTTATTTTTTTATGCTCTAAAATTATATTTTTTTTGTTCGTACAGTGGGACCCATCAAACTGTGGAATAGGAAGATGACTTTAAGCAATCTATTTAGGAAATGTAACAAAGCACATGAATAAAAATCTGCCACGAAATCATCAGAAATCCGCAAAATATGTACACTTCATTAAAAATGGACCAGGTTAAGATTCTCATCGAAACCCTTGTAACCCTTAAAAATTCTTCTCTCTGATGCAAAGTAATTAAATTGAAAAAAAGTATAAAAAATTCATAAAGAAATTCTTTCCAAAATCCCCGTAGTCAGTTTCGGACAAGATTAAAAAAGTGGCTTTGTTCATCCAATGTAGAGCAGAATTATGTTTTTGACAATGGAGGATAAGAAAAACACAGAAAGTTCTAAATTCTCAATTTTTTTTGGTTATATCGGCGGTAGGTGATTTAATAAATATAAGACGACTTTTTTATTTTAGCTCAAATTGTTAACAAGCTTTCTTCGAATTACAAATTTGCAAGTAATTAAGAGAAGCTTTTTTAATTGACAGCTCTTCTCTTTGTTTTTGTTTTTTATCCAAGCTGATATTAAGCAAGATATAAATTAAAATTAAAATCAAAAGTAGTCTTCATTATATTGATATAATCGCCTACCCCCGTATATCAATGTCCTGATATAGTCTACTATTCAAACAATTTAAATCCATAAGACTGATATATTTTGCATTACTAAAAATCATACTGTAGTATTACTTTTAGTTCTGAATATCAACTAATTAAGAGAAATTGGACCTATGCTGCATTGTTCCATGTTCATTAAACTATTTTCTTCATTAATCTGGAAGGGACTGTAAGCGTTATTTCAAGTTATTTCACAATGTAAAAATAGGTAATGTCAAATTCACAATGATACCCTTGAGATCTTAATCTGATCAAAAAATGTGAAAGATGTCGGCGTTTTATAACTCGTAAAGTGAATTTCTTCTAGTCCTATGCAAGAAATGCGCAAGTCACTTTCGCAGAAAAACCGCAAATGAAAACAATTTAGAGAAACACAAACATAGATATCTTATTCATTGTTTAGACAAAGCTCTCAAGGGTACCTTTGTAAATCGGGCCAATTACCATCTTTGCATCGTTGGTTACTTGAAATAACGTGTCATAGTTTTATTGAGCTCTCTCGTAGATTTTTAAATATAGATTATCCCAACTTAACTTTAACTTTTAAATATTCTAAACTTTTGAGAAAAAGTTTTTAAAACGTCAATCTTAAAGTTTTGAAGTTTCGTTTCACCTGTTTATTTATCTAAATAGAAACAATATTATTACAATGCAGCAGAGGTGAAAAGATAATGATTCATCATTTTTAAATCTCTTCAATCTTCAATCTTGAATATCATTCAAATTCAAATAGACTGTCAACTTAAAGCATTATGACTCACTGCATAATTCTTTGATTTATGTTGCTTGCCATGAACGACTCATAATTCGGCACCCTTTAAAGTAAATTATGTATGACAATTTTCACCTGAAATAAAACTGTTTTTGGTGTCTTGTGTCTTTTTTGCTTATTTGCATTCATCTATATAATAAACAAGACATTCGTATATATATATGTTACGTATAGCCAGTCAAACGGCTGGACCAATTGGGCTGAATTTTCTTTCCAAATTTTTTTAAATTTTTTTCCATGGGCCCCTTCGGTTGGTTTTCAATAAATGTTTTAAAAAAATTCAAACCTAATTTTCTAATACATTTTTAAGTTTTACCGATGTTTATCTTGAATTGCAGGCTCAAAATAAAAAGCCAATTCAAAATTGATTGTTCAGTCCCTGTAAGAATCTTTCAGTCCATGAGTCATATTCGGATAAAAAAGATCCGTATAGTCAGAGAAAAATGCTCTGAATATTCAGAAAAAATGCCTAAATTTAGAAAAAATGCTCTAAATATTCAGAAAAAAAATGCTCTGAATATTTCGAAAAAAATGCTCTGCATATTCAGAGAAAAATTCTCAGAGAAGACTCTGCATATTTAGAGAAAAATTCTCGGAAAATGCTCTGCATATTCAGAGAAATATTCTCGGAAAAGGCTCTGCATATTCAGAGAAAAATACTCGGAAAATGCTCTGCATATTCAGAGAAAAATTACCGGAAAAGGCTCTGCATATCCAGAGAAAAATTACCGGAAAAGGCTCTGCATATTCAGAGAAAAATTACCGGAAAAGGCTCTGCATATCCAGAGAAAAATTACCGGAAAAGGCTCTGCATATTCAGAGAAAAATTACCGGAAAAGGCTCTGCATATTTAAGGTTTACTATGTGAATCTTGGATTGCAGGCTCAAAATAAAAAGTCAATTCAAAATTAATTGTTCAGTCCCTTTAAGAATCGTTCAGTCCATGAGGGGAAACAAAACTATTTACACTTTATTTGTCCTAAAATACATTAGTCCTACGCTTTTTTGTCCCATAATTCATTATTCCTATACCTCATTTGTCCTAAAATTCATAATTCCAATACCTCATTTGTTCTACACCTCATTTTTAATAAACCTCATTTTTCCACCATCTCATGTGTTTATACCTCATTTGTCCTACACTTTATTCGACTTACACCTCCTTTGTCCCACATTTCATATGTCCTGCCTCTCAAGTGTCCTACATTTCATGTGTCCTGCCCCTCAAGTGTCCTGCACCTCATTTGTCCTACACTTCATTTATCCTACAATTTATTTTTCCTACACCTCATTTGGCATACACCTCATTTGTCCTACACCTCATTTTTTCTACACCTCATTATCCTTCATCTCATGTGTTCTATACCTCATTAGTCCTATACAACCTATTGTCCTATGCCTTATCCTTCATCCCATGTGTTCTATACCTCATTTGTCCTATACAACCTATTGTCCTATGCCTTATTTGTCGTGTATATTATTGTATTTTACCTTATTTTTTTACAACTCGTTGGTCCCGCACCTTTTCAGATGCTGGAGAAATAAAATTAGGACATATTAGGTACTCAACGAACGAAGCTAAAGATACATTACATGAAAAACCATAGTGGGTTAATGGTTGGCCCCCTAGGGGGGTTAATGGTTGGCCACCTAGGGGGGTTAATGGTTGGCCCCTAGTGGGGGTTAATTGTTGGTCCCCTAGGGGGGGTTAATGGTTGGTCCCCTAGGGGGGGTTAATGGTTGGCCCCCTAGGGGGGTTAATTGTTGGCACCCTAAGGGGGGTTAATGGTTGGTCCCCTAGGGGGGGTTAATGGTTGGTCCCCTAGGGGGGTGGGAGGGTGGGGGGCTGATTTATTTAGCATTGCTCGAAGTTTAGTTTCATATAAAATGTTGCTGGGACAAGTACGACTGGATACTATGGGGCTTATCTTATTCTTTATTTTTCAGGTATTATTACTTTTGTATTGGATCGTTTATAGCTCTAAATACCGATTTTCCGGACTAATCGAAAAAGATTGAATAAGTTTATTCAAAATTTTTTTTTGTTTTTGAGTGTTTTGTATGTATTTTGACGTTAACGCTTGGAGATAATCCCATACCATATTTTACTTTCAGGGGATATTAGTTTATATGGTATATTAGTTTATATGGGATATTGGAGTATAATTTTTGCAATCTTTCGATATGTTAAATTGTTTTTAGCCTTCTCTTTTACTTCCCCCCTTCGCTTTAAAGTAAATTAAAAGTCAGTATGTTTTCTATACAAACTTTTCTTATTGAAGTGTCATGCTATTGAGAACAAGAAAAATGTTTTGAATTTCTAATATGTAACCAAACATATTTGCTTTGTTCAATGTTCATGCTTGTGCGTAAAATCCTAACTAGAGAGGCTACAAAGTCACTAACCCGTACCAATAATTCTCATTAATTCTGTCTAGTTCAGAATAAATATATGTCAAAAACAATAAAGTATTGTTAAGATAAACCCTAAAACTTTGGTAGTTATATCTAAATGTTTTAAATTAAAATGACACGCAAAGGAAATGAGTTTTTGCCACAAAATCTTATTTTCAAATTTTTATATCTTCTAAACCAAATGTCGTAAACCTTAGATATTTCAAACTATGCATTCTGTTTAACCAAATAGTCTTAGTTTGAAATATTGAAGGATTTCGGTATTAGGTTGAAAAGATATAGAGGTTTAACAATTTGAGTTTGTGGAAAAGACTCAATTTCTTTGTGAGATCGTTTTGTTTATAATTTGAACAAAATGTTCATAATTTCGACCAAAATGTTCATAATTTTGAACAAAGTGTTCATATAGTTTTGAACAAATGTTCATAATTTTGAAAAAAGTTCATATAATATTGAACAAAACGTTCCTAATTTTGAACAAAAGTTCATAATTTTGCACAAAATGTTCATAGTTTTGAACAAAATATTCCTAATTTTGAACAAATGTTCATAATTTTGAACAAAATGTTCATACTTTTGAACAAAATGTACAAAATTACGAACAAAATATTCATCATCTTGAACAAAATGTTTATAATTTCGACCAAAATGTTCATGATTTAAAAATTACATCGACGTTTCGAAAGCTCAATCTCAAAATCTGAACACTGGAGCAGCTAAAATGTGCTTTTTGCACATATTTGTCTATTCAACAAATCAATCCAACTTTTTACCTCCAGGATTTTTCTTATCGATTTTTATAATTTGATCAATCCAAAAAAACCTAACATAGAAGTTGTATTTGGAATGTTTTTTAACAGTGTACATTTTCAGACGGCCCATGCCAACAACCTGGATGGTGAGGAGGAGAACTTCCAGCTGCAGTTGAACCGGGCAATCATCTCTCGCGATGAATCAACGCTGTCATTAAACAAAATGGCGGAAGAGAAGGATAGAAACCTGATTGACCAGCTGGAGACTGTTACCCGGTTAGATGCTGTAGAGATGGAGTTCCTGGCGGAGATATCACAGTCACAAAACAAAATGGCGCTGGCCCTAAACAAAATGGCGGAAGAGAAGGATAGAAACCCGATTGACCAGCTGGAGACTGTTACAAGGCTAGCTGCTGTAGAGATGGAGTTCATAGCGAAGATATCACCGTCACAAAACAAAATGGCGCTGACCCTAAACAAAATGGCGGAAGAGAAGGATAGAAACCTGATTGACCAGCTGGAGATGGTTACAAGGCTAGCTGCTGTAGAGATGGAGTTCCTGGCGGAGATTGAGAAAATATCACGGGAGAAGGTTTTACAGATTCAGTGGGACAAAGAGAAGGATTATTTAGGTTAATTTTAAACAGCTTAAAGGAATAGTTTACGTTTTTTTTCCAAATTTCAGGATTCGCAACAGTTTCCTTTAAATAAACATAACAAAGGAATTGAGCCTTTGACACACAATTTGAATTTCTTATCCCTATATTTTTGCATAACCATGTCGTAGATCGTTGATATTTCAAACTATGAATTCTTTGAGATGAAGCATAATATCAGGTTGCAAACATGTAGAGATTTTATATGTTGAATTTGATTATTACCGTGTAAGTGACCAGACCATGGTTTTTTGATAATAATGATGAAATAATACTTTCTAAATGGTGTACGTTTGCGTGGTAGGAAAATTAGCGAATTCTAAAACCGAAGTATTTTTTTTTCCTTTTTCATTTTGATTTCCATAGGGACTAGTCACAACCATGGTTATCCTTTAAAAATTCCAATTTAACAATAGTTTTTTTAAGGACAAGACACGAGTTTTTTTTACCTTTATAAAATCATTAATAATATTCTAATATCCTATTGTTTAGAAAAACGAGTACATGAGTTGTACGACTCTGTTGTACCAGGCTGGAATCTATTGTACAATAAACATGCTATAGAGGACAGGCTAGACAACCTGTACAACACAGACCCACCGGTACAACAGTACAACACAGACCTACCGACACATCAGTACAACAACGACCCACCGGTAGAACAAGAAATAGCGCCAGAAGATCAAGTTCGGTATTTGTACAACTCAATTGAGGATTTAGAGAACAAACTAAAAGTACTGTACAACACGGAGACAATAAGTAAAGATCTAGATTATCAACAAGATTTAGAAGATATCCTTAGTAACCTATACAACAACGACAATAGCAACAGTAGAAACTTAGATCTTCTGGAGACGTTTAAAGAATCGGATGAATTAAATCATCTTTCTTTCCATGATTCTGCGGAAAGGTTGAACCTGAATACGATAGAGGAACTTGAAGCAAGGCTGGAAGAGCTGTATAACTCTCCTGTAATGGATAGAAGCTTTGATTATACACAAGATCTGGAGGAGAAACTGAGTAAACTGTACAATTCTAGAAGCAATCAGTATGTACAAGATGTTGAAGCCGGGCTGTACAACAATCAAGATGCTGATAGAGGTTTATATTATGTAGAAGAACTAGATAACGGATTATTCAACAAAGAAAATGCCGGACGAAGTTTAGATTATGTACAAGCAATAAATGGTGGGCTGTACAGTTCAGATTATGAACAGGAAGTAGAGGAAAGATTAAGTTTACTGTACAACAACCCCGTTTTTGCAGTACATAACCCTGTAAACAACGAAGAAACTGATTCAGGAAGGAAAGAGGTTCAGGAAGATTATGAGAAAGACGCTAAAAAAGTGCCCGAAGTGATTATATTAGTAAGAGAGATCCAAGGAAATGAAAATGATGTAAAAGGGACCGAAAAGCCCCTGACCCACGTGGAAGGGGTCGAAGAAGAGATCCAAGGGGATGAAAATGATGTGAAAGGGACCGAAAAGCCCCTGACCCAAGTGGAAGGGGTCGATGAAGTGATCCAAGGGAATGAAAATGATGTGAAAGGGACCGAAAAGCCCCTGACCCAAGTGGAAGGGGTCGAAGAAGAGATCCAAGGGGATGGAAATGATGTAAAAGGGACCGAAAAGCCCTTGCCCCAAGTGGAAGGGGTCGATGAAGTGATCCAAGGGGATGGAAATGATGTGAAAGGGACCGAAAACCCCCAGTTAGGAGCTGAAGGGGTTAGGAAGGTGGTAAAAGGACTTCATGACGCTATGCACTATAAAAGACGACCTTACAATGTAAACAGGATAAAGTGGGGGTATGGACCAAGGGATGTAAACAAATCAAAGAGTCCAACACCCAACATTGATTGATAGACTGTGTGAAGAAAAAAATTTCAATTAAAAAAAGTATAATTTGTTAAAATTTTTGTTTCGTGTTTTTATATTAATTAGTCAAGGCTTCTAAATTGGTGGCCATTCGGGCCTGACCACTTTATTGTTCATAAAATCAGTAAAATCATTCCAAATCAAAGTATTTCTTGTAATTACATTTTTCCCAGAAAATTGTTGATTGTAGAGATGGAATAAAATAAAAATATTTATCTTAAATGTTATTTTTCTTAATTTAAGTGATTTTTGGTGAAAAAGAGTTTTTTTAAAAAGATACTTAACAATGTTTTTAAAGCGTGATTTAAAAAGAGAAATATTAATGGTTGGCCCCCTAGGGGCGTTAATGGTTGGCCCCCTAGGGGGGTTAATAGTTGGTCCCCTAGGGGGGGTTAATGGTGGGCCCCTAGGTGGGGGGCAATAGTTGGTCCTCTTCGTTTTTAGGTCTCTCAGATCTTTGAAGAGGAAGTGTAACTGATATGAGATGGTTCAGCCCTCTGAAGAATAAAATATGTTTTCTTTATTTATATATGATCTGGAAAATGCGGGGGATGGTGGAGGTTTCTCCAATTGGTTGGTGTGGATTACAAATCCAGGAGCATTTAAAGGGAAAGACCGCAATGTCAGAATGTTTAAAGGGATTGTTAACATAATTTCCATGCTGACTCTTTTTTTAAATTATTTTTGCATGAACTCATTAGACCGCGGGCCAGCCGACTTTTAAATGTCACCAGGCCTTTGCATTACCAATTATGAAATTTTTAATAACTGACTTTTTGGGGGATTTTTGAAATGCCAATTAAAAATTTGTATTTCGGCAAACACTTAAGTGTTTTTATGAACTCATGACATCTTAGATAAAGTGGGGGGGGTCAAACAAACAGACAAACAAACAGACAGACAAACAAGCCAAATTTATATATAGATATGATGCAGGATTACCCACGATGAATGACGAAATCATCAAGGTTGGACCATATACGCATTGCTGTGTAGATTGCTCCGTCTGTTTTATCTATATAGGTTTTTCGGATTTATCAAATTGTACAAAAAATCGGATTATTGTATATTTTTACTTGACCAAATATTAGTAAAATATTAGTACATTCAAGAAAAATAAATGCAAACGCAAAAATTGGCTTGATTTGTACGTTATATAACTTTATGCGCACAGAGAAATATGTGCATAGAGCACATTTCAGCTGCTCCAATTGTCAGCTTTAATGCTAGCACTTTCAAAATGTTTATTTATCTTGAAGTCATTATAAACAAGTTCACCATTTTGATCAACATATATCTTTAGGGGTTTATAAATAAGAAGCAAAGAAACAAAATAGTTTTTATATTTTTAGCCTGAAAAAAACCATAATTTTCACAATTATGGGATGATTTTGTAAAAAATAGGAGAGCCACAGTAGAAATATTTAATAAACAAATTTTCATGATTGTAAGAAAATTTATTGATATTCTAGAAAGCTCTATCTCTAAATCTGACCATGGGAGAAACTGAAATGTGCTACATAAGCTACAAATCAAGCCAATTTTTTGCTTTTGTACTTTTCTTCTAGGATGTACAACGTAGATGTAAGATTTAGTTCTCAATGTGAATTTACTTGTAATTGGTCAAGTAACAATAAACAAATAAACCGGTTTTTTGTACAATTTATTAAATCTAAAAGAACTAATATTTGAGTAGTGACACTCTTACTTTGTCTCTTTTTTCGGGAAAAATAGCTAAGATCGTAATTTTCACAAAGCGCGGGTAAACGGCGGGAATAACTATGAGTACCCTAGGCAACACTGGGTTTGCAAACAAGTTATAAATAAAATATAGATAGATAGATGAACATGTACATTGCACAAATTACACATAAAAAGTATGAATTGCTTTAACAGTTGTAATAAAAGTGGTATATTGTATTTCGCATACATTACATACTGTATTTATAATAGGTTCAAATTATTACGATTACTTGGTGGCCCACAATGATAATATAAAATCCCATGTTTACATTTTAATTGTCAAGTTTATTTCTACATCAAACAAACAAACAAACAAGGCGAAAGAATCGAGCTTTTGTCATAAACTCAAATTTTGTAATCCCTATATGTTTGCAACTTGATGGTGTAAACATTTGATATTTTAAACTTATATTAACAACATTTATAGTTTTAAATATCTAAGGTCTATGACATTCATTTCAATCATATAGAATTAGAAAATTTAAGTTTGTGGCAAAATTATAAGTTCTTTGTGTCGAGCTAAATCTATGCAGGTACCACAGCAAGTTAAACCGTTTTCGATAAAAAAAAAATTAATCTTGACCCTCTGATCTACTGAAGAATACTGGAAGGCATAAAACATCATGAATAGTGAAATCCTGAAATATATCGAAATTAGATTTTAGAGTTGATGCTTTGAACATATATATATATATATAAATAATATATATATATAATTTTTGGACACAAATATCTCATCATTTATTGATTTAAAAAACCCGCTCCTTCAAATAGAAGAATCCTCGATGACTTCTCGAAAAGCGCAGACTATAAAAGGTGCGTGAAGCGCCCTAAAAGTAAAATTTTTTTAGATTTTTAAGCTTTATAGCGATCAAACTCCGAATTTAAACTTAAAGAGAGTGTTCGCGTAATTTCAAGTGCCATTTCTGCATGTAAAGATGGCAATGCCAGATTTACAACAGTACCCTTGAAAGCTTTGTCTGATCAAGTATAAACTAGACATCAATGTGTTTGTTTCTTTTAAATGTTCATTTTCATTTGCGATTTCTCTGCAAAAGTGACTTTAGCATTTCTTGTTTTTAAGAAGCAATCGAGAAACTCACAGAAATAAAACACTTTTCGAGTCAGAAAAACAACAGTTTATTATACGCATGGAGGGTCACTTGAAATTTCGCTTACAGTCCCTTTAAGAGCTAATATATTTAGAGGTTTTTATATCTTCATTACCCTGTAAACCATGAATTATAATTTTTATATAAAAAATACAAATAACTACGGGACAAAGATGCACTATTTAATTGCGTACAGAGACAATAAAATCTTTCTGCTTGAATGCGTCACATAATCCATGCCTACGCACAAGGGATTGATATAGCTCACAACAATCTTAAACAAAAAAACATTTGTATTTTAAACAAAACCAAAATTTATGATTAAAATATATTTTTACCCCTGATTTGTGTGTGAGTCACAAGGCATGTTAAACAGAGAACAATTTTAGCTTATCTCTTCTTTTTTCATATAATCAATAATCATAGGAGCTTGAATCAGAAAAAAGGGAGGGTTCCAGCCTGTATGATAATTTCATAAGACATGTGTGAATAAAACTGGATGTATAAAAATAAAAGTAAGCAATTTATTAGATGTATTTTTTAATCTCATCAATGCTATAGAGTGATGAAAAATAGACGGGGAGCCAATGAATTATATAAAAGTGTTTTAATGAAAAGATAGTTAATGTATATAATGCTAGATAGGGATTAATTATGGTCTAACCTAACACTAAAATGTATTTTCAACTATCTTTGCAGATTTTTAAAACTTTTTTATAGTTAACTGCCCTTAATGGTTTTTTTTATAAAAAATGTTTTTAAAAATAAATTATTATTTTGTAAATCTTTATGTTATAAACCATTATGTTATAAATCGTTATGCTATAAATCATTATGTTATAAGTTATTATGTTATAAATCATTATGTTATAAATCATTACGGTATCAATCATTATGTTATAAATCAATTATGTTATAATTCATTATTGTATAAATTATTATGTTATAGATCATTATGTTAAAAATCATTATGTTATAAATAATTTTGTCATAAATCATTATGGTATAAATAATTATGTTAAAAATCATTATGGTATAAATAATTTTGTTATAAATCATTATGTTATAAATCATTATGTTATAAATCATTTTGTTATAAATCATTAAGTTATAAATCAATTATGTTATAATTCATTATTGTATAAATTATTATGTTATAGATCATTATGTTAAAAATCATTATGTTATAAATCATTGTGCTATAAACCATTACGCTATAAATCATTATGCTTTAAATTATTTTGTTATAAATCATTATGCTATAAATCATTACGCTATAAACCATTATGTTATAAATCATTATGTTATTAATCATTATGCTATAAATCATTATGTTATAAATCATTATGTTATAAATCAGTATGTTATAAATAATTATGTTATAAATCATTATGTTATAAATCATTATGTTATAAATCAGTATGTTATAAATCATTATGTTATTAATCATTATGCTATAAATCATTATGCTATAAACCATTATGTTATAAATCATT